ACTTTAGTTTTCAAACAATCAAACAATAAATACAGACCGAAATACAACGAAAGTTACAGTTTAATATCGGAATCGTGCAATGGCGTAGTACTTATTTGTAGTTCGTAAATGGAATTTCGCCGAGTTTTCTCTCTCTCTCTCTCTCTCTCTTTCTCTCTCACTTCTTCGTTAATGTGCTGCAGCTGTAGCTGTTGTGCTCGTCGATTTGAAATTGGTTAAGCGTGCCCAGGAGTTGCGATTGATGTATCAGTTTATGTGTTTTTTTTTTGCGAACAATTTCCTCGACGCTGCCGTTTTTTTCTTCTTCGTTTCATTGCAAACAATTTTTGCTCTACTCAGTTTCGCATATATTTGTTCTCACTCCTGCATGGGGGTGCCGGTGTCCAGTTGAAAAAAGAAAAACGGTTTTGCACTAAACGCCGAAAATAATTAATATCGTCCGATTTTTAAAGTGCATGTTTCACATCAATTTCAGTCGTTTATTGTGCAATGCCAACGCAAACAATCTCACACCGAAATTGGAAACCGTGTGGCGGCTGTTGAACGTCAAAGTCATTTGAGGCGACGCGAGCGCCCCCAATTTCAAAGGGCACATCAATGTAATTTAACATTTCAAATCGGAACTAAACAGCGCGCCAATTCGAAATATAGGAAAATATAGTGTCAACAGCCGCACCATGTTGGAAACTATGTTGCAATTTTAATGCTATCTTCGTTTGGCCTATCAGCATTTAGTTTGATTGGCGATAAAATGATGGAAATTTTATGCGATACGATGTTGGTTAAGCACATCCAGAAATGAAACACGATCAATTGTGTCGTAGTCTTTGGGTTGAATATTTTGCTCGTTCGTTGCATGTTGTACACTAATTCACTTGACTTTGATTCGAAATGATGGCTTGAAAGTGAAAAGATGGTACGAAAATTACCCAGCCGGTCGATTTGTGGCCTTTTCATTTGATTTCGTACCATGTTGCCAGTTTTTTTTTTATGCAAAAGCGAAAGTGCGAAAGGTAATTGCCATCTGGCGAAAAGCATGCAAAACTGCACCATGACAGCCATGCTTAGCTCGTCCAATTCAAACGGCTCGACCAAAACTGCCGGCGAAATTCCAAGCAAACATCAACCAAATTGAATTAAGTGTATTTGCATGTTTATTGCTTTTTATGTTTAGTCTTGTTTCGCTCTGTATGTTGGTTATGTTTTCAGTAGCCGTCTAACTACTAATTCTAGTCTCGAATGCCGTGTTCAAAATGGCCTTTGTACAAAATTCCATCGTTGCAATTGGAAATTGATAAATTTTTTCTCTTTCTATGACTTTAAAATAGTCGCGATTGGAAAATGATCATTTATTTCGCCGTTTTGTGTCGTTGGTTTGTATGCCCGTTGGCTATTGCATGGCTGAATACAGTGTAATAATGAATAGATGCGGTTTGCGTATGAATGAATCGAGCATAAACGTAGAGTAGCAAAATATAGGATTAAATACTTATTTCAGTTATAGTTTTAAGGGGAATAAGTGAATATTTCTGTGTGCAATTCAAGGTATACTTCATCGTGGAGCATCAACGGCGTAACGTTCAGACTTGACTCGCAGCTAATGGCATGCTTTTAGCAAAATGCATTTTTTTTTGCTATGGTTCTATTCGCGCTTTGGCTCTTTTCACGCCATAAATCCTCGGCACCTTTACACGGGAAAATTAGAGACTGTTTCGCTGTATGAAAAATATTCTATCTTTGGAAGTCTTGCGAAGACATCGGGGCAAATATTTCAATAATTGACGTGCGGCCACCCACATTTTCAATGATTAGATTTGTGCATTCATTCCACTCGACTCCAAAGAACGCCGATTTATAACAATTAATGCATGTGTTTTGCCGATCTCTAACCGTTTATGATATTGCTGTAGTAATAGAGCTGTAGATTGCCTGTGAAAAATTCAATGATTTACACTAAAAGCCATGTTATTAAAGTAAACGTTGTGAAAATCGCCTTGATTCCATGGACCATCGCCGGATGTCTTCTAAGTGCTGCGATAGGCTGCTGTGCTCTACTATAAAATTAGCTGGTCATAATTTATAGCGCGTCACGTTCCAAATGCACGATGGATATTTGGACATTTTGCGCTGCTCATACCGACATAATTACAATTTTTCATTACTATCGATCACTCCGTGCTGCCAATCCAAACGTTCTCTTGATTGTAATTTTATTGTGTTCTTTTTTTCTCTTTTTTTTCTTTGGCTCGTTGTCGCGTGGATCATGGAAACATAACACATGCTCACGTGTGATATTTGCAAATTTAACCGTTGTGTTGTTCTTTCGTGTCCACACTGTCTCACACACCTAACCATCTCAATAAATCGACCATTTGAATGCGAATATTTCACTCAATTAGCATTGGAGATATGTTAAGGTATGAGCTAAAATCAACTTAACCGTTTTTGTTTTTCTTTCGCTGTTTTGTTTTTCGTTTGGCAATTTAAAATGCTGCTTACACTCATCAAGAAAAAATGATGCGAAATTTGCAATGCCGTTGCCGTTCTTGACTAATTCGATTGGCTAAAAATGATTTCCGTTTTTCAGACATATACGCACATTCATGTTTGTGTTGTCATCAACGGAACGTCCTGTTGTTCTCCATCTGTAAGTCCCTGACATTCAACCACTTGATTCGTGTTCTTGTGTGATTTTCAACACCGTTATTTTTCCTGTTGATTTTCTTGTCTTTTTCTCGTTTGTATTGTGTGTGTTTTTTTTTTCGTTCTATTTTCGAGAATTTTGAAAATTTTGCACGTAGTTTTTACGTTTTCATTTTGAATGGATTCAAACATTTCAATTAGAAACCATGAAATAAAATGGAAGAATGAACATGTTTGTGAAATTCACATTTGGATCAATTTCTTTAGGTTTCGTGTGTTTTTCTTTATATTAACGCTTGATTTTATGTTTCCTCTGATCATATGTTTTTAACTGGGGCCCATTTTTAAATTGGATTTTGACTCCGAATCTTTTTTTTGTTATTGAAATTCAAACACTTATTTTGGATGGCACTTTTTCGTTTTGATGCAATTTACTATTTTTCTTTCTGGGCTTTTCCACACAAATTATGTGCACGGAAAAGTCCATTTAGCAGTTTGGTTTTAAAATGCACCGATTTCATCACCGTTTCGTGTTTTGTGTGTGTGACTAAAACGAAATGACAATATTCCAATAGGAAAACGATTAATTTGAGTGTATTTTCATTTTGCAAACAGGCCTCAAGACGTGTTGATGATCTTTTTGAGGATTTGCGCGATGGACATAATCTGCTTTCACTCTTGGAAGTTCTTTCTGGCGAACATCTTGTAAGTATAATCAGTATATGTACAAATACTTTGATTGAAAACTCAACTAATTTCGTCTGTTTGTTCTATTGCCCGGCGCAGCCACGAGAAAAAGGCAAGATGCGTTTTCACATGTTGCAAAATGCTCAGATGGCTCTGGATTTCCTGCGATACAAGAAAATCAAATTGGTCAACATTCGAGCCGAAGACATTGTTGATGGCAATCCAAAATTAACACTAGGTCTGATATGGACAATTATTCTACATTTCCAAGTAAGTGCAAAATCTTATTCCTTTTTTCGGCCAACATCGTCGTGATTTCAGTGAAACAATACATCAAATGCTGGTCCAGTTGTCAACAAATTAACGTCATCGAAAGCAAAAATGGTTCGTTCAAAATGTTCGAATCGACAACATTCCAAGGTGATATTGTCTCGCGTCTTTCGTCTGTTTGGACTAAAAATTCCTTTTTGTGTAAATGTTTATTATCATGATATTGTCGACAAGGCATTCTATTTCAGCAAAACCCAGCCATTAAACAAAACCATTTATAAACAAATTCCCATCGCCAAAAAAAAAAAACCTAAAGAGACAGAAAAAAAACTAGCACACATCGAAAAGCAACTTCTGTATGTAAATTCGGTTATTTATGAGGTGATATTTTTCGAATCTCAAAAGACAAAAAAATTACTGACAATATTTTGTTCTGCTTCTGGAGCATTGTGTCTAGAAGTTAATCCTCAAAGAATTGGTGCCGAATCGACCATTTCACAATGTTAACACATTTTTCATATAGCCACTGTTACCCAGTTCAACCAGTTGCTGATTAAGAAACCTCTTGAAATTGAAAGTATAGCGGACAAAAATTAAATGATCGACAAACAAGGCGATTGCACACACTTGAGCTCCCGATTAAAACCATTCAGTGCCTTCGTTGTTGATATTATGAAATAGATAAAGTACAATATTTATGAAGAAATTATTTGGCCTTGATAATGAAGCTGACCCCACAATTCATTCGATTTTTTTCCTCAATTCATTCACATACGTGCAATCAATAAAAACAAAAGGATTTGTTCCAACGTAAAACAAAAAAAAAATTCCATCTCCGTTAAACGAAAACGAGTTTTTTTTGTTGAAAGCTATGAATTGTGGTACATTCTAACTGGACTGAGGATTAAAAATAAGCGGATTCCGTTTCGAATCCATTTTATTGTATGATTTATCTGGTGTGTTCGGCACGTGCAAGGATTTCATGCACTTATTGCCCTTAAGCATCGAATTAGTGCGACGAAATATTGATGATGTGTTTGCGAATGTCTTTCTTAGTAAGAATTATGTCGTTCTTATTGAAAAATTAATAACACAAAAGTTTTATTGACCAAACACATGAATCAAGCAGAATTCCCATTATTTTTTCGATCAAAATGTACAAAAGTGAGAAAAGAGTTTCAATTGAGGACACGCATGTACAAAAGAATTTCATTCCCATAGTTTCGATTTGTTGTAGAGAAGAAGCAAATCGATTATCTATTTGCCTGAGTTATCAACGGCAATTGATGAAAACCACAGTAGCAACAGCAGTAGCACAGAAGTCTCTCAATATTTAATTAAAAACACACAATAGACTCAGAGAGCCGCTAATGCGATTCGTATGACAACATTATGGTTTTACAATTTAAGTGCAGTGTGGTCAATAAATTAATGAAAAAATATGAGACTATTAATGGTGAAAATCGATGGCTTACGTTTTTGTGTTTAATTGAATAAACACAATCATCGTATCGCAGAAAAAAAAAAAAACGAATCGCTGAGATAAATAATGTTGCTGCGGCAGAGTAAAGAATGAAACATTTCAAAGAAGCAATTAAAATGTGCTTTTGTTGCTGTGACATTGATTCATTTCAAGAGTAGCGGCTTTTGGGCAATGAAAAAAAAAATAAATTCTGCAATGACTTCATCCCACGTTGCGACATGGCTGCTGGTGTTGTTGTTGCTTTTAATGTTGTTGTTTATTCGCAATAAAAATTCTTGCCTAATAAATGCACGATCTACATTTGGATATTTTGCCATCGAATTACAAATCATTTCATTTGCAATTCTAATCATTTTTTAATCGAGCACTTTCCAATGGTAAATCACTAATTTCAATGTCCGATCACGAGCAATTGGCTCGCGGCAAGGCGAAATGTATAAAATTCAGTCGAGAAAACAGATTTCCTTCAGCCAACTAGACAATATGCATTTGCAAATAATTCTTAAAACGAAATTTTGCCAAGATTGTGCGCCAGTGGCACAGAAAGACTAAAAAATTACAATTTGTAATGATAACATGCAATTAAACTGATTGCGATGCGTTTTTTTTCACGATTGATTCGATTTGAATAACAAAACAAGCCTATTGAAAGTATTGTGTTTGTAAAGAATCAAGAATGTTCGACTCAAATCAAGAGATTCTCGAATCATTGAATTAGAATAATTGCTGAATAATCTCAATTGGTGTGCTTATGTATCGGGAAGCGCCCACACAAAAATTGATACTGTTTCGCATTTGAATAGCTGAACGGATTTTATGAATGAATTTCGTGAGCTCGCGCGAGCAAGCGCAAGCGCACAATGAATGAAACGGCAACCCAACAGACAGCTGGTGCTGATTTTTCTGACTTGACTTGCTGTTGTTTTTTTTTCATCTATCACATCATAAAACATAGCACGAAAAACAAAACCAAAAACTGGTTAATCGAAGGTTAACACAATAATAACAATAAAAATCGTCAAGTCAAAGCACAAGTCTCCTGTTGCTGCAAAAAAAAAAAAACTAATGCTTTTTACGATATTTGCGGCCAATAGAATAGCAATCAAAATGCTGCGCGATGATGCAAATTTTGAATTACGACCCGTCAAATGTGTCTTTGAATCGATTTGCATGCAATTTTCAACAATGTAGTCCCTTTAGAGGGATTTGAGCGTATGGATCATCCGTTTTGTGGGCTGCGGTGCTTTTGTTCCGTCGTTTTCCGTCATTTCAGAAAAGAAGAAACATTTCAATAGACTTTTGACGATGTGTGGTAAAGCAAAATATGAATCGATGTGGTAATCGACTGACACACGCACACGTCATCGATTGGAATGCGATGTGCACCCACTTGAAATTGACCAATGAATGGAATAATAAACATTATTCACACATCTACTGAAACCAATTACAACTACGAAAACGGTAATGGATTTGCCGAAGAGGTGTCTAGACGACAACAAGATGACATTAACGCCGATACTCCACAGCCCGTTTCGATACGTGTTTACTGGCACTCTCTCAGTGATTGACATTACCGCAAATCTTGGCCACCAAAAATAGACACGCTGTTTTTTAAAATCAGCAACACGGTCCCACGCAACTCTATGAAATAATGACCAGCTGCAAATGATGGTTAACGTTATCACTCTGGAAAAATCTTCTTGTTTTTTTTTTTGCGAAACTAAAGCTGTTTTTCAGTTGATCGTCTGCGGTACAAAAGGAAGCCACCTAAAAAATATATCATTTTTACAATGAAAGTAAAGACGATTTAGAATGAAATTGAAAACTTTGTGAATTTTACGTTCATTTCTCGTTGAATTTCCATCAAAAATATCAAATGTTTCCGTTCTTGTTGTTACACGATATTTTTTTGTGTTCTTGATATTTCCCATTTTGAAATGGGATCAGTATGGAATCGATGCGCCTTTTCAAGACACACAGGCCGAGTATCGATTGCAGCCCATTTTCGGTGTTCAGTAAATATCGCACGTCGCTAAAATTAGAAACAACGAAGTAATCGAGAAATCATCAATTTCAAGAGAGCCTCTCAAATTCTCAATCTCTCTTTGAATAACCTACCAAATGTGGACAGTTGTGTCTTCTTCTTCTTCACCATCTCGGTCCATTTCGAATTTTAGCATATATTTGATTGAGTGAACATATCGTGTGCGGTCTCTGTCTCTCAATAAAAGTCTTGTTTTCATCTTGAAGCCTCTCGATGAGTGTCCAATGTTCGAAATGAAGATTTCTTTTGTTTTCTCTTTCATTCAGTTATCGATTGCCTACGCAATTTCAAATTATTCAAAAGATAATCGTTGCGAATGCATACCAAACCATAAAGTTTCCATACGAAACCGTTGTAATACCGGATTGAATGTTTCAACAGTTGAAAGTGCTTTTTGGTGAGTTTCGAGTTTCGCCGCACCGTCAACAGATGTAGCAACGATACACTCGTAACGGTTCGGCAAATGAATGTTGTGCACACAGTTCCATCAGGTCGTTGCGAACAAGAGAGAAAAGTTTAAGAACAACTAATCATATTAGGCGATTATGTGCGACTAAATACATGGTACATTATCAATCATTGCGATCTGTCCTCGCTGAATTAAGGCACACAGTTAAGCCAATAAAAATGTATCAAAATCGGGTGTATTTGAACGGTGGGTAATTTAGAACCGTCGTAGAATTTCCGACACATCGATTAATTACAGGTAGAACATACACAATTTATGTTATTCGGGCGCGCACTTTACCATTTAAGAAATTAATGACGTTTGACGACCCATTTGAGGCAAACATTATGCTATACAGAAATTGTGTTTTTCACAAACAATGTTCTTTGTTCGCACGGTGCCAGAGTTAGCATTTTCATCCGTAGTACTATGAAATAATTTAGATCTTCTTATACGAACGGCACTTTTTCAAGGTCACAACAATTGTGTTGTGTATTTGTTGCCCATGGAGTCGGTGCCATCAAACGACGGTGTTGTTGTCATTTGTCGTCATTGCTGTTGACCCACGCAATTCAATTGACATTATGCAAAATTCGCTCAATGTATGCGCATCTAATTGTTTATCGCAACGAAATATTTCTGCCATCATTTTGACGGAAAATAAATATTTTTCACTCGTTATTTATATAATCGACAGTCAATATTGGATCACCGACGATGTGCCAATTAATTACGATAGGCTGACAGAAGTCGAATAATCACCATTGCCAAAAAATAAATAAATCGATACCATAACCAAAACGATCACATTTCAAGTGCAATTGTTGATGCTGATATCGTTCCATATTCGGCTAAATCGTCACGGCAATAATTCAACGCAGATTTTCAAATGCATGCTGCGTGACACATAAATGCCATATATTTCATTGCCACCGTTGTTGGATCGTTCGTTACATTTCGCTTGACACAGTACCCAAAAAAAAAAAAAATAAAACGAACAACCAAATAATGGCAAAAGCAACAGAAATGTCGAGCCTCGCAAAATATTCAACCCACCAACATACCCAGTAGTCTTCTCACCTTAAGATCGAAACACATTAAACAAGTGTTGAGACGTCGTTGGATCAACCGCCCCCCCCCCCCTCTCTCTCTCTCTCTCTCCACTACGTCGTTCACACTCACGCTCACTCTAGCGCGAGCTTCGAATAATTCGAGGTTCCGAATAATAACGTGATCCTAAACTCGACTTGATGACGTTATTGCTTCGGTTCACCTACGCGCATACACCTTGCGATAATCTCGCAACAATAACAACAGCAGTGGCAGCAACAGCACATCATGCAATTAAACATAAGGCTATCCCTTTATAGCCATAAAACGCCAACTAAATGAAGAATGTGCTTGTATCAGGAACGTATTGAATCAGAATTGAAATCGGACGGAAACACAGGTTTACCGAATTAATTCCGAGTCAAATGAAAACAATAATTCCGAGCAATTTATGGAAAAAATGGAATATTTTAATTAAACATAACGATGGAGGGAATCGGTTAGTTTTTTTTTTTGGTTAATATTCCTTGTTTATTCTATGGCTATAACTTTCGTTTTCTGCGATATTCTCTTCCACCCAATGCCACACAAAATTCGCTGGAGTGGCCACACAAACATTTGTTTTACCAGAATATTGCAAACAAAGCTGTACATTTTATTAACTATATAGATTAAAACGCAACACGCCAATATTTCTTCTCTACTTTTCTACTTCTCCATCCGCGCATTTGTGGTTTCATTTCTTTAGAACAAGAAAATAATAATTTATAATAACTTCAAAGGGAATTTGCTCATAATGACTGAATTTACAAGTTGATTGAATTGAAATGAAGTTGTAACGAGAAAGTGAGAGAGAGAGAGAGAGAGAGAGAGAGAGAGAAAAAACACAAAGTAAAACGACAACAAAAAAGTATTTGTGTAGGTTCGCATCTATTTGCCTCGTTTTATTATCGTTTTCATTAAAATATATATATATTTCTTAATGTGTTGTTGTCTTACTATTATATTGAGAACGTGTTTTGTTGACTTGAAATGGCAACAGGCAAAACGATTGGCAGTGCCAAAATGAAGAGACAAATGCACAACAAGCAAACACATATAAAAAAATTTTTTTCTAAATGTTTATCGCTCAAGTTGTTCTTCAACTACAATGTATGGCTGTGGATAAAAGGAAAACGAAGTGGATCGTTTGTTACATTCAAAGCAAATAATTATAATATTTTTGTAATAAATGGCAAGTTGTTTTTGTTTCTTGAAAGAATCGAACAAAAATGCCGATCGATGAGAGGCACTCGCACTAAATTACCAAATTGAAATGGGTAAAAAAAGCATTTTCAGCCATCGCACACGGACCATGTTTAAACGTGTGCCATAAAGCGGAAAAATATCTCGCCAAAGTTACACACAACTATGAAAATAAAGGATGATGTAAACTGAACTGGTTGCCGCAAAAGCATATTACACGTACCGAATTGCCGATTTATGCGAACCATTGCGAAGGTTGTGTGTATCAACGAACAGTTCAGTATGTCACCCACTCGCGCCCATTTCTGCTTCTACATATGTCTCGGTATCACCTTAAACGATCGATCAAAAATTCAAAATGAAGAAAAAAAAAATCATAGCATTGGAAATGCCTCGGGCTCATCGGAATTCGAGAAAACGTTTCACCATTTGCCACATATGGTCGCATTGTGTGTGCGCCTGATCCAGCTGCTTCGGTCCCCGATCTGCGATGATGTAACTTATACCACTTTCGATCGATGGTTTTTTTTTTTTTGCTTTTGCTTTGCGGTGCCAATTTTTCGTCATTTTTTTTTCTTCTTTCGTTTACAAAGACACTGATCTAATTCTGTGAAACGATATCATACATACACAATCACCAAAAAAAAAAAAAAATGAAGTGAAGAAGGTCGAACACGAACTTCCACCTTATTTACGTTAAAACCACACAAAATTGAACGAATTTGGCCATTCGGTAGAAAATTTCAAGCGAAAACATATGTTCGTCTTCTCCCAAAACTGAATATCCGTTACTTTCATTCGTGCATTTGAATTCACGCTAAACGCTGAATTTTGACGTGTGCACTGGGCCACTTTCAAATGGAAACATCCGACGTGAAAAAAAAGGGAAAACATCGGCAAACGTTATTGCGTCACAGGTGCATAACGCACACCACACCGAAAAATGCATTCAAGCACAACACAATGTTAAATCTCTGACGCATCTTACGCATAAATAAATGTTTACATCCACGAATACATTTGGTCGCTCACATATTTGCCCATTTCATTGAATCGACGCACTCACACAAAATCAACAACGAAGGGCGCCGAAAAAAATGCATTCTTCTGTCTCTTTTGTAATTTTTCTACTGACTAAAAAGCATAAATAAAAAAATAAAATAAATATTAAGAATCATAAAAATGCATGGATCACTTGTCGGAAGGTTGGAAATGACAGCATGATATGGTCATGTGTGTATGTGTGCGCGCCGAGTGGAAATGTGCGTGCTTGTATTTAGTGGCAGTGTAAGCGCATACGGATATTTGTAATGCACATTGTTTATTCCGAAAAGCAACAGAGAACAATACACACGTTTACCATTCATAGATATATCATCCGTCGCGGTTGTTTGAATACAAAGCGAAATAGTCGGGGAAAAAAGTTACAACGGGTAAAACCGAAAAAAAAACCAACTGCCTTCAATGTGTGTTTACCTTTTTTTCTCTTCTCTTTTCTCTCGCTTTTCTCTGTCGCGCGCGACGGAAGACGTTGACGGAACACAGCAAATTATAATTCCAAATGCATAATCTGTTTGCCGGCCGATTTTCATTCATCGTCCACACATTACAATGTGTACATATTGTGTCAGTCATTGGTGTATGCACCTTGGCCTGCGCGATGCTCCGGCTACGTTATGCATTCATGATTATTCGATGGTTGGTTAGCCAACGATCGCTGCGACTGGTTGTCTATTGTTATTTTCCGTCGAATAACGATCGCACGCGCAGCCCTCCGCTTCACCAAGACACTGTCTCCGGTGCCATGCTGAAATATTCTTCTACCTCTACTACCGAGCAGTTCGAATATCCATGCATGGGGTTAATTGACAGTTTAATTGAAATTGAGTGTAACCGTTCGTTGGCATCTCCGTTTCTCCATTCTTTTTCCATTCGACGAATTTGTGCAAATTGCAATTGCAATTCACCTTTTATCGATAGATTCATTATCGTTGAACACCCACCGCCGCCACACTCAAATCGCCTTAAAATCAATTCTGAAGCAACAACCGATCGATGCATATGGCGAACACAAATCGTAAATATTCTAGGCATTTCAAGCGATAATTCATTAGATAATGAGCCGCACAACACAGAGCAGAGATAATACGACGATTTTTTTTCCCTCAGTTTTCAAATTCATCGTGCTCGGCTTAGGGAGTACTTGAGTGTCGTTTCCAAAGTGCGCGTGGTTCAAACTCGCTACGGCAAATCGTATTATATTACGAATCGAGCAAAAAAACATTTTTTTGTTGCTATTTTTGTAAATTGTTGAAAATTCAATGACATGATATTATCTGAAAACCGCAAATGAAACGCGTTGTGTGTGTGTGTGTGTGTGTGTGCTTTATTTCTTTATTATTCATACTCACTTTTTTTTGCTCTGCTTTGGCTGTTACCGAGAGACGACCTGGAATTATTAGTCATCGATATTCAAACAGAAAAATGTGTATCGCTTTTAAGCCCGAGAGAGCAAAAATAGAAATGAACATGGAACATTGAACACAAAATGATATATGCACGCAGTGATGAACTACAAAGCCATTTTTGCAATTTGAAGATTTTCGCTACTGAAAGCTTTTTTTTTCTTCTCTCTCTCTCTCAAAATGTGAGTGTATTTGGCGTAACAATTGAAGTGAAGCACATATATACGAGTAGCTAAAAAGAAGAAAAAAAAAACAGTGGGCATTGAGAGATAAAAAGCGAAAAAAATAGAAAAAAACGCGAGCAAATAGGGAAAAAGGTAGCAAAGTACACCATGGTGGTAGAGAATAGCACAATACATCGACAGAAACATCGGCTTATAAACAAATTCGAGCCAAGCGAAATGAATACACATGCACACGCAACCGTATACCGTTTATATTTTGATCCGTTGACACGCATACATACACAGGAACGATAAAACCGCCAACACCAAGAACCACCATAAAAACACCTTTAGTCCAAAACATCAAAATGAAAATGACGTGAAAAATAATAGCAAAACGAATGAAAAATAAAACGACTCTACACATATACGTAAATATGAGTTGTGTGTGGCAGCCGTAATACACTAGAACAGTGGCGACACACTGAACAACAAAAGCGACACAAACACAGATCTCAAGCGAGTGCGCGCGCGCGCGTTCCATCCACGGCGTACCAAAAAGAGAGACAAAATGAACTAGCCGCAAAGAGCGGCGAACAAATACCAACAACAATGTAGAAACACACCAGCGCGCACCACAACACAAAACCAACAACAACAACAACAACAACAGCAGCAGCAACGTTGCCGTAAAATAAAATACAAAACTCACCGTATACCAAATTAAATAATCTTGGCATGTTCATTTTCAATAGCCCCGTTCAGTTCGTGTTCATTTTATTATGATGATTTTAGTGTAAAATGTACTGTCAGTTGAGTTAGTTTACACACGACAAGAGAGACGTGTACACACGAACAGAGAGACGACGACGAATGAAGAATAAAAAAAAAAAAAAACATTGAAACAAAAACAAAACAATACGTAATCGAGTACACACCGTGTCGCTGAGAGACAAACGAATCTATACTCAATTTTTTTACACGGAAAATTGTGGTTTTTCTCGAAAATTAGAGAAAATTTTAAACGACGATTATCTTAAATTTACAATTTATTATTTTTTTTTTTCTACTTCTAATTTGTTGTTAAAAAGTGCTAAACCAAAAATAAACAAAAAAAAAAATCTATAATATAAAAACTAAAACGTAAATATTCTTTGCAATGTTGAAAATGAAGTTATCAAACAGAAATTTCGGCACAACTAAACAGCAAATATTTGCTTGATAGTTTTGAAAGGACGTTTTTCACCCTGAAGATTCCTTTGCTGGACTTTATCGCAACCACCATGCACAATTAAAAACGATAAATTTCAACCAGTTTTTCATTCCATTCGAAGCCACGTTTGAATCGATCGGTTTTGTTTACATGATCAAGTGTTTTTTTTTTTTTGTATTCTTGGATTTATGTTTGAAATTCAAACAATTTCGCTCGATATCATATTACAGCGAATGGATTGCTGAATTAAAGAGCCAACCAAAGTGTGATTTCATCCAGATTATAAAATGAACAACAAAAAAAAAAAAAAACGAAACGCCACCAAACAATCGATATATTCGAAGTGCAAAAGATCAGGAAGTGTATCAAATTAGTTGTTGAGTTGCATGTTTTCACTTTCACCATTTTTAGTCGAATCGAAATCGATCGATAAACCAAAAATGAAATGATAAAACTAAACAATAAAATCTAAGTAAAACACATGTAGAATGAAATCTGGGTAAACGCAATCAATGTCATTTTCGAAATTGGGCCAACATTTCATTTCTTTCTTTTCAAGCTGAAATTTCAATTGGCTTTGCAAATCGGAACGTTTGTGTTTAGTCATAACTATAGTTAGTTATCGGGACGGTGCTGTTATATTGTCAATATCATGAAGCTTTATATCATGTTTAAGCTGTAACATTTGCGGCGTTTATCGACGCCACCACTTGAAAATTAAACTCAAAACAATAATAATCAGTTTCGCTGATGGCATCCGATAATGATCAGTTTTTACCCAACATTGAGAGCATTCGAAACCCCGAAGCGATGCATAATTTATTCGATCTCGTTTAGATGGACAAGATCGTTTCGTTTCAAACGAAAAGTAATAATCTTTTATGTTCGACAGAATATCTCCGTTTAAAAATGATAAATGTGTTGATTCAAGCAAATGTGAATTTGAAGTAAACATCCACAGACGTTTTTTTCCTCCTCGAACACAAACTGTTTCAGTGAAGAAGAAATGGCGGAAAGAAAAAGAAATCTACAAACTAAATCGGAGACGGGAAGAAACATGCTAAAAAAATAATTAAAGCCAATTATTGCAATAGTTGAAATGGCCCATGCCAACGGTAGTTCACATATGTTTAGGCGAGAGAAAGAAAAAAACAAACTGAGAAGTGAAATACCGTTTTGGAATTTGAACGTCAAATGTTTGGCTAAATGTTGGGAAATCGACGGAAAAAGTCACACACACAATTCCATGTCGGAGATGGAATAACAATCCAGTACACATGGCATTTGGTGGAATGTTGTGAGATTTTTGACCGAAAAACCGAACGACATCATACACACATACACAGGCCACACGATAAAGAGACCCGCTCATCAAATCATTGTTCTTTGCACAACATATTTCTCTGATTTATTGACTGATGTTTAGTGAATAGTGAACGCTTATTTCTTCTCCGGCTTTTGACCATTTGCTATTTATGTTCAATTCCCTCCAAAACGAATTTGCCGTGAAATTTACACATTCGTGCTCATTTGCGCGTGCAGTTTTCAGAATTTATTTCTTCTTCGTCGTATTTCATCTTGTCCGCAAAGTAGCGAGCATTTCGTTTGTGTATGCGGCTTTGAAATGTGCGAACAATCAGAAATATGGTATGGTGATTGTTCGCATCGAACTCGGTTTTATTTCAATTATAGCAAAAAAAACAAACAAACGAAACGAAACACAAAATCTAAGCGAATGATTTCTTCGATAGCATAAAGAGAGTTTTGAAAATGGTTATTAATTTGATGTCAATTATCAGAACCTCGAGCAATACATACACACAAGCAATGCTATGAGCATATATGGGAAATGCCACCAAACACACCTGCGTTTTTTTCTCTTTTTCAATTGTGAAATGGCCAATACAGCGCTACCGTTTTAGGGGTCAAACACATCATGTGTTCTTTTCTTCTGTTGTTGTCTCGGTTCACTGATCCTATTGTATGTGCTGATCAGTAGACAACAAATGAGAGTCAATCGGTACTGTTATAACAATATAGCAAGCATTTTGAACGCGATTTGTTGTTCTTCTCTCTCTCTCTCTCTCTCGATACATCACCATCGCTTCCAATAAAACAATGTGAACGAAAAACAAATTGAACTGAACATGGTATTTGGTGTAGAAAAATGGTAAAACAACCAGAATAAATTAGAAAAATAAAGTTTGAGAACTGCAAAATAATTGCAATGATATCGTTGAATTCCATCCGTCTGCATGCCAATTGAATCAAACAATTAAAATTTCTGTTTCATCTAATTATTCGATTATTATCACAATCAAAATCGATGCCATTCGGGCAAATTGTCTGTTGACTAATGAAGATGGCTAGCGCAACGGATCATTCGGCTGCATGCAGTCTCATTGTTCCCTCGGTCAATCCATTCGATTTATTTATGTTGGCGCTATGAGAGTGTCGTTTCGGTCATTCGGCGATCTCGTCTGGGCCGCATGTAATTATTCTCATCAAAATATTAACGAAGCAAATGAATGGGTCGCATTTATTTCGTGTGACTAGACGCTATTTGTTTGTTTGGCTTTTGTTGTTGTTGTTGTTTTTTGCTTTGCACAGTGACTGTTTCAAGTGGAATTTATTAAGAGTGGTGTTTCGTGACACTCGTGCAGAATTCCGCATTCCCACACATACACACAAACATACACCGACCACCGTTTGCCTGTCGATTTCGGACAGTTCAAATGGCTCCCAATTTAAACATCCGATGACATCAAACCAGTTAAATTAAAGAAGAAAAAAAAAAACGGCAACCGCCGAAGAATGAAATGAAATGAAACTATAGCATGATCTGCGAAATATTTAGCATGCCAAAGTCATTTCCTCCGCTCACATTGTGTTTGGCTTTGCTTTATATTTGCGACGAGTTGCAGAGTGCGCGAATGGAATGTGCATAAATATCATTCAATGCAATGTTTGCCCCCTACTTACTTGGCTAATTCTTCAAGAAGGTTACCTGACTTTCATTTAAACGATGCACTCTTTCGCTTAGTACAACGAATATGTGTTTTAATTCCATCATGAACTTCTCTCCCTCTCTCTCTCTCTCTCTCTCTCTCTCTCTCTCTCTCTCTCTCTCTCTCACACACTTCTTTTTCTGCTCAACGCCGTCTTGTGCACAACAAGTCGTTGCTGTTTTCACTCCTTCGGTTAGTTGTTTCTCACTCGTAGCATAATCAGTTCTTGATTCAAGAATAAATCTACGATTAGAATGAAAAAAGAAAAATTAACACAATGAAGAGCATTGTTCTCACTTTTCGTCATCATCGTTGTCGTAGTCGCTCCAGTTCTTGGCAATCGCATGTGCGCGAACACGCTACGAATAAATGTATTGTGGTTTGGCGTGTTGTAAAAACACGAGAAAAAAAAAACAGAGAAATATGTTGGAAAAACGGATTTTCATGCTGATTTTTTTTCCCTTTCTTCCCATTTTCGCACCAAAAGAAACCACAAGAAATGAAACAAAAATGAAACGAAACATTTATGCATTCCAAACACGCAACACTACGTGATAACTCATTCTGAACACTCTTCTATGTTTAGACAAATGAGCCGTAGTATGTCGATATTTTTTGACGACTCAAGATTTCTGGTGTTTACATGGAATGGCCTGGAACACGTTTGTAATTGAAGAAATTTTCTATTCAAAACGATCGATACCAATCGATGAATCCTGCCATTGACTTCCATTTGAAAATACCCATTGCAATGGCAATTACGGTTGAACACCTAAGAATTGCAAATATTGTTGAAATATGGTGCTACATGAACCAAGCCAAAAACACACACAATTTCATTAGCCGCCGAATGTGCGCAATGGCATAATCCAATGCGTTAAAATATATATTGCACATCAAATTTGAACATACACAAAAAAAAAATCAAGTAAAAGGAAAAGACGAGTGTGATTTCGATTCATTCGAATCGATCGTGTTTGACGAACGGGAAAAAAGAATGGCAACTCATATGGCTTCTTCTACAGTACCACTTCAATTTTTAGTTTTTTCAAAGTTGTAAAAATCGAAAATAAAACGAAAAATAGAGTCTCTAGCGCTGACATCAAACTACATCGCTAGATGGGCGACGATGACTTTTTTTTCCAATAAGTATGTCACACACACACATCAAGAGAACCATTTAAAACGTAAAACTTTGCACAACCTTCTTTTTCGCTGAAAGAAAAATACAGTTGAAGAAAAAAAAACTTGTCAGTTTTTGTCCGGAACTTAAAACCGTTTTTTTTTTCTCTCGATTGTACTTAAAACATCAAGACAAAGGATTAAGATCATTTATTTATTCGTTTTTAATGGTAATCATGCACAGATCGTAATCGGAATCGCAAATGCTTTCAGAATGTAATGTTTTCAATTACTGTTCGCCTATTTGGTGTACATGTGTGTGTTGGCCGCACAATGGGGATAATTACAGAAAAAAAAGAAAAAGAAAACAAGCACACGAGAATCAATGCAAAATTGAAGGCGGGAGAAATACCACAAATCTCAGTGTGGTGTCTGTATGATTTAATTGTACACGTTCCTCAAATGTCAACGTCTCCGAGCAAATAAAGAAATTAGAGAGGGAGAGAGAGAGAGAGAGAGAGAGAGAGAAACGTGTCAGATACCGACCAAACAAATAAAATCAAAAGCGTTGTCAAATCATTTCTGACATTTATATTGTTCCAATTGTAGAATAGAACACCGCCGACGGAGACGACACTTGTTCGCCAATAATAATGTTCACTGAACAATGGAAATTGTCGAGCGAAATTTTCTGTGCGCTTCAAATTGAACACCTCGATTTTTTCGATTCGTACACGCTTCATTTGTTTAACAAGTATGAAAAGCTGGCAAACGGAGAATATTTGTTCAGTGTATTAATTTGCAGTGGAGGCGCAATTGAGATAGGCTTTCGATAGCCCGTTCTGTTTTCTTTTCATCGAGTCGTTCAGTCAAGCGATCGATGCGAACAAAACTAAAGTGTTTTTTTGTGTTTTATGTTCGGTGTTTTTTGTTTCTGTTTCGTTCTCTTTCATGATAATATAACATCAGCACACGCAGTCTCACGCTTCAGTTTGGTATTTTAACCAACAGCAACTACGAGAATGCTGTATGTAGACTGCATTATGCAATAAATAATTTCTTAGTAATTGAATGTTTCATAAATGGACAAATCAACACACAGGCAAAACTGAATGACACACACACACACACACATGAAAAAGTGAAACCGACTGATCGCCAAGCAAAGTTCATAACTCGGCGAGTATTCGCACACCCACCCTCTCTCTTCTGCATATACATGAATGGAGTGCTTAGCGAACCAGAGAAAAAAAGAGCGAGCGAACGAGCGAAACAGAAAGAGAGAGAGGAGAGCTATGTTTTGCGTGGTCGGCTGTTGATTGCCAACCAACTATGAATTCTTTTCAATGCCTAAATTTGAACTGGAGAGCAGGAAAAAAAAAGCAAACAAACCGATCGACCAAGAGCATAAATCGTAAACAGTATGAATGAAGCATACGAAGTAGCAATTTGACTGCGGGTGTTGTATTTTGTCATTGTAATACGAACTTCTTCATCTCTCGAACCATAATTTAACTACGTTTTCTGAGCGTGTTTTATTGAAACAAAAAAACCACCTGATCATTGTTATTTTGCATCGTATTTTTGATCTTGAGTGAGCGCAGAGTATAAAAAGAGCAGTGAATTGTGATTATTCTGCAAGTGTATACTCATTGTGCGACAGATGAGCGTTATAATTTAAACACCGTTTTGTTTAACCAACAACAAACAAAAAAATATATTTTTACAACGTGATCAAAACAATTTGAATAGCATTCAACACTTTACGAATAAACGAATGCTGATAACATCTACATCGCACCGAAATGTTTATGTTTATCAAGTGAATTTTTACGCTCTTATCTCTGTGCCGCCACCGACAGAGCTATTTTCGCTCGCTCGCGCGCGCTCATTGCATTTTTGCATATTACGGAACCGTGCCGCGGCGCGAGATAAGATTTTGGGCTGATTAACCAAAGCGTGACTGAGGTCAGCGCCTAATATCAAGCTGCTAATGAAAGATTCATTTCAAATGTAGTGATCGTTCACAGATTTTTTTTTTCCCGTTCGCATTCAAGCATTAGTCGAAAATTTGTCATTTCTTTTGACATTTCCGACAGATCGGATTATTGCAACAACGACGAAGAAAAAAAATTATTGAATATTATTTACTCAGAGAGAGAATTTTTCATGTGTTTCACTTGATATCGGGTATTGGCATTAATCAAGCAAGTTTATTTAAGCCTGTTTAATCTGTGAAAATCCTATTTTCATGGTCATTTTCACGGTGGATTTGCAATGAGAGCATCATGTATGTGAATGGGAATCTTCGGGGCAAAAAACTGATTTATTCCATTTGTAAATGCAATTCGAAAAAAATCGGATATATTGTGAATATTTAATTTTTTTTTTCGCAGCAGTTTCAATTAACCTGCCACTCTAATACCGTAACCTCCGACTTAAACTTGATTGAAACTAACGAAACAAGAAGAAAAAATACAACGAAAAAGAAATTAAAAAAAAAACAGATTTAAAGTTAATCGAAAAATCAAAACGAAGCCTACAGTGACATCGATCAAAATTGATTCTTGTAAACGAAGGACAAGTACTGTGCGTGCATGTGCCAAACAGGGAGTTTGCGATAGAGACTGTGTGAATCGAAAGTAGTGTATTCTGGTAATACGCGATGTATAAGATTGACGACGAGTTTCGCCCCCGTGGCCGCGTTTTTATGAAAGCGACACGGGAAAGTCAGCAACAATCATCGACAAGCAGTGGTGGTGGTGGTGGTGGCGGCGGTGATCCCCATTCAAATGTTGTATCGGTGCCAATACGTAAATCAAGCCTGAAAAAGGGGCCACCGATTACAACCAGTTTGGACGATCGTCGCATTCAATTCCAACATGAGGTGAAACATGAAAAGACAATCGAAGCGTTGATAACCGAATATCCACCTGGTGACGATTATCGACCACCCGGAAGCCGAAGCTATTCGAGTGATCGATCAACGAAACGATACGAATCGCATGCGAGCAGCAGTAGTCCACAACGTATAACCGCTGTCCCATCGTCATCGTTGAACGATGTGAGCCGCGAAGTCACCCACTATTCCACAAACAATGACAACGGTTACGATGTAACGGACAATGTACAGGCCATAACACGGAACAAACGAACGTCGACCGAAGTACTTGGAAGTAGCTTTGAATCGAAAAAGCTTTCGCAACGTGCAACCGACGGACATCGACGCATCACCACACACATTGTCCGCAAAGTGACAACAATGAGTCGAGCGGAGGAAAATGCCCAAGCACAAAATCTCGTTCACACGGCACAAAATAAAACCACCGAAATCGGATACATGACAACACAGGCCATCGAACCGAAAAAGCCAAAGGTTTGAATGACATTTTTTTAAGAGAAAAATATTTCTGCAAAACTTACATAAAATCGAGTTTCAATTACCGCCAAATGCACACACACTTTTACCCAATATTAGATGGATTAAAGCGTTTTCAATGAATGATCTAACGCAATTTTGCGTGAAATTCTCGCCAATTTGACACCATCGCCTATGTCTATTTTTGAAATGTCACCGCATTCTCAGCAATTAATTTTTATAACTCAAATCGAAAACACGCATCATTTTTGTGGGCGAAGAGAGCGAAAAAAAAAAATATCAGCACCTTATTTATTGATCACCTAAATACAGTATGCAAAAATGAACGGAGATGAGATCGCGCTTCATTTGGTGCATTTAAATTAGCAATGACGAGCTTGGGCTTGACCATAAACAATTCCTGTCTTCATTGAGTTGTTAGCACGTATTTTCGATTTTGACCAAATTTGAGCTTAATGTCTTTTTCGTTGTTATTTTCTGGTTTTATTCTTCAAAACAGCAACTGAATTCATTGAATGATTTTCATTAGAGTGGAATCTTGAAGCTTATTTCTATAAATTTGACGAAAATGGAATGCGGTTGATTGGCTGAAAACGGATTTTTTTTTTCTTACTTTCACAAAAGACTCCTAACCCAATGAAATCGTTAAATGATCGAATTTTAGCGACGAAAAACAAATGGTGTTGAATTATGATTTAATCGTTCGATTGATATTGCGCAAACGCTTGATGGCATTGTCAGAACGGCGAAGAGTGAGCGTATGTGCGTGTACAGCAGTGAAACATGGAACATATGTTTTTTTTTTAAAGCGCTTCAATCACACAAATCAATGCTCAGATCGATTCTATGAATGGACCTGAAACGATAAAAGCAAGTACAAATTCGATTTGTGTGTGGGCATGGCGCAAAAATTGATACTTGGTCACTAGAGCACACACACAACATCACTCGACTCGCATTCCCAGTGCCATCGTGTTCCATGGCAATCATATTCGCTTACACACGGCAGAATGTGTAACCGATTGACTGAGACAGGGTGAATATTTTATATGTCTAACACCAAATCGAAGATAATTTTATGATCAGAAATACAAAAACAAATGTGTGTACGTATTAATGCATACCGAAAAATGTGTATATATGCATAACAAAAAAACAATCGTTTGGCCACATATTTAAATTTCTGCGATGAGGGAGAACGAGATTGACTGCTGTGGCGGTGGCGGTGGCGATGACGACGGTGAATAGCGTCAAATATGTGTCTTAATTTAGAAGTAAATCGAGGTGATGACATTGAATTTCAACCCACTGACTTTCGGATTGAAATGGGATTGTCACGTAGTCGCACAACCACTTATTTTTCATTCATAAACAATTTATTACGTGTGTCTCCGCGGAACTCAAAGGCAAAACACACAATCCAAAACCAATGATAAATTAATTGATCTTGTTCTTTGATTGATTGAATTCAATTCATTTGCAATGCAATGTAAATGAAATGGACGTGAACTGAAAACGGAATCGTTTAAATTCACAAAGGCAACAACCGTGCGAAATTGCCAATTTCCAAAAAGTATATTTAATTCTGTGTCTGGTGGGAAATTGGAAAATGTGAAGGAAATATATCGATGAAGCCTTCAGTTGGATTCGGCAATGCCATTATGCATCGAACGTGATCATCGAACGAAATCTTTCAGACGACAAAAATCATTTAAGTACTACTTTCATTTCAGACGACCACATAAAATTTAATTTACGCTAAACAACGATCGATGTTTCGTTTCGGCTGTTATGTTTTATTTTTTTTTTTTGGGTCGCTACTGCCATTCATAATTGCCCATCAACATGAAATGGGAATTGTCCAAAAATGGGCACCACTTTGAATGACAACCGCTGCCCTTTTTGTTTAAATTTGGTACATGGCACGAATTGCGAAATTTCACCGAACAAAAAAAAGATCCAAAACGCATGAAAAATCATCTAGATCATACGCGCTGCAAGAGAGTCATTTCCAATGATACCGGACAAATCCCAATGTTCTCCGGGTGCATATTGCTGAATTTTGCACATCATTCCGATAATTTCCCCGATAAACATCTCGTTTGCACATACAAAACATTTAATTTTTCATTAAAAAAATTCTTGAAAATCACATTGCACGTTGAATCATATGTCTGTTTCGGTTCTGACTTCTGACTCTTGTTGCTTCTCCCTCTTTCCCCTCTCAACATCTCGTCGCTGTTGGCGCGCTCGAGCGCTCTGTTGCGCTCTGTTTTCAATTTTTAAATATGGTTTTCATTACAACAAAATGTGGGTAAATTATGTGTATATTTAATTCATGTCATTGATCCAACCATTTTTAGGTAAAAAATCATATTAAATGCTACACAGCATTCGCAGTCAGCGCTTAGATGTGTAATCGTGCCGTGATGCTGTGTCATGGAGGCAAACTTACATACACACACACACTAGCTGACTTTCTGTTGACAAAAATGCATGTATCGCGCGCGAGCGCTCGTTCGAGACCGATTCCAAACCAAGAATGCTTGTCGCGTCGTGCAAAATGCAATGTGCGCCTGGTCACTCAACTTGAAGTGTGACGATTCTGAAAATGTGCGAACACCGTGTCTGATCCTTCAAATTCAGTATATTCTGATAAAATGATTCATTTGCAAATACGTGAGCAACGACATTGTTGGTTCTTGTTTTAACGTGTTTTTCCCATGTAATTGATACGACTTTGTTTACTTTTTCATCCATTCCGACCGAATCTTCTTAATTTATTTGCTTAATTTAATTAAGTTATATTCTAATGTTGTTGAACAGCTTTTTATGATCTGTTTTTTTTTTTTTCTTCATCGTTCTGAATTTGTGGTGGGAAATCTTCAAGGTAAATTCGATCATGAAACTATTCTGTGTGAAGAATAGCTCGTAAAATTTTCGCAAACTGTTCGTAGCCAGCCTCAAAAGTGTGAAAGTAATTGAATGGTGAATCCATTCGATTCATACTGAATCGTCTTCATTCTTCCAAGACATGGGCCTGGCTTAATTGCGTACATGCATTTGCAATCATTTTCCCGTTGTCAAGTGTGACTGCAAAGAAGTTCGTGCGTCAATAATTTAATAATTCGTTTTGTTGTGTTCCGTAGCTTCACACTGCGATCAATGTATTGTTGCTAGCTAAAATTTCATGCAAAAAAAAAAAATCGCGCACAACCATTTATGGTGGAGTGATTAAACCGCAGGCAGTCACACAATTTGAGAGAAGTACACCCTTGATACGTGATTTGGATGCAACATACATATTCCGTATGCAAGCGATATCGTTCGATTTATAAAAATGTTCAACACAAAAGTCATCGCCAGTAAAAATGACACTCGCTGCTGCCGTTTTTTTTTTTTTTTGTTTCTGTTCGTATTAATTCCAAAAGTGTTGGACATTTTCATTTTGTGGGTCATGTTTGGAAATGTCGTTACGGACGCTAGGCTGTGTAATAAGATTACATATAGCGTATTTATGGCGAAAAAAATTAAGCTGCATTTAAAATGTGTGCGCCTGAATTTCGGAGCATGAATACAGTCGAGAAAGAAAGAAACAAAAATGATCTCACATCCCACATCCATACATTTATCATGACACTTTGGATACTTCATTGTTCTCTTATATTTTGAACGAACAAAACACAAAAACGTGTGCCATTCATCGCCCCAATAATGGCTGGCGTTGAAGTGTATTTATGCCCGAGAATAAAATAGAAAAAGAAAAAAAATGAAAAAAGTGTCAATCGACGACGTTACAATTTGACTTCAGAAAAGTGAAGTTCGAACGTCGAAGAGAGCCCAAAGAAATGTAAACACAACTAGAGACTCAATGACGAGCTGACTTTGACCGCCGCCGAATATGAAACGAAACTGCGTGCATAAGAAAAGCACAAATGTATTTCATACAGATGACGGATGGCGTCATCATCATCGCCGCTGCCGTCGTCGTCGCAGTCGTTGTGTCGTGTATTAATCGATTTTTATTAAATTATGAGCATAAATAGCTACCCATTTATTGATTTATAGTACATTGTCCATTCCATGCATTCGTCCGGCAGCGGCGCGCATTGGACGATGTGTGGCTTTCAAGTGAAAATATGCATTCGATCACGAATTCAATTAATTAATCGATGTCGAATGGTCCGAATTATTGGCATTTATACTTAATCGAACGGAAAATTATAACAACTATTAAATTATGCATCGCTCAGCTTCAAATACAATTTTCTCAAATATTTCAGTAAATGAAGAGAAAAAATTCCATTTCACAATCGTCATCAATAAAAACAACAAAAACCAGAAAAAAAAAGCAACATCAACACATTTTCATGCGACCAACATGAAAAATGAAGTGCAGACCGAAATGTGTACAAACAAGCGCAACTGGTTATTACCATTTCGGTAGAAGTAGCAACAATTTACGCTCGCAACAAATGCACGAAAATACACTGCAAGTAATTTATAATGAATTCGACTTTACTCTTCACTCGCAATATATATATATGATTCACTTGTTTGTGATGAGTGAACACATATATAGCGGAATGATGATGCATTGCACAGAAAAACCTTTTTTTCTGTGTTCAACTACAATGGACGCAAGCAAATAGGTAGCGCCATTGGACTTTTGTCTTATTTGCGTACGCGTACATGCACATGAAACGAATTCGAGCGAGAATTCTGACAACAAAAACAGTGCGACGACGACGGCGACGATGATGAAAAAAAGCATTTTGCGCTGCATGTTGAAAATTTTTGTGAATAAACTAATAAAGGATGATCACATAGACCGTCAACATAGCCTTAACCTCAATTTCGATTGAATTTTTATTCAATAAATTTCGTTGTTTCCCTCCTAAAACAATGCGAAACGAAAACACAACACGAAAAAATATGGAGAATTACACATCGAAAGAGCAACAAAAAAAAAATGATCACTCTCATTAGATGCAAATGTTGACACTTGTTGATTTCTTTTTGTGTATTTCGGTTTATTAGGAGAGAGAAAATATGTTTCGCTGTCGTTTTGTACATACAAAATGGCTAATTGTTCCGAAGGTGATGATCGCGCGAACGTAAACGCAACTAAACGCACTTGTTCGTCGTTTGTGCGCGCCGATCAATGCAAAATTGCTTAAGCAAAACGAGCATTTTTAATGAATTGATGTGATTATTTCTCTCTGTCTCTATCACAGAAATGTTTTCATATATAATTAAGTGACGTGAAGCTCAGTTAGACGATTTTCCATCGGTTACAAATCAATTTCAACTCCAATTAAATGGCCAGCGGTGTGTATTTATTTGCTGGTGGGCATTTTAATTGCGTATCATGTAAATGCGTCAATTTTACTACCTCTTAATTATGATATCGACGATATGATAATTATCGACGATTTTGCCAGCCATTTACTGTTTACCGTTTCACTGCAATCAACGGGATGTTATTAGATAGAATAATTATTTCTTTAAACGAAAATTACACATTTTTCTGCTCTTTGGTAATCATTTTATTGACTTTACTCAATTATTCTTTGTTTTGTGCAGATATCGGATATAGTTGTCGGACAAGATGATAATGTAACTGCACGAGAAGCATTGTTACGATGGGCTAGACGCTCGACAGCCCGTTATCCAGGCGTACGAGTTAATGATTTCACGTCATCGTGGCGCGATGGTTTGGCATTCTCGGCGCTTGTCCATCGCAATCGACCTGATTTGCTTGACTGGCGAAAGGCAAGATCAGCTCGACCACGCGAACGTTTAGAAACCGCATTCCATGTTGTCGAAAAAGAATACGGAGTCACTCGACTTTTGGATCCAGAAGGTAAGGGAATTTGGTGTTTGTTTTTTTACATTTTGAAATATCCAGACTTTGAGTTAAGCAGAAAAAAAAAGAGAAAAGAAAACGAAACAAAATTTTGAAGCAGTTGAAACGGAGAAACGATAACACAAAGAAGATCTAAAAATATCTAAGCGTCATTTAATTCAATCATCGCATTCACCAACTGCTAAAAGTGGTTCCATTCAATTAACTGTGAATCCCACATGGAGAAAGATCGAAACAAAATGTATTCGTTTTACGTTGAAAAATTGGAAATGAGCGCTAACAATGGCGATAACAATTTGCACACTAAAACCGACATTATTGTGGTTGTTGCTGTTGTTTCTTTTTCCTTCGTTTCGTATCGTTCTTTTCGCCCGGCATTCGTTGATTTATTCAAGACGATGTGTGGCTTCGGGTTTTTTTTAGGCAAATTTGGATTTCCGTATCAGCAGCAATAGCAAATGTGTTTTTTGCTATTATATTTTTTTTTTTTTTTTTTTTTGCGCGTTTTGCTACTTTATGCTCTCATCCGAGAAGCGTCTAACCGAAGCAAACTTACTCAAGTGCAAAGAAATAATTTTGTTTTCCATTTTTGCATTTCGGCATTTGAAACTGTGATTATAATCACAATGATATACACCGCACACGATTTCGCCGCGCTAACAATGGATTTTGGCCGATTGGGCAAAACAAAAGCGAAAAACACATCATCGATGAAACCGAATTGAAGTCGAACAGTGTGATGGCTGAGTTGGGCGATGGAAGAAAAACGAATTCAATAATTAACCATGTGGAACGTGCAAAGCACAAGCAAAATACATGATTTTTAACTGTTGCTATTGCAAAAAGCGCGTTCAGCCACAGTGACACAATGTCGGAATAGTTTTTTTTTTTTGCTCCTTCAAAATACTTTTTCTTCCTAAAAATTTTTTTTGAATCAAATCAAAGCCTTTGAAAACAATTCCCAATTAAAATGTGTTTAATTGCATTGCTTCCGTACAGATGTGGATACCAATGAGCCGGACGAGAAATCGATGATAACGTACCTCAGTTCATTGTACGATGTATTCCCGGAACCACCGTCGTTGCATCCATTGTACGATATGGATTCGCAGACACGTGTGCACGAATACAAGGATCTTGCCCATCAATTGTTGTACTGGTGCCGCGAAAAGACATCATTGCTGCAGGAACGTTCATTCCCATCAACATTGATCGAATTGAAGCGATTGTATAACGATTTAAATCGTTTCCGTAACGAAGAAGTGCCACCACGTCAGCGTGACAAACAAAGTCTATTCAAGGTGTACAAGGAGTTAGAGAAATACTTTGAATCTGTCGGTGAGGTTGAGGTGGAACCGGATTTGCGACCCGAATCATTGGAAAAGGCATGGCATCGATTGCAATCGGCTATTGTCGACCGTGACACAATATTACAGCAGGAGATCCAACGCATGGAACGATTGCAACGTTTAGCCGATAAAGTACAACGTGAAATTAAGCGCACCGATTCGCGCATCACCGACCTTGAACAACGAATCTCCGAAGAGGCGCGACGCATTGAACGTCTCCATCCAATCGATGCAAAGAACATTTGCGAAGGCCTCGAAACTGAAATCCGACAACTCGAAGCGCCCATCCAAGAGATGAACGAAGATTGTCTGGTGCTTAAAGATGGCCGTTATCCACAAGCTAGTGAATTACAGAAGAAGTGAGTGATTCTTTTTTATCTTTCAATTTTTTGTTTTCGTTCCATTTTCCAAACGCTCTGCTCCATGTTTTCAATGCATTTCGCTTTTCTATTCGCATTTTACAGAGTAACCAAGTTACATCAACGTTGGTCACAGCTTCGTGCATCATTCCACACGAATTTGGTGCAAAAACTGTCCGGTTTACGTTATCCCGTCCAAGAAACTACCGTTACAAAGCAAACTCGCACAGTGATCGAAGCACGTCAGATCGATACCAATCCATATTTCCGTGATTTACAAGAATACACTGAATGGTGCCAAAATAAATTGAAGGAGCTACTTGCCGCCGATTACGGTTCCGATTTGCCGTCCGTCAAAGCCGAACTGGATCGTCATCAACAGGAGCATCGCACCATCGATAAATTCCATTCGAAGGTTTTGCATGCCGAACGGCAACAAGTCAATTTCTCCGGCGATGAGCTGAATCTCTATCAGCAACGTCTTAGTCAATTACAAAAAGTGTACGCCGAACTCTTGAGCACGTCCAACAAACGTCTCTCCGACTTGGATTCGCTGTTGAATTTCTTGCAAGCAGCCAGCGCTGAATTGCAATGGTTGAACGATCGCGAACAAGTTGAAATCCAACGCGATTGGGCCGCCAAGGACCTTGATTTACCAGGAATTCACCGATATTACGAGGTAAGTGAACACCACTTAGTTTTGTAAGCATAGAAGTTATAAGGGCTTAGAAAGTAAATATCGAACGTGAATCGAGCATTTTCAAACGGTCTCATTTTAACATTTCAATTTCTTAAACTTTCAAGCGGAACTTTGGAAGTGGAGAGGATGTGAGTAATAGAAGAAATATGTCGTGCGCTTGAAATTTTGTCACTTGTTTTGATTTTTGTGTTTTTCGTTGAAGCAAATTATTTTTTTAAAAATTGTAGTTAGTCAAGGAATTGCGTTGAAAATTATCATTTGGGTAGAAAAATAGTTATCTGACGTCTGCATTCTGAACATTGTTCAAAAAGCCATCCGGAAACCATTGAATCGAAACCTAATTTAAGCATGGAAATATTTTTATTCAATCAAGTTTTAGCATGAATACTACTGCGTGTGAATACTTTCGTTGAGTACACTGGGATATCCTAATCGTTGACTTTTACCATTTCAGAACTTGATGTCGGAGTTGGAGAAGCGTGAATTACACTTTGCTTCAATTTTGGATCGTGGAGAAGCGTTGTTGATGCAACAACATCCAGCGGCCAAATGCATCGAAGCCCATTTGCAAGCATTGCAATCACAATGGTCATGGTTGCTTCAACTCACATTGTGTTTGGAGGTCCATTTGAAACACGCTACCGAATATCATAACTTCTTCTCGGAAATCAAAGATGCCGAAGCTTGGCTCACAAAGTAGGCGTGTTTGAAATTTGAAAAAGGGTTGAAATCAAATTTCAAAATTTTCATTCTAAAATTAGCAATACAATTTAAATTGAAATCAAACTCAAACACCAAATTTTTGTTTCCAAATTCCAGACGTGACGAAATATTGAACTCGAAATACTCACAATCGAACTTTGGATTGGATGAAGGTGAGCAGCTATTGCGCGGAATGCAAGATTTACGCGAGGAGTTGAATGTGTTTGGCGAAACGGTGAATCAATTGCAGCAACGTGCTCAAAATATTGTGCCATTAAAACAACGCAAACAGCCAGTGAATCGTCAGATACGAGTGCAGGCGATTTGCGCGTACAAACAAGGCAACATTTCGCTTGAAAAGGGCGAAAATTGTACATTGGTCGATACATCGGGCCGTGTTAAATGGCGTGTCCGTGCCAACGGTCAAGAGGGTCCAGTGCCTGGTGCTTGCCTACTATTGCCACCACCCGATCAAGAGGCAATCGATGCGGCCGAACGCCTTAAACGCTTATTCGATCGTACTGTTGCCCTTTGGCAGAAGAAACAATTGCGTTTGCGTCAAAATATGATTTTTGCCACAATCAAAGTAGTCAAAGGCTGGGACTTCGATCAATTCTTGGCCATGGGCGCCGATCAACGTAATGCAATTCGTCGCGCTCTAAACGACGATGCCGACAAATTACTGGCAGAAGGTGATCCAGCCGATCCACAACTACGACGCTTGCGTCGCGAAATGGACGAAGTCAACAAATTATTCGATGATTTCGAGAAACGAGCTCGTGCCGAAGGTAAAATTCAACGTTTTTTTTTTCTTTCTTCTCTTGATTAAATTCAAATGGCAAAGGGTAGAGATAGAGAGAGAGAGAGAGAGAGCGAAAAACCCATTCCAATTGATTGTCCAATTATGTTTTGGGCTTTAATTGAAAATTGCATTAACATTTAGTGTAATCGATTCCAATGCCATGTATCAATTAAGCTCATCATTTCGATTAAATAATCGTGTGGGCAAATAACTTTATAACACAGCTGGCAGTCATTCTGAGCTGTTGTTGTGGATTTTTTGTTCGTCTTCTCACAAATTAGTGAACTATACACGGTCTTATGACACTCAGTGGCCACACATACATCGAGTTTTGTAACCGTTGATGTCATGATTTCGTGATATTGGGCAATACATCCCAGGGGCATTGCCAACTAAATATCCCGAATCCAGTAAATTGATGTGCATGTTGTGACACCATAGTAAGGCGCGCACGCACACACACACAGCTGAAATCGTGCCGATTCTCTAACGATTTTCGGAACAAATAAGGAAAATGCTCCAAATATTTTTAATCGATTTTCAATAACGGTTAAATTGAATTCGAATTGTTTCGATCGAATAAATGCGCTTTTATTCATTCAGTTTTTATTTGTTCCTTGCTTGATGTGCACATCATTTGCTGACATTTTTTCTTTCTCTGTTCGATCATAGAAACATTCGTTCAAAATGCGGAAAATATTTCGATCGAATAGTTCTTCCCGTGGTATTTCATAGATTTTCACTGATAATTCCAACGCAAACTTCTTCATTTAACCTTTTTATTTGTGTATTTACAGAGGAAAGCAAACAGGCAACGCGCATCTTTACCGAAGAATGCATCGCACTGAAGAACAAACTGGAGGATATGGCTCGTGAATTGGACCACATAATCCTATCACCGTTGCCACGTGATTTGGATTCGCATGAGCATGCCGTTCAAATTCACGACGATTATCGTCGTCGTTTACAAAATCTCGAACCAGATCTGAAACATTTGCAAGAAACATTCCGTACGATTGCATTGAAGACGCCACAATTGAAGAAGAGCCTGGACAATCTAGTCGAATTGTGGAAGGAATTGAATACGCAGAGCAATTTGCATGGTGACCGTTTGAAATTGTTGGGCGAAGCATTGTATGGTTTGGAGGAAAATGAACAAGTCATTTCGGATTTGGAGGGTGCATTGGCACGTCAACAAGAGATGCCATCCACATTGGAAGGATTGCAATCGGTGTTGAAGCATTTGAATGAATTGCAAGACAAGGTGACAAAACAACAGCCACAAATCGATAAAATGAATGACTCGGCCGATCAATTGGGTCGCATGGGTGTACCAACAAAGGTGATCAACGACTTGAAACGCTTGCACGCAAATGTTGAACGGCTCAATGTTCGTTGGAACAATATTCGCACTCAATTGGCTGACAGGTAACACATCCTACATCTGATTAAAATCTATGCGATCAGAATGATTAATTGTTGTATTTGATTGGAATTTGCAGATTGGTCGGTTGCGAGAATGGCATCGGAATCTTGACAAAACTACAAACCAGTTTGGCCGCTGAAGAAACGTGGGTCGATGGAGCCACTGAAAAACTATCCGCCTTGCCAACAGCCACCTCAGCTCTGGAGCTTGATGTAAGTACCGATTTTCATTTCATCCATTTTCATTCAACATCGTTCACCAAATCACTCCGACAATTCATTAGTCCCTCCTACGAAATGTCTATTTCATCTATATACGAAGTCTCTGTATCATTATTTTGTATGATATCGTCGTTTTCCTATATACTTTATACTTGCGATTTAGTTAGAAAAAACCACAAAGTCTTGGAGTCATTTCACTCCATTGTGTATTGTCAAAACACGCAACAACAAAAACCAATCTTTAATTATTCTTTTATTCGTGTTGTGTTCTTCAATTCCGAGTATTTGTGTATTTTTTTTATGTTTTTAGAGCTGCAATATTTTTTAGTTGGTTATCAACGTTTTTATCAGTAGTTCCTCTATTCTTCTCTGTTGGACATAGTTCTTGTTATTTTTTTTTTAAATGTTATTGTGCGACACCAAAAACATATTATTTTCAATCGATATTTTATTTTTTTTTTATCTTAGTTGACAATAATTTGTACATATATATATATATATATTTTGATCGAAGGGCAATTGTGTATCCCTTTAAATTTGTATATATATAAAAAGTATTTAATAATCGATGGTAATGGGATTTAATCAAATGAAAATAAATTGAACGTATCTCTTGCTCTCTCTTATTGCAACAATTTCGTATAACTCAAAATCTCACAAAACATTTCGTAGATCCTTAACATTGTCGTCACATGACAAAATTCATTTATCGAAGACGAAAGAATTATTGCAAATTCATTTATTGAACTCGCACACAAATTACATAATTCACCACAATTTTTTATATATATTGTCACCGTGACCGAGCAAACGTGAGAAAGAGAGAACAAAATAAGAGAAGAAACGACAAAATGATCGTTATTATTTCGATTTAACCAAGCAAATAGTAGTAGATTTTGTTCCATATACACACACACACACACATAAGTATATTTCGTTTACGTTTTGTTTAATCGTATCGCTAAGAATTAATCAAGATTAATTGGATTTATTGTTGGGCTTTGGTTGTAGCTCTCTTTTTTTTTGTAAATTGTTCAAGTGAAATGTGTTCGAGTGAACACAACAACCTTTTTTTTTTTTTTCTTATTGGAAATTAATTTCAGCTCATTTACGTTTTATTTCAATTTTTGAAACACACGTAAATTGGATTACACACGAAATTAAGTTTATGATTTGCAACAGGTTGAACAAAAGGTATTATGATTTGTATTAATGCAAAAGTTATTAATGGCTCAATCAATTGAGTTGTGGAACAATTTGATTTTTTTCCGTTAAAATGTCGAAGAATTTCGATAGCGAGTCTATTTCAGTAGAGTTAAGTATACATATGAAAAACCGCTCGAGACATAAACCGTTCTGCTGTTACTGAATTTTACTGCACATCAATTGTTTTGTAATGATCTACTACTGATTTTGCCGACACACTGTTAAATACACGCAAGCCAATTTTAGTTGATAAATTTTTTTTTCTAACACCCATCGATTTTATTTTTTACTTTATCGATAATAAAGCACATATGATTTGACCAACAGCCACTTGCTAATAAAAACACACGACATAAAATATGTCCTCTCCTTCCCACAAAAAGAATAGTAAATACACAAATCAAACAATACACTATTTTACCAAAAAAAACGAAATAAAGGAAAAAAAAACAATGCACCACCAACTCACATTTAGCGCTAAGATTACATTATAGACAATATTAACGTACTCACTATCGTTAACGAAGAGTAAGCAGTAAGCCTTACTAAGCACCAATAAAACCAATTCAGCTCAACATTTGAGATGAGTTTTTTTTTTTTTTTTGTTGTCAATTGATTTTTTATTGGGAAAAATTGACAAAAAAAAAGTAGAATCATTTGGCATAGAGAAAACAAATGGGTTAACGATGGTTTGGTTACGCTAACTTCATTCTAGAATTAGATTGAATTTTTTTTCGTATTTTTTTTTACTAATTCTAATCTTTTCGATTTGTCTCCCCCATCTCTTTGATCTCCTTTAAAAAAAAAAAATCTGCATCCCCTTGAAACAAATTCAAATGATAAATATGTGAATTTAAACGAAATGCAATTAAATGAAATCACTTGATAAACCGACAAAAAAAAAACGACATAAATTTGTTCTGATAAAATGTGCTCTGGTGAATCAACATTGAATACCCAAATATACACATTCACACATATACACCCAAACTGATCCTCCTGCCCCCTTCGTGAACACCACCACCAACATCACCATCACCATCACCATAAAAAAAAAACCAATGAAAATAACCGTAAAATAACAAAATAAACAAAACTCGGATAAATTTCGTAATAAAATAAATGCACGTGATGCGTTTGATCATCACACGCCCAAAAACAACAACACACATAACTCTTTCACGCACACAAAAACGTTAAATAACGACCAAAATAATATGAACCAAATATTTGCACAAAATGCAACGAACGCAAACAAAAAAATTACACGCAACATGTTTCTCTTTAAAATGAATTATAAATCAAAAGGATTTACTTGGAAAAGCTGTTGAGCGCACACCAAAAATAGAACAGGTTAATTTGAATGGAGGTCGTTTGTTACGCGAAGCTAAGGTATGTTTAATTAGATGTAAGGTGTTCTATTGAAGTTATGTCGCCATGTTTTCTTGAATTTTTTTTTCTTCTTCTTCATTCGACGATGTGAACAGCGAACGAAAAAAAAAACTGTATTTTTATATGCATTTTTTTTCTCTCTATTGTTGCGATGATGAGATGAGAGTTTTACAGAAGAAAAAAAAAACATTTTGTGATAAAAAGACGCTCTCATTTTGATCAATGTCAAATTGTTACGTGTGCACGTATGATTCAGAAAATCGGTGAAATTTCTGATTGAACATTGTGAATAGGTGAATGCGTGATGAGCATGTGTCCTTGTTCGTGTGTTTATTCTGATGAATGAATTGAATGAATCGAAAACATCTTCAAACTTTGAACTTTTTCTCCTTTTTTTTCTACAATTAATTCAACAATTCCAAATTATCTACAACTGACCCTGCTTCTCTCAAAAATTCAATGCCAGACAATAATAATGGACAAGTGCAAATTTGTTTCTTCTATTGATCTATTATACTGTGCTGGTTTCATTTGGTTCTGACCCTTCATCTCTAAATCATCCTAATAATCTCGTAAAAATTCTCACCGTAGTTTTGAGTGAAGGAAGAAAATCGTTTCGATCTTAACTATTTTGTTAAGCTAGTTTAACGTTACTTTTTTATTACTTAGGCGACTACGAAAAAAAATTTCAATTCTGTTGAAGTAATAAAATTTAATATATTTTTTTAATCCATCAACACGCGAACTACACACACACACACAACTAATTTGACATCAAACAAACAAACAAAAACTCAAATTTCTAACATCATCTGAATAAAACCCAAACCAACACACACAAACTCAACCGCCTATCTACAAAAATAACCAAAATAAAAATAAAACCAATAAAATGAATAAAACACCCAAATGCCATGCAATCGTCGAATCCAAAACAAAAATCCAAACAAATTTGAATAAATTCAAACCACATCAACATCAACAATATCATCATCAACGTGCTGTGCCCATCGTCACTATCACCGTCATTGTCATTCGATGATGATGCACAGATCTATGACACAAAGTGTTTGCATTACACCGATTGGCTAGTCGAAACACGTCCCAGTTTCTCACCGCCACGACGAGATCTTCGACCACCCGGTCAGGATCCTGGCGCCAATGAAGTTTTCACCGAACGCCTCGATACACTCAACACCAAGTTCCAACGATTACTGGAACAATTGTCGCAACGTCTGAAGACCGCCATCGAAGTCAGCGGTGCCGAAGGATTGGTAAGTACTTTTTAAACGCATTTTTTTTTCGTATTTAAAGACGTGATATACAAATAAACAAACACATTCGATCGATCAAACAATGCGGCATATATCTGATTTTGGTATCGATCAAGGCTGTTTTGATTTGATTAGCCGCCGAATTAATTTGCATCCCGTTTAAATTGGTTAGTATGTGATCATCAGTCTGGAAATGCGAAGCAAACGCGAGCGCATGTATGATCATTGACAGCGGATTTTCGCTGTTTGGAATTTTAGCCACCGGAAAAAAAAATCACAGAATTCACATTCGCTTTTTTTTTTAATGACAAAAACTCACAAAAGATATCCAGTTTGACATCATAGACTCGTTTTCAATTTATTTAAATGAACAAGTGGGTTCTCCACATTTCTTGGTCGAAAATATGATTTCATTCATTTACTCTTGTGAGTGTTTTTTTGTTGTTGCTCAAATTTGCTTTGCCAGTCGTATGCTGCCGCTCTCCAATTTCAACGAAACAAGCGAAAGACATTGAAATAGTAAACAAAATATATATATCGGCAAAGCGGTCACCAGCAGAATGATGTCATATTCTTTTCCTTTTTCGAACAAGTACTTTGCGACTGTTCGTTTTATGCTTGAATTTTAAGAGCTTCGTTAAAGAAAAAACAGTTTTACAGCATTTGTTTTATTTTAACGAAACGATGAGATGGTATACGTGATGACTGCGACCGAAAATCGAAAGTTAAAAAAAAAAACAAGAGGTGCGAAATGATGTGAATTCGTCAATTTTAGAAGAAATCTTACGAATCAAAGTGTTAGAGTTAAAATTGGCATGCTTGCACGTTCACTTGGCTCATTATCCAAATGAAAATCGCCGATGAAGAGGGATACAATTCACAACAGGGACAGACGATTTCACAGTCTAGTCATGACAGTTGGACAAGATTCAATCAAAAAATACACCCTCAAATGACCGACAAGATAAATATATACGATTTTACATTAAAAAAAATGACGTAATTCCCATTAAGTTCATTAACGCACTATTCTTTTTCCCGTGCGGATTTCTTTCTCCCTCTCTCTCATATACTTTTCACGCTCCGTTCGCAATTAATAGTTGAAATTGTTCAACTTGAGACACGCTCTGTTCCAACAAGCATTTGGATACATTAACAAGCTGAGCAGCGAAAATGAATTTGCAAGCAACGCTGTGAATGAGTTTGTTTTTATTCAAACCAATTTAAAGTGAACTTTAGTTTGTTATCAAAACTGCAAGTACTTCTGATCGCAGTGATATATTTCATTTTTTTTTTTGTTTTCGGCAAACAAATGTTATCAGCAACATTTTGTAAGCTTTTGTTAGAGCAGGCTTCGTTTTTGCGCGACGTGAATCGATTTGTCAATAGCGATTGAAGTATCCAGTGCGGATATATTACGCGGAGCATTACACACTGAAACTCGATCACAACGAATATTATTAGGCAAAGAAAAAAGAAAAAGGTCTCGCTCTCTATATTTTTGTTTAACTACCAGCGAAATTTATGAAGCGTACGCTTAGAGTGCGTCGTTAAGACCGATCGCGTATCGTGTCCACTCTGAGAATTCACACACAACAAATCATCGGATCGTATTCACACGGACTGAAAGACACACGTCTATAGAACGTAGGCAATAGAAAAAATACACATTTGTCGCCGGACGTGAGTGTGTGGCAGGAGACAGTGCCGCTTGAATGCGACGATGTTGGCGCTTTGAGCATTCAACACACAACGCCAATCACTTAGTCGATGTTTGATAATAATCGTTCGTGTGTCGCGTGCTTAAACACACATTCTGTCGATACAGTTCTGTCGTGCGTTTCTTTTTTCTACACTACGAATTACTTAGTGTAAATCTCATTTCGAAAATAGTTGGTTGGTTTCTTATAAGTTTTTGTTTCGGTTTCGTATTTTCGGTAATTTAATTGGATTTAAAATTGAAGATTTGCGTCGGTTGTTTGATTGGGTAATGAATCTAGAAAATTGTGCGTATTTCCATCGAATTTCACAAGTTAAAGCCGAACCAAACGACATGGAATCTGCTTTTTTGCATGTATCACTCGACTATTGGAAAACTTTATGATTTTGAACATACACAGAGAAAAGATCGAATCGTAAACAAAACAATTTTATTACTTCGATATTCTTGACAATTTCATCACACTTCCGACCGATAACTTTGGGCTATTGTGTCACACTCAATGTAAACTAATTACTCATTTTTTTTCGCACGAATTTCTAACGATATCTACTTTACAATCACAAAAATGCGAGTTTCGACCAAGTTTTTCTTCAGAAGAATGATCGATTTGATTGAATTGTTCCTTCCTTTTTGCTGTTTTACAATTTCATTCGAACTGAATTACGGTCGAAACGGTCAGTTAATGAATCCGAAATGTCAGAAATTGAACGAGTATGAGTTAGTGGTGAATGATGAATATAACGATGCTATGAATATTTATAGTTTTGCCAAGCGAACTAACGAAACGAAAGAAAAAAGAAAAAAAAAAAAATTAGAGAGCAAAAAAAAACAACGAAATAAAAGGCGCTCACACAAAAAAAAAATGTATACTACACCAAATGTGTGAAAAAGAATCGCGGCCTGTGAGTTATGAAAGTAAAATTGTGGTAGTCAAGGCTTGCATAGTCGTATCAAGATCCGGCGAGAAAAAAAATGTAGTGTGCTTTTTTTTGTTGTTCTTACAAGTTTCTTTAAATTTTAGTTATACGAATTCATATTTTGGTTGCCTGTTGTTTGCAGCCGATCGTTTTCTCTTGTAACGTTGAAATGACGTAATTTTTACGCCTGCCGATGATCCCTTAGTTTTACTTTCGCCGTTTTTTTTGTTGGTATCACCGACTTTACGCGCACGCATTCCAATTGTTTCAAATCAATGGATTTCGTTGCAGAGATCAAACAATTAACTTCTGATTCCTGCTATCTATCGAAAAATCGGCGATTGTCCACCGTATCACATACACATGCACAGGAGTGCAAAGTTGATTGTATGTGTGGCCGACTCTTCTTCGGTCTTCGTGCACTTTTCCGGTTGATTCAAATCGGTTTTGCTGAAGGCTACCATCATAAACCTATTCTAGAATGCGTATCGCAGCAAAACAAAATTAAAACAGCGGAAATGTTTTCGTTGTTTTTTTTTTTTTTTTTTCTGTGTTTCAAACACGTTTCACAAAGTCATATAAATCAAAGATTGCGCCATTTATACCAAGATTTCCGAAATATTTCACATATTCTGCTGGCTGTGGAATGCAAAATACATCATTTGTGTCATTCAAATGGATGAACATTTGATGAATTCTATGCTCTCTGTAGTTGTCTTGAATTCTAAGCCGTCAGCGATTATTTTTTTCTTTTTCTTCTGAAACTAGTTTTCACTTTTCATTTTCGATTGAGCACGAAACATTTGCATTTCATTAAATTCAAATATGGCAACAGCAAATCAGTGCAAGCGACTAAACAGCAAATCACTGTATATTTCTGATTTAATTGCAGTTTTCGAAGAAATGATGAGAGCATCCAATTTGAAATGCGCTTTTTTGATCGCTTATTTTGATATGAACCTTGTGCATGAGGTGAACTGCAATTCGAATGAATTTAATGCTAATGATTATCTCATAATGTAATGGCGCAAGCGAAAAAAAAAAAAACGAACGGCCAACAATTTTGTGGTATTGTTATTATCATATTAATGTGGAGAGTGATTTGTTTTTTTTTTTCGTCTGTTTTTCTTTTTCGGCGAATCACATTCTAGAAATACACCTGTAGCACACGACAATATTAAATAAAACACCAACTTGAAATATTCAAATCAATTTATCGATTTGCCCGTGGAATAGGTTAGTGTTGTAAATTGTCTGCATGTTTCGATAACGAACAAAGTCACACGGGGTTTTTTTGTTGTTTTTTTTTTTCTCTCCATCGATTGAGTTGTGATGTAGCCGATTTGAAAATAGTGCACAGACACACACACACACACATACACACACAGTCATATGCGGCAAAGTGGAACAGCTGATTCAGTTCATTTCATTCGGTACAGAGAGATGTAACGTTTGCGCGCTGTTGGCACATATGCACACATACATAAAACACTTGACGTCTGGCAAAACGTCATGCAGTGAGGGAAAATCCTCCGAACCATACGGTTCATTCAGAAATTATTTTTGTGCTATTCGCCGAATCCGTAGAAAATTGTTTGATAAACTTCGATTTACTTTTCGTTTTGAATTTATTTTTCGTTCGCTATTTTCTCTTCTCTCTTTCGTGTTATCGATAAATCAATGAACATTTTCACGCTGAAAATCGAATGAAAATTGATTAAAGTAGTGAAATCAATATATCTCTAGAACAAAACGTTCTGATTCATTCCAATCGATTTGACCGATAGCCGATTTGCATTCGTGATTTTCGCCGCAATTCAAGCAAAATGGAACAGTTCGATTTAATTCAAAGCATATCGAATTGCTTTGTTTATAAATTTACATCGTGCCAGTTTACAAGTTTTGGGCGTGTAACGAGCCGTTTTTTTTTTTTCTTCTTCTACGAAACGCACGAAACACATTTTCTTTGACATACTTTTCCGCATTTATTTCGTCGTACGCGCTCAAGCGTGAGTGGGCGGCCGGCAAATTTTTCTGTTCGTTTGGTTTGTCTGTAAATTCTGTTTGAAATGCAATCTCAATAATCATTGACTCATTTGAATAGCTTTTCACCGATGAATTCCGAGTGAAATTTAATTATGTAAAGAATTAAGTGGCGATAATAGTAAAAGAGAAAATTCTATACGAAAATTACGTTGGATTTTCACGTAAGCGCACATATATATTGAAACGTGAACATCACAATGGAAGACGATACGCAAAATAAGAAAACATATAATTTTGCCTATGAAATTTTGGTATGTTTTAACCGATCGAATGTATTTGTTCTGTATATTGAGTAAGCTGTGTTAGCTCAACTGGTGAGTGTTCAATGTGTTTAAAATCAAATTCGTTCATTTTTTCAGCGCTATGCGGAGAGTTTACGTCAACCACTTCGAACCTATCGGTCGGAGTTTGTCATTGGCAATACACCTCAGAGCGAAGTTAGCGATGAGGATTTATACACCACATCGTACAGCACATCACAGTAAGTTTTGACTTCGAATCTGAATAATCGACTAGCCTCCGAAAATGAAATCGAATCGTTTTTATTTTCTAAACGATATTCTCTGTGTCCATTTCTTTCATTCCTAGATTCATAACAACGAGAACGTCAACATTGCAAACGGATGTTAAGCGATTGAGTGATACAACGGATAATGGCAATACGATTATTGAGCCGCGTGCCAATATCTTGAACAAGCCAGGCGTGATTGATCCGAATTCGGGACGTGTTTTGACCATTGGCGAGGCCATACAGTCGCGAATATTGGACGTGCGAACGGGTGAAATTGTGTTGAATCAAGATCAACGTATCTCGCTGGAGGAGGCAGTCGAACGGAATTTAATCGATGCAACACTTGCCAATAGCCTATTGCAACCGGGTGCAGCATTCCATGCAGGCAAACCGATCAGTTTGTTGGAGGTGATCCAGCGTGAATTATCCGAAGCGGAAAATGGTTATGATTCAACTGAGAAGCGTATTAAGGTAATAACCACCACAACGACCACGTCGTCGTCACGAAATGCGAATGATGATGATGATGATGTAGGCGCCACGGGCTATACCGTCGTAACGCACAACGAAAGTGTAAAAATCAAACCGAACGAATTGTGCTTATCGGATGCAATTGTGCACGGTCTCGTTGACACAAGTGGTTGGGTCATGGATCGCAATTCTGGCGATAAATTCCGTTTGGATTCGGCCATTGTAAATGGTTTGATAACACCGCACGTACGCGAAATTGTCGATGCAAAGAACGATATTAAAATTACGATACAACAAGCACTGGACGCTGGCATTTTGAATGCCAAAACCGGTCGTTACATGCAAAATGTGACAAAGGAAAAGCTAACATTTATCGAAGCAAAGAATCGACAGCTCATCGGTAAACCGATGACATTGAAAGATGTTTGTGATTTGAATCTGCTAGAGAAGAACGGTACGATTATTTCACCGACGCGTCGCAATAAATTGAGCATTTTGGATGCAATTGGCATCGGTGTGCTCGACAAAGATTCGATAAAATCGGTGACAAAAACAAAAGACGAGAAAATTACATTGGGTCAAGCATTGGCCGAAGGCATTGTTTTACCCGATTCCAAATATCGTGATGCAATTACACAAGAAGAAATGTCAATACCGGAAGCCGTTGAACGTGGCCTTATTTCGTCTGTTTCACAGCGATCCATTTTCAATATAGACGGCTTCAAAGATCCCTATTCCAATGATTTTGTCTCAATCAATGTGGCACTAAACAAAAATATTCTACGCAAAAAAGATGGCCAGTATCAATTGGATACCGGCAAAGGTAATTTAATTCCATTGTCAGTGGCCATTGAAAGTGGGCTGATTCGTCCTGAATTCTATGAAATGATCAATCGGCCAATTGGCGTATTTGATGCCACCGGCAAAGAGTTATCTGTGTTAGATTTAGTCTATTACGATTTAATCGATCCGAAATCCGGTTTTCTTTTACATCCCAAAACAAAAGCTATTGTTCCATTGGATCATGCGATCGAATCGAAATTAATCACATCCGAAGGTGCTTTATTGTTAAGCAGTTTATTAAATATTACGCTAACCACGGAAACGGTTACCAAGACAATACGACGATATGTTACAATCACCGATGACGATGATCAAATCGATCCAAAGTCACAGGTTGAAACGGTTTTAACGTTTACCGAAGCCGTGCGTCTTGGTTACATTGATGAAAAACGCCAATTATTCACCGATCCAAATACAGGCAAAATTTATTCAATCCAACAAGCGCTTAACCATCGATTCATTTTACCCGATTCGAATAGTGTAAACATTCCAATTCCAGCTGCACACTCGACCATCACACTGATCCGTAAATCCATTGAACCCGAACAGTTGAGTGAAAAGATTCAACGAACCAAAACCATTCACCAGGTTCCAATTCAGCAAAAGTCGAGTGTTGCCGAAGTGATGTCACCGTCAAAAGAATACTCAACATTCCATACGGAAACAAAAGTCGAAAAGAAACTCGATACAAAGAAAATAACAACGGATTTCTTGACCGTTGAACAAAAAGTGATTCCAATGCAAGCGACCGAGCATTTCCTCGAAGTGCCACCGGAAGGATGGCTCCTTTCAACTGCCATCGAAAATCGTTTGTTCGATCCAATGACCGGTCTTTTCCATATTACAGCTACCGATCGATTGGTTAGCTTCGAAGAATGTATTCAGCTAGAGATTATCAATCCAGCCTCAGTGTCTGTGATTGATCCAACGAATGGTCGAAAGATCAGCGTAAAACGTAGCTTTGAAAAACGTATTTTAGATCCAATTGGCAACTACAAAAAGAACAATAAATTAATTGGCATGAAACAGGCCATCGATTCAGGTTTAATCATTCTCGAGGATGCTGTCACAGTAACGCAACCGAGTGATAAAACCGCTACCATTCACTTTGTACAAGATGCAGACAAATCGGAATTACAAACACGTATTCTGGTTAAGTCACGAACACAATCACAAGAAATGCCTAGTCCCGAACCAATTCAATTGGTGCCTGGCATCATTTATGATCCATCAACAGCTCTGGTCATTTTCACCGAAACCGGCCAATCGGAGAATATATTGTCGGCCGTTGAAAAAGGTTTAGTCGATAGTAATATGGTGAAAATAATTGATCCAAAAACCGGGACACCACTCACGGTGAAAGAGGCCATTGAAAGTAATGTGGTTGATAGTAAAACGGGTCAACTGATTGATGCTTCAAATAATAAAATCGATTTGATAAATGCATCGAAGCTCGGTTTGTTGGCAGTCATTGGTTCGCCATTGGTTGCCGCAGCCGGTGCCATCGAATCGCTGAAATTCATTTTTGATCCGAAATCTGGGCAACAAATCCCATACGAAATCGCATACGAACGCGGTTTAATTTCAAAAGAAGAACTTTTAGCCGTTTCACCTTCGTATTCACCAAGCCATACAAAGTATACCGTTTCAATTGGACGCACTCCCTCAAGTCCAGAACGCGAATCTAAGCCGATTGTTTTGCAAAAAATGCGCAAAAAGATTGTTCGGCCAAAGGATGCCGTTGCAAAGGGTTTGATCGATGCTAAAACGGCCGAAGCGCTGGAAACAAGAGAAGTGTTCCTTGATGAGAATGGTGATGTTCAAACGCTTTCGGATGTTGTTAAAACCGATAAAATTGAAGGCGACTCGGGCGCCATCGTTGATCCACAACGTGGTGATGTTTTGACAATAAACAAGGCGATTGAACGCGGCATTCTCGACGCCGATGGTACAAATCAAATTCTAGTACCGCTCAACAAGAGTTTGTCTATTGCTCAGCTCAAGGACCAAGGTCTAATCGATCCGAATTCATTGAAAATTATTCACCCCGAAACGGGCAACATTTTGAATTTACGCGAAGCAATTATTTGTGAAATTGTTGATCCATTGTCACATGTTGTTGATCCGTATACAAACGAAACGATCACCTTGCAAACGGCCATCGAAAAGGGTGTGATCGACGAAGAAAACTGTTTGGTGACCGCTAAGAATTTGGGCAAAGTCGATTTACTTACAGCCATTCAGCAGAAAGCTTTCCCTGTCGATGTGAAATCCCCACGCAAAGATTCAAGTGATATGCCACCATTGGGCATGACATTGTCTGTTGCCATTAAACGTGGTGCGGTTGATCCAAAAACACAAGAATTCGTACATCCAATTACTGGTGAACGCGTGCCTTTACTTCAAGCCATCGAAAATAATACAATTATGGCTTTGCCTTATACACCAAATGTTGATAGCATCAATATTTCCGATGCACTCGATGCCGGTCTGGTTGATTTCGCTTCGGGCACTGTTAAAAATCCAAATACTTTGGAAATTGTTCCCATTGCTGAAGCCATTGAAAATGGCCTCTTGGTTGTTAAACCATTGCCCGAATTGATTCAATTGCATTCGTCCGGGCCACACACTTCAGTTACCGAAACGGTTACATCGTATCACACCATTACAACGAAAATGGTTGAATTGCTCAGTGGCTATGCGCTGGTGTCACCAAATGAAGTGAAACACCTTCAAACCGGCCAAATTCTTTCGATCGACGAAGCCAAACAGAAGGGCATTATCAAAGATGAGAGTCAAACTAGTAAACAGTTTGCAACTCGTGAGATTAAAGTTAATTTCTCCGATGCAATTCGTCGTGGTCTTGTCGATATTAAAGCTGGAACGTATACGGATCCATCGTCTGGTACAATTATGCCAATTCAACAGGCTGTTAGCGATGGCATTCTTGAAACTGACGATAAATCTAGCGATAATGAAAGTGAAGGCACACCGAAAACCGAGTCGATGACTCTTTCCGAAGCCGTTGATACCATTTTCGATGAACAAAGCAAACAATTCAGAGATCCAAAGAATCCACAGCGATTGGTTACATTCACTGATGCCATGAAAGAGGGCATCATTGATAGCAAATCGGTTGTGTTTGACGTTAAATCGGGCAAAGCACAAACACTTGAAGACGGCGTTAAAGTTGGATTGATCGATGCCAAAACGGGTGAAATCAAACAACCCACCGGCAAAAAGGTCAATGTTAAAGAGGCAGCGAAATTGGGCTTGATGGCCGTTGTCGGTGCACCAATTTTAGCCGGCATGGCTGTCGCTGATGCCGTTAAGAATGTTGCCAGAAAGATTGACAAACCAAAAGCTGAAAAAAATGTAGAGAAAAAGAAACCGGAAAAGGCAGAAAACCCCGAAACATCGGTTAAAATAGAAAAATCAGTAGAAGTCAAAAAGCCAGAGGTAGTTGAAAGAGGTAAAAAATCGATGATTATCGAAATACCAACTTCAATTCAACGAACTCAAACTGTTGAAATTATTGAAGAGCAGCCGGTTGAGGCAGCAATTTTGGAAGAACCAGAAAAATTGCAAAAATCAGAAAAACCTGACGATTTAGAAAAATTAGAACAATTGGAAGAGCCTGTAAAAGTGGTCAAAACCGAAAAACCAGTGCCACAAGCACGTACCAAAGTTACTGTACAAGAAGTTCAATCAGAGCCCGAACAATCGAGCACATTCACAGTCTCAACGCCGTCAACAACGATGAAAACGACTACGACTGTTACGATTACTGGCACTCAAGTGCTCGAAACTGAAAAACCAAACATTCCACAGGTGCAAATAGGTTCGGAAGAGATAAAGGATATTGTTGTAGAAACAGTAAAATTAATTGAATCCGAAGGTGTGCAATACCCTGAAGTGGTTGATCCAAATGTTTCAACGGTGACAATCGAAACAACGGCACCGATAATTCGAATCAACGAAACGCTAACACCTGAACAGCTCGAGCTGTACGGTGTCTTTGACAAAGAAACAGAATCATTTGTAAATCCAGATACGCAAGAGCGTATTCCATTTTATTCCTTTATTTACGATTTGAATTTATTCGATCCATCAAATATTTATGTCAAAGATTTGAGTCAGAATGTGTACGAACCATTCGAAGTGGCTTTGGAAAAGCCGTTAATTGACAAGAATTCAGGTCACATGGTCGATTCGAAGACAGGTCAACGTGTTCCATTCTTTGAATGTGCACGAAGACGTTGGATTCTCGAACGTATTCCCGAAGAAGACGAAGAAGAAGATGACGATAAATCCGATCGTGTGGATTCATCGTACAGCACTGAAGCACCATTGAAATCACCGGGCGTTGAAAGTGTTACCGAAGAAATTGAGCCGGAATCAATTGCGAATGCCATAAAAACGGGTACGATTCGCATTGAACGATTGCTTATTAAAGAACCAGTTACTGGCCAAACGATTTCAATGTCGGAAGCCGTCGATCGCGGTGTTGTTGATCTGCGACAAGGTGTTATTGTCAATCCAAAAACAAAAGAAACCATCGAATTTGCCAAAGCATGTGACGATGGATTACTCCTTACCGCCAAACAACCGGCCATTTCTCTGGAAGCCGTCCTACGGCAAAATCTGTACGAACCCAGTGAAGGTGTCATTTATGACATTTCCAAGAGAAACTCGTACAATATTCGAGAAGCCATCGATAATGGTATTGTTAATCCGGAGATTTCACTGATTAAAGACCTAAGTACAAACGAAAGCGTACCTCTCAATGATGCATTGAACAAGCAGCTGGTCTTGTACACGGGCAAAGTGAAGCGTAATGATGAATTGGTGCCACTTGATGTGGCATATAATGAAGGTTTAATTCAAACAAAACCTATTAACTGGGATTTACTTCAAGTACTAATCAAACAATATTATCTATCGCAAACGGGTACATTCCTTAATCCGATAACCGGAAATCAAGACACCTTATACGATGCCATCAAATCTGGGTGGATTGACACATCATCGATTTTAGTGAAAGATGAAAAAATCGATGATGTACTGCCGTTGAATGATGCCATTGAATCTGGATTGGTTGACGCTAATCGTGGTGTTATTACCCGGCCAGAGCTTCCATTGGACGATGCAATGAGCAAAGGCTATTTATTTAGTGCCAATAAACCATATTCTCTTTCTGAGTTGATCATTCGTCATCTGTACGATCCGATGACTGGCTTATTGACCATCGACGGCACTCAAGTTACACTAGAACAAGCACTAAAAGATAATTCAGTGCAAGTACAAGATATGGTTATCATTGATCCTCGCACAGGTGAAATAATTACATTGCTCGAAGCCATTCGACGTGGAATTATTGATCCTCGTACTGGCATCGCCATTGATCCACGATCAGGTCTCAAACTTACATTGATTGATGCATTCGAACGAGGTATACTCATTCAATCGAAACGCAAATGCACTTTGCCAGATGCCGTATTCAAGGGTATTTATGATCCAAAATCAGGTAAATTTAGTACGTCTCAAACATCGGAAAAATTATCGGCTGAAAGAGCCATTCGTCGTGGCATTATCGATGCTCAATCGACCATTGTTAATGTTAAAGGTCGCGTGCTGCCATTCGAATTGGCCGTTGAATCGGGCATTGTTGATGTGCGTCGCGGAATGGTTTTGGATGACTATGACAATAAAATTGACTTTCGAGAAGCTTTCGATCGTGGTATTTTGATCGAAGTGAAAAAACCAATTAGCCTGTGTGAAACAATGCTCAAAGGATTGTATGATGAACAAACCGGTTTGTTCATGGATCCAAAGAGCGGTAAACGATTGACAATTTCTCAGTCATTGGGTCGAAATTTGATTGATCCAAATTCAGTTCAAATGAAAGATTTAAGCAGCGGCCTTTACAAGCCAATTTCACTAATTGAAGCCACACAAACGGGTCTAATTGACGGTGAAAATGCGTTGATTTTAATCGGTGACAAGCGTATCACATTGCGTGAAGCATTCGATTTGGGCTTGCTCACCGATACAAATGCTCCGATTAGCATTCAACGGGCCATTCATCAAGGTCTTTATGATAGTAAATCGGGTAAAATTCATGACACAAAATCCGGCCGTAAAATCACACTGCTCGAAGCAATCCGTCGATTTACAATCAATCCACAATTGCCGTGCTATTTCAATGAACACGAAGAGGCATTGTTGTCACTGGGTGAAACGTGTCGTGCACGTCTCATTGATCGTCGCGAAGGCGTTTTCAAAGAGCCTGGCAGTGACACATTTGTTCCGCTAAGCGAAGCAATGGCACTGGGCTTGATCGTTGACATCGAAAATGGTTCATTCGGTTTGTATGAGGTAATTGCAATGGGCTTGTACGATCGTCACACCAAGCAAATCATTCATCCGGTAAATAATCGACGACTTTCGTTGCAACAAGCATGCGTCGAAGATCTGGTCAGCCCAGTTGCATCGCTGGTTAAAGACACCACCACCGGTAAATACTTGAAATTGAACGAAGCAACTAACGCTCAAATTATTGACGATAAACAAGGCGTGTATATTCTGCCACAATACACGCTTGATTTGGTTGAGGCACGAAGACGCGGTCTCATTGTATCCAATCAAAAATTGTTGTCGGTGGAAAAAGCCGTTAAAATGAAGCTTTTGAACGCTGACAATGGCAAATTTATCGATCCAGCATTGAATGTACCATTTACGTTGCAAGAAACTATCGATAATGGTTTAATCGATGGTGAAACGACTGTCTTCAAAAATTTAATCACTGGTCAATACAAGCCTTTGAAACAGGCCATTACCGAGGGTGATATTGATGTTGCCAAAGGCAAAGTACTCGATCCTAAATCCAAACTAGCCTACACTTTCGATGTTGCACTGGAGAAAGGATTACTTGTTACCATCGATCGACCAGTCACCGGTCACTCGATAATTCGTCACGATAGCATCGACCTAACCATGTCACCCGTATCGAAAACACCGCGTGAAATGACGCTACGCGAAGCAATTCGCTATGAAATCATCAATCCAGAAACATCCGTCTTCAAAGATCCAATCACTGGTAAATTCAAAGCACTCAAACACATAATCAATCACATCGATCCGGAGATTCGTGCTGTTGTCGATCCAAAATCATCGTTCTTTGTATTTGATAAAACATTCGTAATTTATACGCGTGAACCGATTTCATTTGAATATGCGGTCGAGTCCAAGCAATTGAATTTACCAACGGGCAAATTTATCGATTCACTGGACACCACGAAAAAAGAGCATCTGCTAAAAGATGCCGTTGGACAAGGATTAATTGACCCGGAATCGGCGTTAATAAAAGACGGTGCAAAACATAAGCTCGTTCGATTGCCTGAAGCCTATCGCAAAGGTTTGATCGATGCGGAAAAAGCGAACGTTGTCGATTCGACAACATCCAAATTGTACGCACTACAAAGCGCCTACGAAATTGGTCTTCTCGTCACACCGAAACGTTCATTTGGCTTATTGGAAGCGCTTTCGTATCACTTGTACAACCCACAAGACGGCCAATTCGTCGATCCATTTGCCACCGAATCGACATACACCACCGTCGATGCTGCTAAACAGCCACAAGTGAATAGCATCACATTGAACGATGCAATCGCATCCGGACTCATTGATCCAACAACGACCGTTGTTCGAGACACATCGAACAGCACGATAATACCGTTAACAGCGGCCATTACACTCAATATCGTTGACCCAACGAACGGGCAACTCATAAAATCCGACAACGAAAAACTTGATTTGGTAAAAGCACAAGAAAAAGGATTCTTGTTGCCAGCTGAACAGCGGGTGAGTTGTTATTGTGATCACACGCGCGACACACAAACACATTTACCAAGAATAACCAAGCATTCAACTGCATCTGTTCTATTTTTTTATTTTCGATGTCTACATTTTTTTTTCTTTTTGGATTTGTTGTCATTAATTTAATTTTTTTCGAAAGATTAACGCGTACATTATTGGTACAGCTTCTTTCTGCGTTTCTTAAGTTTTAATTCATTTTTTTTTTTTTTTTCGTTCAAAACGCTTCTTTTCGTGCCAATTCAAACAGATTTCATTGAAAACAACAGAAACAAACATTGAGCTAACACCTTTTTTTTCTTCCTTTTTTTTCATTTTCTCATACACTTTCACGCACTCACCCCCTTTTTCTAAAATGCCTCTTTTTTTATTCCATTCCAAATTTTCGGCTTTTATTCATTTTATTTTTGCATGTCTTTCGATGAAATGCATCCATGTTTTTGTCTAAAACATTTTGAACATAAACACATTTATATATGCATTTTGGGGATTTTGAAGAAATCGATTTGAGCAATTGAAACGATTTCATTCGTCTTTCAACTGTGTTTTGGTTAAAGTTACTTATTTTGTTCGTCTAAATGCGACTACCAAAAAACGATCAATTTCTTCTGAACCCTCCGCCAAAATTCTTCCGTTTCATTTAATCCCACACTCACATCTGTTTGTTATTAATCGGCTTTTTTTGACTGAATTATCCGGAAAATCGAAAAAATTTGCACAGAAAAATCCGAATTTTCAAAAAAATTATTAACAACATTTTTAGTAAAGAAAAGTAAATTCAAATTGTTGGTCAAAATTTCATTTTTCAAAATTCGACTCTGTTCCAAGCGCCAAAAAATAATATTCCATGCGATGTAAAAAAAAAAAACAATGTTCAAAATCTCATGGTACTAATCCATCACCAAGCACCACCATTCTCATTGCAAACAACAACAACATCAACAAAATTAAGGCGTTAGTCTCAATGCTCATAAGAACAGACAATGAACTCGCATTTCGTTTCTCTCGCAAAGCTTTCGAACAAATAATCACAATAACAACAACATACAAAATGTTCCATCAAATGGCTAATTTTTGTATTGCATAAATCGACATCAACACACACACAGAGACATAAGCAAACCAACAACAATGCAGTTTTGTTCACGAACGCTAATCGTTTCCGCTATGTACACATTAAAAAACGAACTCTCTTCATACTTTGCAGCCTATTTGTTTTCCATATTCAAATTTAAAAAAAAGGTCACACATAATCATACAAAAAACGCCTTAAAATCGTCATCATCATTCATCAATTCAAGAACAAGAATCTTCGTTTTTTTTTACTTATTCAAACATATATTTTTTGCGCCATATATTGTACTTAAATTGCATGAAATACTTTATTGATAAGAATGCACGAGGTTTTTCGTTTTTTGATTGCATGGCTTAATTTGGCACATTTTATGCTACGGAGAATGCGGTGAAAATTTTGGTTTTATTTAAACGATTGTGTTTTTATTTCATTTACAGGTTATTATTTTATATACGATATTTTCATTTTGCAGCATTTTCAGCCAATAAAAAAAAGAACAAAAAATAATTTTAAGGCATATTAACCAAATTAATTTATTTTTACCTAATTTTTGATGGGTTTTACTTTTGCATGGATTATGGGTTTATTTCAGCATAAGTTTTATGAACTTTATGTGAATGTTTTGTATCTTCTTCTGGTTAAAAAAAAAAAAAAAAAACAATTGTTATCTAGTTTTAGTTGCAACTTTATTTGCGTGTGTGTTCCTAGTTTATAGATTGGCTGGATTTTTATCCTTGTGTTGGGGTGTTATTTTTATTGCTATCATTTGCGTTTTTCGTATTTTAAGTGATTATGTCTATTGTCGTTGCTTTCCACCCATTTATGAGACTTTGTCTTGTTTTGCTACATACATTTTCCTCTATCTTGTTGTTTTGTCTCTACTTTGAAACACAAAGAAACAGCAGGTATTTTATGTTTTCTTTTTTGCTCTGGATAGAGTTTTTTCGCATTTGAAATAATGATACACATTTTTTATCCTTTGATTTTATCATCATTTTTTTTTTTTGCATCATTTGACACTCATGTTTATTTTTAGTGTATTTCATTTTGGGCGTTTGCTTTTTCTCATTCTCCATCTCGATTCAAATCACATTTCTAATTGGTTTTCCCATTTTAAATTGTTACGCAAAACAGCAAGCCGTCATTGAGAAGTTCAACTTATGCGAAGATAACTTATCTGGTTTGTTGAAATGGATTGGACAAATCGAGCAGAAAATCGCCTCAGTTGGCGGACCAAAAGAATACATCGATGAGTTACGCAACCAAATCAATTTACTCAAGGTAAAAGTTATTGAAAACAATTACTTTTGTAGATCAACATTTTAATTTAATCTTTCCTTGTCCAACAGCAAATCAAAGAGGAAATTGATGGACAATCACGACCAGTTGCATCTTGTTTGGAACAAGTGCGTCAACTTGTGCTAACCGGAGGAGATGTACTCAGTGCACCAGAGGTGACCAGTCTCGAGAATTCAGGACGTGAGCTTCGATCACGTGTTGACCGTGCTCAAGATCGTACATCGAAATTGTTGAAGAAACTCGGTGCTGCACGCGACGAGCTTAGCAAATTGAGGTAAATATCAAATGTTTTAATTGAAAATTCGTCTCGTTTTTCAAGTTCATTCCACTTTAGTGTTATTCATCCTTTAAACACTCATTAACACGAAATGTTCGTTCCATTTTGTCATTCAGATCTGAGCTCGAAGTATTCTCCACTTGGTTGCAAACCAGTCGTCGTACATTGGAAGACAAGGAACGTGCCCTATCCGATTTGAATCGCTTGGCATCGCAGTCGGAATCGATTCGCGATTTTGTCAGCGATGTGATCGCCCATCAAGCCGATTTGCGTTTCATTTCGATGGCTGCCCAGAAGTTTGTCGATGAATGCAAAGACTATCTCGGTACACTCAACGATTTCCGTACATCGTTGCCAGAACGTTTGCATCACGTGGAACCATTGTCCAATTCAGACAGTCCAATCCGTAAGGAAGTACAATTGGTGTCGGCTCAATACAAAGATCTATTGCACCGTGCCAACGCATTGTCCGATCGTCTGTCTGGTTTGGGTGGTCGTCAACGCGAATACCAAGATGCATTGGATAAGGCAACCAATTGGTTGAAGGGCATTCAACCGCGTGTCAGTGCCGTTCTATCCGATCCAGTAGCAGCTGATCCACAATCAGTACAAGAACAAATGAACGAAACGAAAGCATTGCACAAAGAATTCTTAAACCAGGGACGTTTAATTGATAGCGCTCAACAAGCGCTCAACGCATTGCTGAAATCAATGTCTGGCCAATTAAGCCCATCCGAAGTATCCGCACTGGAAGTGCCGGTTGAACAACTTAAAGACAAATACAATCAGCTACTAGAATCACTCGGTGATAGATGCAAGTTGTTGGACACGGCACTCGTTCAATCACAAGGTGTGCAAGACGCTTTGGATGGTCTCGGCAATTGGGTCAACCAAACCGAGGATAAATTCAAATTGCAATTCCGTCCGGCTTCGTTGATCAAAGAGCGGTTACAAGAGCAAATCCGTGAACATCGTGCATTGTTGGCCGATTTGGAATCACATCAAGCCAGTATCGAAAGTGTTACAGCGTCGGCAAATGATTTGACCGCAACTGCTTCGAATGCACGCATCGCCAAAAAGATTCAAGGCAAACTCCAAGATGTCGTTGGAAAATACGAAAAACTGTACGACAAAGCGCTTAAACGTGGCGAATTCTTGGACGAAACATTGGTGCAACTGGATAAATTCAACGACGAGAGCTCAAGCGTTGAAACGGAATTGTGTCACATTCAAGATGCTCTTGAGAATCGCGATTTAGTCTCACTTTCGATCGATGAACTTTCGGCTCGTATGAACGAATTGAACCGTATCAAAGATCACATTCGGCCATTGTACGAGGATTGTGTGCGCCAAGGCAAAGATTTGGTTGGCAAACGCGATGTTACCGACACCGGACCAGTACGTGATCGTGTTAAAGCTTTGGAAAATCAATGGAAGAGTCTTGATTTGGCCATTAGCGAAAAGGCAAAACTCTCGAAACAACGTGCCGAACAACACAATGCCTATGAAAATCTCAAGAATCAAGTTAACACTTGGTTGACCAGCATTGAAAGCCGAACAAATAATTTGGCACCAGTTGCCGTTGATTTGAACACCATTAATCGGCAAATTGAAGAATTGAAACCACTCGCCAAGGAACATCGTGACTATGCACCAACCATTGACAAGGTCAACGATTTGGGAACACAATACGATCTGTTGATTCGGCCAGATAGCCCATCACGAAAACGCTCCAGCTATAGTCCAATCAAACGTACAGCAGCCAGCCCATTGCGTCGTCTATCGGGCGATGGTCGTTCACCATCGCCAACCAAGGGCAGCCCGTCCGTATCGCCATTGTCACCGGGTGGTTCTAGTGGATTCGGAAGTCGACGATCATCGCAAGACGGTTTTCAACTTTCCGATTTGTCACCGATCCAACAACAGCTCAACGAAATCAACAATCGCTACAGTTTGGTTGGTGTACGTTTGAACGATCGCCAAAACGAATTGGACAGCCTACGCGATGAAGTTAAGAAACATCACGAAAATCTTAAATCGCTATCGGCATTCTTGGACAAAATTCAACGACAGGTAAGAAATTTTGAGTGGAATCGAAATGATTTGTATAGTTTTATCAATTTTTATTCAATTTGAAATCATATTCCGAATAAAATCGAAGACTATCGGCGAAACGCAGAAAAAAATTATATTCATGGGATTTGCGTTTTCATTGCCATTGCCATTGTTCTTCTATTTGTGATTATATTTTTCGATAGAAATTAGAAGATGAGTCGAAAAAAATATTGAAATATTCTCGTCCCCATACAGGTGCCAAAGGACACCATTTCCAGCAAAGATGATGCTGAGAAATGTACGCGTCAAGCTCGTAAGGTTTTGGAAGAAATGTACGAGAAGCAAAGCTTGCTCGACTCAACCAAAACGCAAATCAAAGATTTGCTTCGTCGGAAGCCAGACGTCCAGGGTGCTGATCAACTAAAGGCCGAATTGGATGATGTGGCCGAACGTTGGAAGAACCTTAACGATTTGTGCAAGAATCGTATTGATTTCTCGGAGCAAATCCGTGACTTCCTCGACACCCATGACAATCTCAACAACTGGTTGACCGCTAAAGAACGTATGTTAACTGTCTTGGGTCCAATTTCATCAGATCCACGCATGGTACAATCACAAGTACAACAAGTGCAAGTATTACGTGAAGAGTTCCGTACACAGCAACCACAATTGAAACACTTGCAAGACATTGGCCACGGTATTTTGGATCAATTGAATCCAGCCTCACCCGAAAGCAAGTCAGTTTCGACTAAATTGCAGAATTTGCAAGACAAATGGGACGATTTGGTGGGTCGTTTGGATGAGCGAGCCCAAAGTTTGGGTGCCGCTGCCGATACAAGCAAAGAATTTGACGCTGGCCTTAGCCGTCTTCGTGATGCATTGCAAAAGATTAGCGACGACTTGGACAAAGTGCCAGGCGATGGTGATCATCAAGAGAATCTTCGTAAAATCGACAATTTGGATCGTCAATTGGAAGGTCAACGTCCATTGTTGGCCGATGCCGAAGCAGCCGGCGCTGCATTGTGCAATGTTTTGAGCGATCCAGCATCACGTGCTGACGTCAATGCTCGCCTTGGAGCCATTGGCAAACAATATCAAGCATTACAGAAGAAATTGGACAACCGCAAAGCAGAAACTGAAGCGGCTCTTCGTGATGGACGTCAATTTGGCGAAAGCTGTGCTCGCACTTTGGGTTGGTTGTCAGGCGAATTGGGCAATCTCAGTGAACGTTTGCTAATTTCAGCTCACAAACCAACATTGGAACAACAAATTAAGACGCACGAACCCATCTATCGTGACGTTATTACGCGTGAACATGAAATTATCATGCTGTTGAACAAGGGCAAAGAACTACAGAATCGACCAGGCATTTTGAGCAGCGATCGCACCATTCAACGTGATTTGGACAAGATTTCACAACAATGGGAAAAACTGCGTCGTGAAGTGGTTGACCGACATTCACGATTGCAATCAAGCATGGAACACTGCAAGAAATACCACAGTGCATCGGAATCATTCTTCTCGTGGTTGAGATCGGCCGAAGATAAATTGGCATCATTGAAACCAGGTAAATGCGAATTACGAACTGAATTGATCAAAATAAATCAGGACAAAAAAAAAATCAAAACTGAACTATAACTAACCCAATAAAATGTTTCTTTTCGATCAGGTGTCTTGAAGAAATCTCAGCTCGACCAACAACTGAAAGATTTGCAGGCATTCCGTAGCGAAGTATGGAAGCGATCCGGTGAATACGATAATGCACGTGCACTCGGTGAAACATTCCTTGCATCGTGCGATGTTGACAAGGAACCGGTGAAGGCTGAATTACAGGATATGAAAGAGCGATGGGAGAAACTCAAGAACGACCTCTTGCTTCGCGAACAAGCGCTCGAATCATGCGATCGTCGTCTTCGTGAATTCAATGACGATTTGCGTAACTTGGACAACCGTGTTGGCCGATGCGAAGACCGTTTGGGTGCTCATGATGCCCTAGGCGGTGCTGGAAAAGATCCAAAATTATTGGAACGTGTTAAGGCAATCCGTGAAGATGTCAATGAATTGAAGAAACCATTGCAATCATTGCGCAAATTGGCTGGTGACATCAATGCTGAGACTCGTGCTGCCGGTGGCGATGCTAACCACTTGGAAGGTGAAGTTGAAGCTATTGGCGATCGCATCGACGATTTGCAAGCTCGCTTGGATGATCGTTGCGGTGAATTGCAATCGGCTGCCACAGCAGTCACTCAATTCAACGAAAAAGTCAAGAGTTTGGGCGTTGATTTGACCGAATTAGAGAATCTGGTCGACGCTTTGCCGGCACCAGGTCGTGAAATCAAGGTGGTTAAGAGCCAATTGAACGATGTTGACCGTATCATTGCTAAAATCCAACAAGCTGCCGACAATGTTGACGATGTTGAACGTGCCGGTGAACAATTGGTCGATGCTGGTTTCTCACCAGACACCATTCAAACACGTGAACAAATCGCTGGCCTACGCAAGACAGTGCGTCGTTTGGAGAACCGCACTCGTGACCATGAAGAACTTTTGAAGAAGGCACTCAAACAATTGGAGAATTTCTACAATTCATACGGCACCACCATCGATGATTTGAGCGAAGTCGCCGAGGAAATTCGTCGATTGAAACCAGTCAGCTCTGAATTGGATCAAATTCGTAACCAACAAGAGGATTTGCGTCATTTGCGCAACAAAGTCGTTGAACCATTGGCTCACACAGTGGGCGAAGTCAATCGATTGGGTCAAGATTTAGTACGCACCGCACAGAGTGGCGTGTCAACATCGGTGCTTGAAAAGGATTTGGAGAAACTTAACGAGAAATGGAATGACATCAAAGAAGCATTGAATTTGAGAGAACGCAAATTGGATGTTGCTCTATTGCAATCCGGTAAATTCCAGGAAGCTCTTGACAGCTTATCGAAATGGCTGGCTGACATTGAAGAAATGGTTGCCAACCAGAAACCACCAAGTGCCGATTACAAGGTGGTCAAAGCCCAATTGCAAGAGCAAAAATTCTTGAAAAAACTTTTGTTGGATCGTCAAAATTCGATGTCATCGTTGGCTCAACTCGGTCAAGAAGTGGTCAACAATTGCGATCCATCAGAGAAGGCAGCCATCGAAGGTCAATTGAAGGAATTGAAGAATCGATTCAATGCACTCACCGATGCCGCTGAAAATCGTACACGTGACCTCGAAGAAGCAATGAAGGTGGCCAAACTATTCCAAGATCGTCTCATTCCATTGACACGTTGGTTAGACTCAACCGAACGCACCATCAAGAATATGGAATTGATCCCAACGGATGAAGAGAAAATCCAACAGCGTATTCGTGAACATGACGCTTTGCACGATGAGATTTTGGGCAAGAAACCAGATTTCTCCGAATTGACCGATATCGCTGGTCAGTTGATGGGTTTGGTTGGTGAAGACGAGGCTATTGGCTTGGGTGAAAAGGTGCGCGGCATCACCGATCGTTACACCAATTTGGTGGATGCCAGTGACAACGTTGGTCAATTGTTGGCCGAATCACGTCAAGGATTGCGCCATTTGGTATTGACCTACCAAGAGTTGATCGCCTGGATGGAAAGCATGGAGCAACGTTTGGCTCGTTACCGTATCATTCCCGTGCATACCGATAAATTACTCGAACAGATGGACATTTTGGTTGAATTGAACGAAGACATTGCACGCCGTGCACCAAATGTCGAATCAACCGTTGAGGCTGGCTCCGAACTCATGAAACACATCACTGCCGATGAAGCCATTCAACTGAAGGATAAACTCGATTCGATTCAACGTCGTTACGGTGAATTGACCAACAAGGGTGGTGATTTGCTGAAGAGCTATCAAGCAGCATTGCCAATCGTACAGAAATTCTACGATGCTCACAATCGTTTGATCGAATGGTTGCAAATTGCCGAAGGTGCATTGGCCACCGGTGATCCACGTGAAAGTGACATTCTTCGCTTGGAAGGTGAATTGAGTGAAATGCGACCAGTATTGGAAACGGTCAATTTGGTTGGGCCACAATTGTGCCAATTGTCACCAGGTGAGGGAGCCGCAACCATCGAAAGTTTGGTCACACGTGACAATCGCCGTTTCGATGCGATCGTCGAACAAATTCAACGTAAGGCCGAACGCTTGCATCTCAGCAAACAACGATCAAAAGAAGTCATCGAGCAGTTGGATGAATTGCTCGAATGGTTCCGTGAAATGGACGCCACATTGCGCGATGCTGATCCACCGGCAATGGAACCGGATTCGGTGAGACTTCAGTTGAAAGAACATCGTGCCATCAACGATGATATATCTAGCCAAAAGGGACGCATACGTGATGTGACTGAGGCCGCCAAGAGGGTGTTGCGTGAATCACAGCCAAACGATAACACGGCTGCATTGCGCGAAAAATTGGAAGATTTGAAAGACATCGTTGATACGGTGGTTAATGCATGCGCCGATCGCTTGTCAATTTTGGAACAAGCATTACAGCTTTCGATTCACTTTGCCGATTCACACAACACATTCTCATTGTGGTTGGACGATATGGAACATCAAATTTCGGTTCTTAGCGCACCAGCTGTGCGACCCGATCAAATTGCCCTGCAACAAGACAAGAACGAGCGTCTCATCCAATCGATTTCCGAACACAAGCCATTGCTTGACAAACTCAATAAGACCGGTGAAGCTCTTGCAAACCTCGTTGCCGAAGAGGATGTGCCACGAATCCATGAAATTCTTGACAGCGATAATGATCGCTATGCCGCACTCCGTGCCGAATTACGCGAACGTCAACAAAAATTGGAAGAAGCATTGCAGCAATCCAGGTATGGTTTTAGTTTCCATTGCAATTTAAACGAACTCATTTTTGAGAGAAAAGCAAAATGCACTCATGAACCCATTTTCTTTGTTCACCTTTTTTTAAAAAACAAAAACATTTTCCGATTTTGATTTTTGCAGTCAATTTGCCGACAAATTGGAAGGAATGTTGCGTGCCCTATCGAACACTGCTGATCAAGTGAATCAAGCTGAACCGATATCGGTTCATCCACCAAAGATTCGCGAGCAAATCAAAGACAACAAAGCAATCATCGACGATTTGGATAATCGTGGTGTTGCATTTGCAACAGTACAACATGATGCAAACGATATTATTGCCAAGGGCAATAAATCCGATCCGGCCATCAAGGATCTCAAGAATAAATTGGATAAATTGAACAAATTGTGGGACGATTTGCAGAATGCAACGACAAAACGTGGTGCAGCATTGGATGATGCACATGCAGCCGCCGAGAAATTCTGGCGTCAATTGCAAGAGGTGATGGAAGCATTAAGAGATTTGGAAGAGACACTTACATCGCAAGAACCACCAGCGGCTCAACCATCAGAGATTAAGAAACAACAAATTGCGTTGCAAGAAATCCACCAAGAAATGAACCAAACCAAACCGGATGTGGAACAAGTGCGTCGCAATGGCAACAATTTGATGCTGTTGTGTGGCGAACCAGAAAAACCCGAAGTCAAGAAACACATCGAAGATTTGGATCATGCTTGGGACAATATCACTGCATTGTATGCACGTCGCGAAGAGAATCTCATCGATGCCATGGACAAAGCAATGGAATTCCACGAAACATTACAGAAATTGTTGGAATTCTTGACCAAGGCCGAAGATCGTTTCGTCAATTTGGGCCCCATCGGTGCTGACATTGATGCCGTCAAAAAGCAAATCGAACAGCTCAGACGCTTCAAAGACGATGTCGATCCATATATGGTGGAAGTTGAAGCTTTAAACAGGTACGCTTTTCGATTTTATTTCTTTGGAAAAATTCAGAAAATTAATTCACAAGTTCACACAACGAAAATGTGTAAATAATCAAGTAATTTCTTATATAAATCATTGTATTCTTCTCATGCCACAATTATTCATTCCACCATACGCACTATGAAGGTCTATCGGAAGGCAAGATCATTTTTTAATCAATAAATTGATGTTGTTTTTCTTATTTTATTTGGAAAAAAGATTTAAAGATTGGAATTTTGAATTGGAATTGATATTTTTTTGTTTTATCCAAAATTGAAAAGAGCCTGACATCAACATTTATGTTCCTTATTAAGATTAAATAACCAATTACTGTATAATTTTGAAGATTTTAATTTTCGTTACGTATACAAAGCATGGATTGTCAAAAACCCGATAATCAACTTTATGATTTGCATCGAAATTAATTGTTACATCATTTCATTTGTTTGTTATTGTTTTGAAGAGTTTGCATTTGAATTGAATTTAAAAAAAAAAATTGGAATTCAAAACTAATTAAATTTCCGCTTATTCAAACAAAATAGACAAGCCATTGATTTGACAGAACGAACAACGCCAGAGCAAGCCGCTTCAATCCGTGAACCATTGAATGCAGTGAATCGTCGCTGGGAGAATTTGTTGCGTGGAATGGTCGAGAGACAGAAGCAACTTGAACACGCACTCTTGCATCTCGGTCAATTCCAACACGCGCTTAACGAATTGTTGGTATGGATCAACAAGACCGACAACACACTCGATCAACTCAAACCAGTATGTATTCATTTCTGCACGTTGATTTGTTTCCTTCAATTTCTTTTCTCTTCTAAAACGTTTCTTTACTAAAAAAAAAAAAAAAACTGTGCAATTTTTCATATTCAAACTCAATTTTCCATTTCCAGATTCCGGGCGATCCACAGTTGCTCGAAGTAGAATTGGCCAAATTGAAGGTGCTTGCAAACGATATCCAAGCGCATCAAAGTTCAGTTGATACACTAAATGATGCTGGTCGTCAATTGATCGAATCGGAGCGTGGTTCAACTGAAGCATCGACCACCCAAGAGAAACTGAGCAAATTGAACAGTCAATGGCGTGATTTGTTGCAAAAGGCAGCCAATCGCAAACACGAACTCGAAGAAGCATTGCATGACGCACAAAATTTCATTTCTGATGTGCAAGAAACGCTCGGTTGGTTGGGTGATGTGGACGCTGTGATTGGTGCCAGCAAACCAGTTGGTGGTTTGCCTGAAACGGCCACCGAACAATTGGAACGATTCATGGAAATCTTCAACGAATTGGAAGAGAAACGGCCAACGGTTGAATCGCTACAAGCTCGTGGACAGGAATACCTGAAGAAGCAAGAGCAATTGAAAAAGACACCATCGAGCAATTTGCAACACACTTTGCGAACATTGAAACAACGCTGGGAAGCCGTTTTGGCCCGTGCAAACGACAAGAAGATCAAATTGGAGATTGCATACAAAGAAGCCAAAGAATTCCACGATGCCTTGCAGGCATTCGTCGAATGGTTGACTTCAGCGGAGAAACAATTGGCCAGCGCATCGTCCGTATCACGTGTTCTCCAAACGATTCAAAAGCAAATCGAAGAGCACAAAGTGTTGCAAAAGGATGTTTCCATTCATCGCGAAGCGATGCTGTTGCTAGACAAAAAGGGAACGCATTTGAAATACTTCAGCCAGAAACAAGATGTGATTTTGATCAAGAATTTGTTGGTATCGGTGCAGCATCGTTGGGAACGTGTTGTGGCTAAAGCGGCCGAACGAACACGTGCTCTTGATCATGGTTACAAGGAGGCCAAGGAATTCCATGACGCTTGGCACAGTTTGTTGACATGGTTGCGCGAAACAGACAACACACTCGAACAATTGGCCGAAGAAGCTGCGGCCAGCAATGATGCAGCCAAGATCAAGAAACATTTGGACCGATTGAAGGAGACACAACGCAATTTGTCCAGCAAACAAGGCCAATATGATAGCACAATGCGCAGTGGTAAGAGCCTTATCGATCGTGCACCGAAGAACGATGAACCAACGCTGTCGGGCATGTTGTCCGAATTGAAGGAGGCATGGACACGCGTTTGCTCAAAGAGCGTCGATCGTCAACGTAAATTGGAAGAAGCTCTCTTGCTATCTGGCCAATTCTCCGATGCTCTACAAGCTCTTCTCGATTGGTTGCGTAAAACAAAGAACCGTTTATCCGAAGAGGGGCCAGTGCATGGTGACTTGGAAACTGTCACACTCTTGGTCGATCAACACAAGAGCTTGGAATCGGACTTGAGCAAACGTGCCACTCAAATGCAAAGCGTTTTGAAAACCGGCAAAGAACTCGAACGCAGCGATAATAACCGCGAAATTTCGAAATCACTCAATGAAGTGCAACGCTTATGGAGCGATGTTACTGATTTGGCTGAACGTCGTGGTCGTCGCTTGCAAGATGCTCTCCGCGAAGCCGAACGCCTGCACAAACAAGTGCACATGTTACTCGAATGGTTGTCAGATGCCGAACAAAAATTACGTTTCGCCGCATCGATACCAGACGACGAGGCACATGCACGTCAATTGCTCAATTTGCACGCACAATTCCAGAAGGAATTGCGCGAAAAGGAGTTCGAAAAGGACGACACCATTCGATTGGCCAACAGTATTTTGGACAAAGCACATCCGGACGCCATTCCAATCATCAAGAACTGGATCACCATTATTCAATCACGATGGGACGAAGTATCGCAATGGGCCATTAGCCGTGGAAAGAAACTCGAAGATCATTTGCAAACACTTCGTGATTTGGACGATTCAATCGAGGAACTTCTTCAGTGGTTGACCGGCCTGGAAGCAACACTGCTTAGTAAGAACTGTTTTTATTCGGCTATTTTATGGAAATGTTTTTTTTTTCTATTTCAACATTTTGGGCATTTAAAAAACAAATCATTTAATTGTACAAACAAATTTTTCTAGATTTGGAACGGGAACCATTGCCCGATGAAATTCCAGCAGTTGAAAAACTCATTGAAGATCACAAGGAATTCATGGAAAATACCGCCAAACGTCAACCAGATGTGGATCGTGCATGCAAACCAAAAGCACCACTTGCTGGTACCAAAGAACCAGCTGGTCGCAAACCATCACGACAACTCAAAACACCAGTGTATGTACTTCTATACTATTTGCTTGCTCAATTTCTATCTGTACCACCCTGTTTTTTATATGTATCTATTACACCACACTTTTGTATATGTTTCACGGTTGTACCTTACCGATTATTATGTATTATGCTCATACCGAGAACATGACGTATTTGAAACGTCTAACTCCATCTACGGATTTTTCCAGCAGTTGTGTTCTATTGAGTTGCGGTTTCAACTATTTTTGGGCGAAATTATCTCAAAAGTATGCTCAAATGAGTTATTTGTCATGCAAACGCTTAAACGACTACTGTTAATGTATGCACTGATTCAGTAGACATACAATGGTTACTGGATGACAAATTTACAATACACTCGAGTGCGTGTATTTGCGCGTACATTTCCGGTAGCCGTTTGAGCGTTCGCATAACAAATAACTCATTTTTGTATATTTTCGAGATAATTTCGCCCAAAAATAGTTGAAATCGTTATATGTCTACTCGATTCACAACTACTGGAAAAATCCGTAGATGGAGTTAGACGCCCGTACCAAATATAATGTATTGAAACTCCATATACATGCTCGAAGTATGATTATGCTTTAAATATGCACCCACAAAAAAAAATATCCCACCACGATCAATACCTTGAAAAAATATTTCCGCCACAATTTTTCGCACAATTTCCTTCTCCCACACAAAATTATTTCCCCACGCTTTCAACCTATATTGCATGCACAGTTCCACAGAGTCTTTTTTTTTTTGCTCTATATTGCACCCACCAATTGTATATATTGTTCGTATTTTCATTTTGTGAATTTGCTTTTTTTTTCTTCTTGATTTGTTTGCCTTGCAATGGCCACGGTTTTGCGTTTTGTCACAATTTGTGTTTTTGCATTAAATATTCTGTACGTACTGTAGACGTGGCTCAAGGCATGATATCCGTGAACAGTCACCAGAACATGGCACAATGGGTAGAAAACAAAGGTTTGTCAAACAAAAGAAAATTCTATCCGTTACTTGCATGTGAAAATCCATCATCTTTTTTATTGCACGACAATTCAACACAACAAAATTTCATTTTCGAAGTCATTATTTTCCAACAAACAAAAACGAGAGAAATTGTCTTTAAAAAAAAATTGATTTGGAACTTACTTGAATATTGTTGAAATGTCGTTGTAATGCTTAGTTTTATTGCATGTTTATATCGGTGGCTATCGTACCATCTATCCCTATATTTGCTTATTATTTTCACACAAACCTACACACATTTTGTGTGCGTTGTAATTTGCTTTGGAATATGCATTGAATTTTTGAACAAATTTTTTGCAAACAGCTTCAAAGGATCTCGTGATCAGGGTCTCAATGCACGTAGACAAAGGTTCGTTATTTGAAAGTCCCCACTCTCAATCTAGTTATTTTTTTTCCCCTGAAATTTATATTTGGTAGATGAAAATTGATTGTCTGGTCTTTCTTTATTTATTTTTGGTTTGGAATTTGTGGTTCAATTTTTTTTTTTTTAAATAGTATTTGAAAGAATTTAGTTTTCTAATTATCAATTAAAATGAGAAATTTTCTCTCACAACTGTCATATTCATACGGAACGTTTTCGGCAAATCAAATGAATTTATGTCTTCATTCTTTTCTCATTTTTCTCTCGAAAAAAAAATTCCATCGTGTGAAAAATAAATTTAAAAAAAAAAGTCGCGCTAGCCCAGCACGTGATACTCCAGACCGTGATCCACGCTTGCCACATTACGGACCAAGATTCTCGCCACAAAGGTACGCTTTCTAAGTGTTGATGATGATTTTATTAACACCTCTCAATCAACAAACTGGACACTTTTTGTATTTAACATTGTGAAAAAAAAAACCGAAATTGAGGCTTTTCCATTAAATTATTCATTCGTATTGTTTAAGTGTTTTGTTTGCTTTTGCTTTGGAAAATGCTCACGCGACTGGTTGTCAAGTTGGTTTCATTTTTTTTTTTACTCGGCTGTTGAAATACTAATGAGTTGTTTATTTGTGTCTTCGTTTGGTTGATCAGCAGTGGAGCCGAATTGGAATTCCGTTCACCACGCGCTCACCAATTGTGGGATAAATGGCGCTACGTTTGGATGTTGGCTTGGGAACGTCAACGTCGTCTCCATGATCATTTGATGCATTTGCATGACTTGGAACGCGTACGTCAATTCAGCTGGGACGAATGGAGAAAGAGAGTAAGTGCCACGGATTAAAAAATTGATTTCCATATTCTTTTTCTTTTCGTTCATGAAATTAACTCGGGATTTCTGTTTTGCTTTCCAGTTCTTGAAATTCATGAATCACAAGAAATCACGCTTGACAGATCTATTCCGCAAAATGGACAAAGATAACAACGGACTTATACCTAGAGACATCTTCATCGATGGAATTATCAATACCAGTACGTTTTACTTTTCGTTTGTTGTTTCGATTTTCTTTTGCTGTTGTTCTAAGGGAAAAAATTTTTTCCATTAAAATTACATTTTTTCTTTGTTTTTAATGAAAACCATTTGCATTTCATCACAAAATAGAATTCGATACATCACGATTGGAAATGGGAGCCGTTGCTGATCTGTTCGATCGCAATGGTGAGGGACTCATTGACTGGCAAGAATTCATTGCCGCTCTACGGCCCGATTGGCAAGATCGCAAACCACCAAGCGATGCCGATAAAATCCACGATGAAGTTAAACGTTTGGTCATGTTGTGTACGTGTCGACAGAAATTCCGTGTCTTCCAAGTCGGCGAAGGAAAATACCGCGTAAATATCCCATCAAATTGAAACAAGTCATCCGGAATTCGGCAATTAATTACACAAATTTCCGTTTCTTTTCATTTGGTACAGTTTGGAGATTCGCAAAAATTGCGACTCGTTCGTATTTTACGTAGTACTGTGATGGTTCGTGTTGGCGGCGGTTGGGTAGCTCTCGATGAATTCTTGGTCAAGAACGATCCATGCCGAGGTATGTACACGCTTTCTCTTGTACACTTACACAATTCACTTTTAAATATCTCATATTTCTATTTAAAATTTCAAATATATATATTTATTAAAAACCTATCACGAATATACACACAAAATTGAAGATGCCAATCATACGAGAAAAAAAAATACAAAAAAAAAAAAGATTCAGGGAATAACGCTAATTTATTCAACTAAAAAAAATCTAAAACGATAAACAAGCGCCAACAACTGGAAATGGTCATTTAATTAATATTGCTAAAACAATATGCGAATGTTAATCACAACCAAAAATTAATTCGATTCACTCGATTCCAAAATGTTAACTGAAACAAATATGCGCATTAACACCAATCCAACCAGCTACTGATTTTACATGTTTCTTCTCTTTTATTTACTAAATACTTAATGCGAACAACATTTTTTCCATAAAAAAAATAGTCGTTTAATATAGAAAAAAAAAATGGTCAAAATTATTTGCTTGAAATTTTTATCATTTTTCTTTTAAACCATGAATATAATAACTAATCTGCTATTTTTCTCTTCTTTCTCTTTTCCATTCCTAACTAAATATGGGTTTAATGAAAAAAAAAAAAAAACTAAATCTATTCGATTCGGTATTTCCAAAAAAAAAATGCGTCCAATAATTTCGAAATGAACAAACACACAAATTCTTGTGCAATTTCCATCGCTTCAATCGTCTTATTGACGTTCAACTGAATTTTTTTTCTTCAAATCTCACGAATTCATTCAAATTTCGTTTTATTCGTCTTATTTCATTTTTGTTTGGTTATTTCTTTATTTTTATTGAATTTTTGTCATGTTGTTTGACTTTGTTTTGTCTCTCAATATTTTCAAATCGAATCTGCTTCCCCCCAAAAACGAAAAAACCACATTGTTTTTGAATTGTTTGTAAAATGTTTGATCGTTTTCTTGTGGACGTTTTATTACACATTTACGAAATTGATCGGTTTTTATCTACCTCATTTGATCTTTATCGGATTTTATCTCAATTTTTTGTTACTTGCTTACGTTTTTTTTCTTCACGGAATGTTTTACTTTTATCATTTGCTGCATGTGTTTGATAAATGATATTTTTGCGTGTTTTGAATGCGTTTGAAATTGTTTGCGTTGAAACGAACTGTTGGTTTTTTTTCTCTCTGTGTATCGAATTGTTATTGGGTACAGTGACAATTGTTTTACCATTGCCTGACCCCGATAATCCGCAAGAGCACGAAGCTTGCTGTCCACTGTGTAAGATTTTCACATTTATTTTCGCTTTTTTTTCCATATTCACCATAATTATGAACGAAATTATTTGTTCTACGTGTTGAAAATCGATGAAAAATTACTCGGGCCTCACTTGAATCTACACACACACAAATGCCACAATTTTTACACAGAGAATTGCCATGAGTTCGTCAGCGCACCAAATCTAATGTATTAGTATTATTGTTGTATTCGTGGACCTATTCCCATTGATTACACTTCCCTGCTTTATGTTTTTGATCTTGAATTTTCTTTCTGGTAATCGCCCAACCAAATGAGCGGTTTGTATAGTATATTTAGTTTGTAGCGTGTAGAATTATTTACTTAGCATTTTGCGAAACAAGAACAACAACAACAAAAACATGCACTTGAGTACGTCGATTCTATTCTCTCTCTCTCTATCTCTCTTGATTTGATGTGGCAATTCTGAATAATAATAAAAAAAAAAACAAGGTAATCAAAAATCTTTTCAAAACCATCACTTCTTTCTAACGACAATTCATTCAAAAATAACGAATTACTTAGAAAAAAAAAAGGAAAACAGACAAAAATATATCATAAACTACCCTTGCATGCATACACTGACACACCACACAATCAAACACATCATTCGCTTTCCCTCCAACAATTTTTCATCTTCAACAGATTAAAGAAACCGCTTGAGCAACACGTTTTTTTCTCTCTTAATTTTCAATCTCAATGTGACTAACGAAATAAACAAGAATATGAATTGGCATTGTTTTCGATTGAGTTTTTCCATTTGAGCTTTAGGATAAGCGATTCCATTAGATTTGTTGGCATTTCTTTTTCTTGCACAATGTGTAAAAAGAAAACGTTTTTTTTTTTTATGATTTTGTGTATATATTGCAAATGCTATAGTTTGGTTTTGTTTTGATTTTTTTCTCTCAAATTTTTAATTTATTCTCAAAACTTCGGAAAGAAACAAAACGAATATTTCTTTGAGCAATTTTTTTTGTTTCGTTTTTTAAATGGCTTTTGCTTTATTTGAAGATTTCTGCCTCTTAAAAAAAGATGTTTAATTTGTTTTTCAAGAGTTGTAATGATTTCCAAAAGTTACAGGTTGAAATTCTCGCAGCAATAAATGAAAGATAAATTCAACATGAAATTGAATGAAATTGATGATTTTGTACTCTATTCGGGAACAATTTGATTAATTTCATTCAGAATCATTAGGCATTTATATTTTACAATGTCAATATTCTCCTGTTGGGAAATTTTAATCGCTTTTTCACGCAGAAGCAGAGTTATCTAAAATTAAAATCAAAGTTTGCTTATAATTTTTGTTTGAATGTATAGAAATATTGGTATTTCTTTCCGAGGCTTAGTTTCATTCTGTAAATTCACATTTGTATGAATTGAGGATTTTTCATTGGTTTATGCAATTATGACACAGAGACAAGATGTCACCAGGATGCAATTTAAAAATTTCTATATTTTTTCTGCATTTTTGGATTCTTAATTTCGGTGCCATGGTTGGATATTTGAAAGCAGAATTGAAAGTTGCCTATAATTTGCTTAATTTCAATTAAAATTGTTTTTTAAGTTGTTGTGTTTACACTAACTAGGCTATTTGATTTTTTACATTTAGAACATTGTTTGATAACTTTTAATTTCTATTTTTTTTTATAATTTTGTATCATTATTTTTATTATTAATTTTTACGTTTTTCGTTTGTTTTTCTCTTTCTCTTCCAATTTTTTTTTTTATCCTTTTGGTTTGTTCTGTTTTTTTACCTAATTTTTTTTTAATACGACGGTAAAACACTTTTATTTCGTGCACAAAAAACAAAATTCGAATTTGCTAAAATAACACACACACACACACACAAAACCACAAATGTTGACTTTGTGCTCGCTTTGCGCCCACAACTCTGAATCAATGAAATTTTTCCACGATTTTCACACACGTAACGATTTTTGTTGATTGTCAATTAATTTAATCTAACTGCTCAATTTTTTTTCTCAATGTTATTTGTAAATTCGATCTCAAAATCTCTTACATACACACACACATATATAAAAAAACACACACACACGTAAACATCACTGAACCATATCTATCGCAAATTGGAAACATATTTGACGAATTTTCGGAACAAAAAAAAAAACTATTCAAATTTACAATAACCGACGATTTACATGTAAACACACACACATACCGCACCAATAACACACATAACCGAAACCCATTCAATCGACAACCATTTACCCATACCGAATATAAATCATACACAAACACACACACATACAAAACGAAAAATCGATCGTTCATTAGCCAAGGGACGCACAAACATCGAACTACGCGAACAATTCATTTTGGCCGATGGTGTATCACAATCAATGGCCGCATTCAAGCCGCGTATGTCATCAGCTGGTTCAACACAAAATGGTTCGCATGCATCGTCTCCGATCAGCACTCAGGGACCAATCACCAAGGTAAATAACTTGAACAAAACACTGTCTAAACCAAAAATAGAAACAAAAATCAAAGAAAAAATCATTCGAAGCGAAGCGAAGCGATTCGAAGCAAAAATTAGCAAACAAACGACAATTGACAAGATTTGTTGCCAACGAGATTATCAAAAGGTATGCAATGTAAAATGAAAACTGAGCTAGACTCTTCTTCTCTCTCGATTGACGTTATATATATATTTTAAAGACGACAGACGACTAGATTGTTTAAGCTAATTTCGTTTTTCTTTTGGAAATTAGTGAAACAAAGTGGTTTTTCTTTGCGACAATTTTACTGTACAAACTGTATAGGTTGTTTCCAACAAGCAAGTAGCATGTAAGGAATGTACGGTACCTCAACTATGTTTGAAAACGGTGGTGGTCACCAAGTGGTAGAATCTAAAGCGGCAATATTTCTGATTGAATTGAAAATGTTTTTTTTTTTCTATTTATTTCAAAATTGTCATTTTGACGGTTTTGCAAATTTTTTTCGGTTTTGTTTATCATTCAAAAAATTAATTTTTATTCAAGCAGAAATGCTGCCAATCGACTAGTAGAATTTAAGGTCCCTTCAGTAAAAGTAAAAGCAAACAGTGAATAGTTCACAAATGGGCAATCAAACTGAACCATGCACACACTGCACACAAAACTCTCTCTCTCTCTCTCTCTCTCGTTCTCTCTCTCTCTGTTGAAACGAGTAAGTAGGCGTTCGGGGCATCCGAACCGAGCAAAGTGGGTGATTGGGTGAGTATTTGGATACTTCGGCCTAGTAGATATTGAATAGAATATTGTGATAGATTTATTAAAAAGAAAGCATGCGGCATATATGATATGTCTATACTAGCCTCCCTTAATGCTATTGGAATATGTTTTCTCTATTTGTCTTATTTTTTTGGTTTGATATATATTATCCGATTTTCATTACGTTTTGTTTTTGTTATATTGCATCGTTTTCAATTCATTTTGGTTTCATTTTATTTTCGAATGCCGGGGAATGAGTGTTTTATTTTTTAAAACAAATTTAAACATGGTTGTAGTTTCGATGAAAACTTCAAATCAAAAACTTGTCAAAAAAAAAATGGCAAGAGTCTTCGTTGCAAAAATATTTCAGCAAAAATTTAAGCTCAATAAGTGTGATGAGTGAATTTTAATTTAGCGAAACAATGAAACAATTAAATGATCATTTGCCTTCGTTTGAGCAAGCAAAATAATGCATAACTTCACATTTTGTGGTATCGTCGTGTCAAACTCACCACGATGTTCAACTGTTTTCTATTTAAACTTTTTTCTTCCCGTTCGCATCAAACGAAACATTCGATCATAATAGCCGACGAACATTTAGCCGAATTAATGCCAATATTTGAGCGTTTGCGTGCTCAAGAGCAAATACCATGCGTGTATCCGCTTCATATGGGTGCTGGTGGTACAGCATTCATTCGAGGCGGTAGCTCACGTTCGACACCGCTCAGTCCACATGCTCCGCATTGTCACCCGTCGACGCACTGGGTAAGTCAATTTTATCTTGTTTCCGTGTATTCTGTGTTGTCTTTGTGTGCCGCTTCAAACATGTATGGACTAATCCGAAGGACCAACGAGTGAGCCACGAGTTCGAACAAATAACAGGTCCAAATTGACACGGAAATGAATACTACCACTAGCGAAAATGTTTGATCAACAACTGAAACAAAAAAAACCACAACCAAACTGAAATTCAGTCAGTTGAAATAACCGACGAGCTCTGTGATCGGTTTTACTTTAAATTAAACATAGATTTTGTTTGTCGTCAAATTAAATAACCAAGAAAAATTTAATTTAGGTTTTGTGACGTTTATCGCAATAACGACCGAAAATGTTTGCTTCCTTTTGATTTTTGCTTTGAAACAAAACAAAAAAATAGCGATTTTTTTTTCTAGTACAGAGAGCCTAACAGCGTGGTAAATCCGCAATATTACAATTGAAAATTAACATTTGGCATTTTGTGTTTTAAAACCAAAATAAAGGTACGTGAGAAGTCATCTCGTTCAGTGGCCATGTCTCGACCATCGCGATCATCATTGTCGGCATCGACGCCCGACTCATTGAGCGACAACGAAAGCAGTTTGGGCGGACGTTATACACCACGCAAGCCATCGTACACACCAAGCCGAGGATTTACACCGGGCGGTTCGAAGCCAAATTCACGACCCGGTTCAAAACCACCATCGCGTCATGGATCAACGTTATCACTTGATAGCACCGATGATGCAACACCAACACGCATCCCACAGAGACGCCTTGGATCGACCACACCAAGCGGTAGCTCACAGAGACCATCAAGATTGTCCGTTACTAGTTCGACGATAACCAAGGTCACCGGCAACGATGGCATCTCAGCATTTGGTAGCACCATTTCACGACCCAGAACACCTTCCAATACCGCTAGTCCAGCACCAACGAGGTAAACCATTTACTCCCTTTTTTGCGTATTCTTTCAAACCATTTTCACATTTTATGGAAGGATTATCTGGTCTGATCTCAATCCACAGATAATAATTTTAACTTTTAACCAACAACATTTTGTGATTCAAACCAATCTCTAACCACTAAATTTTCTTCCATTTCATGCAACTATTAATCCGAAACACACGATACATAAACACTCTTGAATGAATCTCTATCTCTATCATTCAATGACCGAATCGACCAAAATCTAATCCAAAACAAACAATAAAACAAACACACACACAATCAAATCATTCGCTCATCATCTCTACTCTATCGTCTGCCACACTCAGGAATGGCAGCATAAGTAGATCATCAAGTATACCAACATTGGTATCAGGTATTCCAACAAGGTAAATAACAAACATCATTAACACAACTTTATTTCTACAGGAAAAAAAAAAACCATACACAGACTTTTAACAACAACTCAGTCAAAAAACTATTAAAACAATAAACTGTCGCTCTTGCATTTGGTGGCGACTTCTTGAAATAACAAACACTTTATTCTAACTAGATTTTAATATTTTCTCTCTTTTTTTCTCTCAATTATCCATTTTCTTCTTCTTGCGAATGCATCTAAAATAAATATTAATTGATCTGTGGTGTGTGGAAATTAATTTGCTCCTTTCACACAAATACAAAACAAACAAAAACACAAAATTTATTAGCACAAGTCGATCTCGCATTCCAATATCGGTCCGTCAAAAATCATTGGATAAACAAAGCCCAATAACATCGCAACCATCTCAAGGGTTTGGTTGTACATCCACGGGGTAAATTATTCAATCAGCCAATTAATCCGAAAAAATGCACGTTTTACACTATTTTGATGTTTTCTAACGATTTATGCGACCAACGAATTGATTAAGAATTTTTTTCGTTGAAAATTAACAAAAACCAAAACTTTTGTTTGATTTTATGAATGATTTCATTTGTCATGTTTTCAATGCAAAATTTGTTCACAAATTTCGTCTCTTTTGTTTCAATAATGTTATTTGTTCATTCGAATTGTTCGTTTTAAATTTACCGCAATTTTGTTTTTGTTCAACGGCAGCTTTTGTTATTGTGCATTTAATTTCAATTTAGTGTGAACCCTCGTCCGCTATTTTATTTTTGATATTGATCTGATGTGATTAATTTGCTTTTTTTTTTCTTTCGCAAATGGCCACTAAGAAAAAACCCAGCCTTGCGTTTTATAGTTGATGTTGATAAATTTTTCTCCTCGTTTTTAATGCATTTTTTTTTTCTCTTGATTTGCTATTGAAAATTAGACGAAATGTGAGTGGAAGCTCGACACCGTCTGGCATGCGGACGCCACGGAAATCATCGGTTGATCAACCAACAGTATCATCAGAGCGAAAAGGAAGCCGCGGAACAACGCCAAGTGGCACACGAGAACCATTTCGACTTTAAACACATTTCAAACTGAATACAAATTCGAAAGCACCGCGCATTTATCAAACCCATCTCCTTTTGCAAAAAGGAACATTTTAGAAAACCAACCAAATAAACTGTAATAACAACAACAATAAGATGAAGAAAGAAAAAAAAAAACAAACAAATGGAAATCAAAACAGTGCTACACAAATTGAAAAGACATTCAACACATATATTCCCAGTAGTAGTGAAGGTACTCAATGAATGAGTATTGAGAATAAAAACACAGAAAATTCCATACGGTTCCAATCATTCGGAAGAAAAACATAAATATGAAATAGAAACGAATAAAATTTGCTCACCATTTGGCCATACGTTTTGTACTTTTGTGAAATTTGTATGTAAAAGTAAAGCGGTCTCTCGTCAAAAAAGAAAACACGAAAAAAACAACATCAACAAAAAAAAAATGTAGTTACAAGAAATGTGAAAAAAAAAACACATTTAATTAACATTTATAAATATAATATGTATAAAAATAACATCGTTAAAATCTACTAATACATCAAATGCAATCACAAAACGAAGAAAGACATTTAAAACATGTGAATGAGATAGAAAAAGAAATTGTATGAAATGAACGAAACATTTTAACTCGATGAAAAAAATTGTATAGAAAGGGTGCGAGAGGTGAACAGAAGAGCAGTAGTTCGTGATTTCAATTGGCATTGCAACCGATCGCCAGCGGTTCAATGCTACAATGGGCAAAATTTCATCAACAAGATTTCGTCAATTTAAATGATTAATAAATCGCCAGTTATTTTTCATTTCAAAACGATAAATCTTCGCTACAAATTCGGGCTCACTTCAATTTGGTGCTTAGCACGCCTCCGCACACGAAAAAAAAACCTTTCGAAAAAAAAAAATGCAAAAAGTCTAGATTATGAAATTAACCTTATGAAATCTAAGATCCGTTCTCCACATCTTTTGGATACAAACAAAATATATGTTGTTAATTAATATTCGCTATCTATTTGATTCGACTTTTTCCCCCCACAACACACCACAAACACAATTTTTATTTAGTCTCCAATATAGGATTTCAAAATTTATTTTTAGTTATCCGCAAACAAATAAGCATAAAATAGCGAAACATCTGTGTAAAATTCATTAAATTGCAGATAAGACAACAGCAACAGAGAAATTATGATGAAAACCAATCTGCAATCAAATGCAAAAAAAGAAAAAAACAATCTATTGAATACCCTATTTATATTTAAATATTAATCATCAGCGCTAAAAGTCATAATTTTTAAGTTGAAAACTAATTGCAGTTTTTCGTTAATGAATTAATTTTTTATATGAAAATGAAACACACAAAAAAAAAAACACTATGGAGAAAAGCCTTTAAAAAAATTTAAAAAAACGAATAATATGATTAATAAATAAAACTAAAAAAAATTACATCGAATGCATTTTTACTGAGTTTTTTTATAAAGCCGCTTATCATGAAGCCTTTTTTCTAATTTTAAATATCACAAATTCGGTCAGGCGGGATCGAAAGCAATTACAATCACCTACAAATTTAAGTATTTATCATTCCAAAAGCACCAACTAATGGTGGTGGCATCGATATCATAACTAAGCAATGGCTCATAGAAATTAGATGAAATAGGTTGATTCGGATAGGAAATGAGCCCATTCAATTGCTCGAATCGAGAAATCCGTTTGATCATGTATTTGAATGTCGTTGGGGAGTATGGAAGTTGATCGTAGTGGCATCAATATCATAACACTTGGAAATCTTCATCCTAGGCAGCATAGGGCGGCTGGTGACAGTACATTTCGTCACATTTTGAATTGCCGCGCTGTTTAGTTCCAATTTGAAATTGAAAATTACATTGATGTGCCCTTTGAAATTGGGGGCGCTCGCATCGTTCAATTTAAGTTAATTTTTAATAGCCTCTATTTGCTAGGCAGTTTTTTCGTTCATCGATTCGTTTATTTCGTCGTGTAGCTACATGCAGCTGCAGATCACTTTGCCACATCCAATCCTGGTTAAGCCACAATTTATTTATGAAATTCGTTCGGGCATTCGATTACCCAATTTATGCTGCTATTTAGCTGATTGTCGGCCATTGTTGGCAATGACAGATGGAACCAACTACCAACATTGAAATCCAACTTTCGGGAGCAATTATCATTATAATCTTACTATGGGCTGGATTTCTGATTTGTTCTTTACCAGAATTTAAAATTATAATAAAAACATTGATCCATGATTTCAATACAGAAAATTATTTCTTTGTGTATAGAACAAACAAAATTTTAGTCAGTTTAATGTAATAAAATGACCATACCCAAATGAAATATTTGCGCAGAAATCCAGTGCACAGCGGATTTCTCCGCAAATGGTTCATATGGGTATTTTTGTTCTTCGCATAACAAAAAAAGAAATTTATCAACTTCCAAATTGAACTGTTTGTTTCGCCTTTCGTAATTAGCTAATAAATCAGAAAACTGAATAAAATATTTAGAAGAAAAAATTGATAACTATTCAATTTTTTGAAGATAAGAAAACCACAGGCAAAATATGAACATTCGATAGATTCCTTTTTTCGCATAATTTGCATTGAAGCATCATTTTTAGAATGTTCATATTCTTCAGGACATAGGTAAAAATAACCACAAACAGAAAATGTAAAAATACACAACGCATTCTTCCAGTTCACATACACACATTCAAAATGCAATTAGTCTCTCCTGCATGCGATATAATTGGCTTCATTTTGCATGTGTTTGCTTTGTTTTTCATTTTCTGTCTCTTTTTATCATGCACATAAAAGGAATAGGACCAAAAAAATGAATACATACATATGTTTCAGCCGAAGACCCTAATGACTTTTTCCATGGCTTAAGAATCGCACACTCAGTTCACAGTACAACTCATTTCAGTGAGAGCTACAGCGCTCGTGTGCGATGCTCTTCTCACAAAACTGAGTTGTGTGCGCACACCGCGCACTTACTTTCCCTCTGCTTTGTGCGGATCTTCGTCGGTCGAAGAAAAAAAAGAAGAAGTAGTAGTAGTAGTAGTATGTTCAACATAGCCGAAATACAGGCACAAACATGTTTTTTTTACTCTACGTGTCTGCTGTGAGTATTTGAGCGCACATTGAACGGACAGTGGTACAGTTTCACTTTCCAGCAATACAAATTATCGACATATCACAAGAAATCATTCGTTTCCGAACGTTTGAGTGAACAGCAACTGTCATTTTTATAAACAAAAAAGAAACCTCATTGTGTTGACTAATTGATTTTTTATTTTGAACGCTATCAAGTCGCATTTTGCTTTATTCAAATATCGCATTTCGAATAAAATAACATTTGAAGTTTCAGTTTTCCTACAAATTGAATCAGAACAATTCATTTCCATATATTCGATACATTTGATTCAAGACTCTATTTTTTGTGACGTAAAATGGCAAACGTGTTGAAAAGTTCTGCTGCTTCAGAATTGATCGCAAAAATATATCTCAACGAACAGTTAGCCGACGTCCATTTCGTATTCGAATTCGATGATGATGTCCAAAAAGTACCAGCACATAAATTGATATTGGCATCTCTTAGCCCGGTATTCCATACGATGTTCTACGGATCGTTGAAGGAGGGAAACGAAGTTAAAATTGAAGATGCAGACGCCAATGCATTCAAGGAGTTTCTCCAGTTTTTCTATCTGGGCGAAGTGACGCTTAACATGGAGAATATTGAGACCATTGTTCGTTTGGCCGACAAATACGATGTTCTCGAATATGTGAATGCTTGTGCCGTATTTCTCAAAACTCAACTGAAACTGGACAACATGTTCTGGGGCTATCAATTAGCCGTGAATCTCAAAAATGATGAGCTGATCGAGTTCTGTGAGGAACAAATTGCCAGATCGCCGAAGAAAATCTTTGCTACTGATGCATTTCAACGTTGTGATAAAAATATTCTAAAACGCATTCTAGAACTGGACTTGACATGCAAGGAAATCAACGTATTTGAAGCCTGTTTGACGTGGGCCAAACATGCGTGTGAGAAAGATGAGTTGGATGCGACGCAAGCGGCGAATTTGAGATTTCAACTTGGTGACTCTTTACGCTCAATTCGATTCAGCGCAATGACAATTGAAGAATTCTCCGCTATTGAAATGTCAAACGATGGACTCTTCACTCCGGATGAATTCAAGGATATCATGTTTACTTTAACAGCGAAAGCATATGAACCGAAGATATTCAAACAAAATTCTCGACTTTACAAATGGAATGAAAGTGACATTTTGAAGTGTGATCGACGAATTTCAGACAGGGACTCAGCAAAGAGGCTCAAGAGTTCAGAATCCGTTTGGTTCACATCAAATCGAATGGTACTCTTGGGAGAAATTTATTCCGCTTCCACAAACGGTACGAACAATAAATATAATCATCGTAATTTTAATCATCATAATTTTAATCAACATAATTTGGATTATCAACAAATCGATGCTGTAAATGTAACGATCGCCGAAATCGGCAGCGATTCTTCAAAGAAAGTTTTGTATGAGGGCACATCAAGAACATGGGATTTTCATTCGCCATCTAATCAATACCGATTGAAAGTGGTGTTACGGCAACCGATTATGATCAAACCGCAGATTATGTATGAAATCCATTTTTCAGTACTCATCGATGTTAGTTCTTTCAGTTATGACGGTGAATGGGAGCCAACGGTTGAACTGTCAGACGGACTTAAAATTCAATTCCATCGAAATCCATTTCATATGGACTATGATACGTTTTCATGTGGTTGGATTCGATCTTTGAGCTTCAACAGATTATAAAATTGTGTTGATTGAATGAAAAAAAAAAAAGTATCCGATTCCATGTGAACGCAAAATAGAATTATTTCTTTTACCTAATTTGAATAAAAATGTGACAGAATTGTCAGATCAAAACACATTGGATTTTAATTTGTTGTATATCATTATTCACATGAATTCCATATGAAGCTACTGATGCATTCAATTTTGGGAAGGTAAGAAAATCACACATTGAATTGTTCACATATAAACTTTAAAAAATTTAATTAGTCTCTATTCAAACGATGTGACAAGAGTACACTGCAGCAAATTTTGGATATGAGTCTTATGTGCTAGCAAATTTAGGCATTTAATACCGGTTTAACCTGGGCCAGATGCATGAACAAAATAATTTAGATGGAGCTTAAGCCAGTGGATTTGGGAACTACAATTGACGATTATTAACTTCAATCAATTCGATTTGAAGTGATAAAAGTCGAACAAATCAGCAAACACTACATTTTAAATGAAGGCTCATTCAACTCAGAGGAATTTAATGACATCATTTCTTTAATCAACATCAATAAATACGAACCAAATATTTTTAATTTAAATTCTCAAAATATCAAGTGGGATATTTCACAGCATATGCTGCCTATGTTTCGCGATGTTAGCGGGGGGGGGCGGGCGAATTCACATCGCACAAAAACCCATTGGTTCATCTATTGGAGCTGTGGTAAAAGTCGTTATCAGCGAAAGTGAAAACCATGTATTTCAATCAACTATGTCGCGAAAGATCTTAATGAAGGCATACCGAAAATATGGGATGGTGTTCACATCCACCAGCTAAAATTCACTCTCCTACAACCAATTTTGTTTGACTTCCAATTTATGTATCAAGCTTGAGAGTCCGATTATCCAATGGATGCTACTACTACTCAATGGAAATAGAAAATAGAATGGAAAAACACAGTTTCAATAAAACCATAATAAGAACATAAAATAAAATATTCATGTAAAATAATAGTTGAACGCGCCACGAAGAAATGCCAAGTATTTGATATTTGCCTGGAAATAATATGCAAAATTTTCAAAGTAAAATATCCATGGAATATACAAATCATTTAAGTTTTCAAAGAAAAAATCTCGTTTTTTGCTTTTTGCATAGTTTGAAGCATCATTTTTAGACTGCACATATTCAGGCCATGTTTAAAAGAATCACAAGAAAGGAAAAATTCCCCCGAAGAAACAGAAAAAATCACATAAAATTCGTCCAGTTTACCAACACACATTCAAAAATCATTTTTAAAAAAATGCAATTAGTAGAGACTAATGCAGAAGAGTCTGCATGCGATATAATCGGCTTTATTTTGCATGTGTTTGCTTTGTTTTTATTTTCTGTCTCTTTTCCATTGTGCGCATTAAAGGAGCAGGACCAAAAGCATGAACCCATACACATACATTTGATCATCCGAAGGTCTAATGACTTTTTCACTTTCCAGCAAATGAAATTATCGAGATGTTAGAAGAAATCATTCATTTCCAAACGTTTGAGTGACTAACAACTGTTATTTTTGCAAACAGAAAAGAAAGCTCATTGTGTTGACCAATAGATGTTCGATTTTAAACGCTATCAAGCGGCATATTCTGTTTGCCATCTTTGAGTCAACAGCTCTGTTCAAATATCGCATACAAGATTCATTTTGAAAACAATAACGACAGTAATTAAAAGTTGAACTTTCAGTTTTCTTACAAACCAAATACAAATTAAATTCCTTTTATTCGATATATTTGATTCAAAACTCTTTCATTTGTGACATTTAGTACTGTGGAAATGGCAAACGTTCTGAAAAATACCACTGCATCGGAGTTTATTACAAAGATTACAAAGATGTATCTCAACGAACAATTAGCCGACGTTCATTTCGTATTCGAATTCGATGATGATGTCCAAAAAGTGCCAGCACATAAATTAATATTGGCAACTCTAAGCCCGGTATTCCATACGATGTTCTACGGATCGTTGAAGGAACGAAACGAAGTTAAAATTGAAGATGCAGACGTCGATGCATTCAAGGAGTTTCTCCAGTTTTTCTATCTGGGCGAAGTGACGCTTAACATGGAGAATATTGAGACCATTGTTCGTTTGGCCGACAAATACGATGTTCTCGAATATGTGAATGCTGGTGCCGTATTTCTCAAAACTCAACTGAAACTGGACAACATGTGCTGGGGCTATCAGTTGGCTATGAATGTCAAAAATGATGAGCTGATCGAGTTCTGTGAGGATAAAATTGCCAGATCGCCGAAGAAAATCTTTGCTACCGATACATTTCAACGTTGTGACAAAAGTACTCTGCAGAGCATTCTGGAATTGGGCTTGAGATGCAAGGAAACCAACGTATTTGAAGCCTGTTTGACGTGGGCCAAACACGCGTGTGAAAAAGATGACTTGGATGGAGCAAAAGCGGCGAATTTGAGATCTCAACTCGGCGATTGTTTACAGTCAATTCAATTTGGGTTGATGACAATTGAGGAGTTTTCCGCTATTGAAATGTCAAACAATGGATTCTTCACTCCGGATGAATTAATGGATATAACGCTTAATTTAACAGTGAAAGGATATGAACCGAAAATATTCAAACAAAATCCTCGAGTTTATAAATGGAATAAAAATGACATTTTGAAGTGTGATCGACAATTTTTGGACCGCTCATCAACCAGTCTGAAGAGATCAGAAGTCGTCTGGTTTACATCAAATCAAACACTACTATTGGGAGAAATTCATTCTACTTCAACAATAGGTATAAGTAGTTATCCATTAATGAAACAATTCAATGCTGTAAACGTAACAATCGCAGAAATAAGCAGCGATTCTTCAAAAAAAGTTTTGTATGAGGGTTCATCAAGGACATGGGAACCAACTAATCATCATGATAGACTGAAAGTGGTGTTAACGCACCCGGTTATGATCAAACCGCAGATTATGTATGAAATTAGTTTCGCAGTGCTCGTGGGAGTTGGTTCTATGAGTTATTACGGTGGATGGAAGCCAACGGTTGAATTTTCAGGCGGACTTAAAATTCAATTTCATCGAAATCCATCTCTTACGAACTATGATACGTCTTCATCTGGTTGGATTCAATCATTGAGCTTCAACAGATTTTAAAATAATGTCAATTGAAGAAAAATTCAAAATCCGATTCCATGTAAACGCAAAATAAAACTATTTTTTTTTACCTAATTTGAATAAAAATGTGACCAAATTGTCGGAGTAATATACATTGGGTTTAATTTTTTGCATATCAAAAGGGTTATTCACATGAGCTTTTTATGAAAGAAGTGATGCATTCAGTTTTGTGAAGGTAAGAAAATCAGACATTGAGTCGTTCACATACACACATTTGAAACATCTATCTCAAAAATGTAATTATTCTGTATTTGAACGATGTTTTGAAGCTGAGATTGATGTGTGAGGAAATAAATGTATTTGATAGATGTTCGATAGGGCCCAGAGATATACATGCATCATCCAGAACATTTGGATAGAAGTTTCAAAAATTCAAATAAATTGATTTGCTCTGATCGCTACAAATCAAATTATTTGATTCGTTGATTTTGATTTAAAATCCAAAACCTCGAACCCTAGATAGAACTCAATTGGTGCATTTGAGAATTCGACTCATCGATTATTTGATATCAATTTGATTTGAAGTGATGAAACTCGAAGAAATCAGCAAACATTATGTGTTAAATAAAGGTTCATTCATCTAAGAAGACATTTACCTAACCCTGGACTATGACAACCTTTTGAGCGGATAGATTTCTAATTTGATCGTCCAAAAAATTTGAATTTCAAAAAAGAGTATAAAACAAGAAAAAAATGAATGTATTATAAAAAAACAATTGAACTCAATAAAACAAATACCAGTCAAAGGCCTTATTGTCACTCTGAACAATAAAAAAAATTTACTCAATGTGATACGTTTTATTGCTATTTTATCTGATTTTCGAAAAAAAAAATCGATCAAAAATCATATCATTTTCATGAACCGTTTTCAATTTGACGAAAAATTCATTCAAATACCCAGAGTATTGCTCTGTCGACGAAATTCAAAAAAAGATTCTATCGTCCTCATGTGCTTAATACTTTTTCATTCCAAATTTGCAAAAGTTTTCAATAGATGTCGTTGACTTCCATTTAATTCACAAAACATAAGCCCGGATTTATTATCCTTGATAATTCTGTATTTGAGTAGTCAAAATGCTATCGAAGAGAAAATTTGTTTTGAATGAATGTGTTTTTGAAGATTTCAAGTGCTGACGTCCGCAATAATGATTGAAAATAGTAAATGCATAAGTGGTGGACTAGGACACCAATAGAAAAAAAAATCACCAAATTAGTTTGATGAGTCGAAGGGAACGATGAGGATTTATTTTGTGTAATATCAAGTTCTTAATGACGATTTTCATTGATTCATCATTTATTCCTATTTTTAATGTGATAACACATTATCTAGAGAAACTACAGTAACATTTTGAATATACTTATGACTCAAAAGACAAAAGAATATACATACACTGATGTAAGGAAATATGGAAATGAAATATTGGTTTTATTCAAGCAACATATTAAACTGTGTTGAGCATGAAGCTTATCACTCAACTTGCTTGTTTATCACAAATTCTCGAACAGCGAACGTATGTTATTCAGAATGAAGTAAACAAAGATATGGAGCCAAAATGCGCACATAATTGACGGGTGAGTGTTTTTTTTATATCGCTCATGCGATATGATCGGTAAAAGCATGCACAGTGCACACACAAGTGATGCTTTGTGTTCAGTTATTTTTCCTTGGTTCTATAAACTATACTTGTGTTCACCACCACATTTTTCGATGGACCAAACATATATACAGTCGATTCACGCTTGTTCTTCGTTAGAATACTGAATCTAACTATTACTAAGTAAACAGACCGCATTATTAATATAAAACCATAAAATATTCAGTAAAATAATATTTGAAGTTTCAGTTTAGTGTCCATATATTTGATAGATTTGATCTAAAACTCTATTCTTTGTGACATAAAATGGCAAACGTGTTGAAAAGTGTCGCTGCATCGGAGTTAATCGCGAAGATGTATCTGAATGAAGAAATAGCCGACGTTCATTTCGTGTTCAAATTCGTTGATGATGTGCAAAGAGTTCCAGCAAACAAAGTAATATTAGCAGCGCTGAGTCCGGTATTTCATACGATGTTCTACGGATCGTTGAAGGAGGGAAATGAAGTTAAAATTGAAGATTCAGACGCCGATGCGTTCAAGGAGTTTCTCCAATTTTTCTATATGGGTGAAGTGACGCTGAACATGGAGAATATTGAGACAGTTGTTCGGTTGGCCGATAAATACGACATTCTCGAATATATCAAATCTTGTGTTATCTTCCTTAAAACACAACTGACAATAGATAACCTGTGCTGGGTGTATCAGTTAGCCGTGAATGTCAAAAAAGATGAGCTAATCGAGATTTGTGAGGAACAAATTGCTAGATTGCCAAAGAAAATCTTTGCTACTGATGCATTTCAACGTTGTGATAAAAATATTCTAAAACGCATTCTGGAACTGGATTTGACTTGCAAGGAAACCAACGTATTTGAAGCCTGTTTGGCGTGGGCCATACAAGCATGCAAACAAAACGGCTTGGATGCAACGAAAGCGTTGAATTTGAGAATCCCACTTGGTGATTGTTTACAGTCGATTCGATTCAGTTCAATGACAATTGAAGAATTCTCCGCCATTCAAATGTCAAACGATGGACTCTTCACTCCGGATGAATTCAAGGATATCGTGTTTACTTTAACAGCAAAAGTATATGAACCGAAAATATTCAAACAAAATCCTCGAGTTTACAAATGGAATAAAAATGGCATTACATTGTGTCGACGACAAGCGGCCGATGCCCAAATAAGCTACCTCAAGGAATTAGAAATTGTTTGGTTCAAATCAAATCAAACGCTACTATTGGGTGATATTTTCTCTGCTGAAACCAACAATATGAGCTATATTGATAAACAGAACAATGCTATAAATGTTACATTATCAGAAATCAGCAGCGATTCATCAAAGAAACTTTTGTACGAAGGTCAAATAAAAACATGGGATGCTACAAATAGGCTGCGAGTAATGTTAACGCAACCGATTATGATCAAAGCGCACACCATGTATGAAATTCGTTTCGCAGTGATGAGTAGGGGTGTTGGTAATCTATATTATCATGGATCATGGAGACCAATAGTCGATTTAGCGGATGACCTTACCATTCAATTTTATCGAATTCCAACCCATACAGGCTCTGACACCTCTTCAACTGGTTGGATTGAAGCGATGAGCTTCAACAGAATATAACAATGTGGTAATTTAAGATCTGAGAAAAATATCATTTCCATGTTAACTCAAAATAAAATGATTTTTTTACTGAATTTAAATAAAAATGACACCAAACATGTGTTTTAAGATTACTAAGCATCTCAGCATTTCGTAAGGCACGGATATATCTGAGCATATCGACGACGCATACTGTATAATACAGTGGCGTGTGTTGCTACGTGCAGCCGCAACGACTCGACCGAAGTGTGTTCAGTTGATGTGGCTGCACGCAGCAACAACATACACATTCCGGTCGAGTCGTTGCGGCTGCGCGTAGCAACGTACGTCACTGTATGCGTCGTCGATATGCTCGGATATATCCGTGCCTTACGAAATGCTGAGATGCTCAGCAATCTTAAAATACATGTTTGAATGACACAGAATTACTAAAGAAATATGAGTTGCAATGTTTTTGCAAACAAATTCATGATTTTTTTTTTTTTATCCAACAAAAGAAATATTCATATGAATTCTATTATAATGTGTAGAATTTATAAAGTGTTTTAAATTTTTAGAAGATAAGAGATATATTGTATTGAAGTGTTGACTTCATCCAGAACAACAATAAAAAAAAGTCACAAATCCAAAGACTTAAAAAACACAACGAATGTTGACGAAAAATCGTTTAGTCTTCACATTTAACTTATTTTTCATTACCGTTCAATACTTTCCTATGAATCATGTGAGCATGATGATTTGGCTTATTCTCGTACTTATTCATCGTTTTTTTTTTTTTCTTCAACAGATGTCGTTGACTTACATTTTATCACAGAAACACGCGCAATTTATCCTTGATAAAAAATTATTTTTCACTAAGTTTATTCCCATTGAAAAGAAGAAGTCACATTTTGTTGCGTACTAAAATTAAATCTCTTTATTAATTTCGTACAAAAATGTCGCCTCTAAGCACGACTTATAGAAAAATTATCAATTTTTTATTTGCTTATAGATCAATAAATTACTTTAGACCAATTGTGTATGTTCTAATATGTGTATGATTTCTACTTTAAAAGGATGCATCGATCGCGTAATTATTATTTTTTTTGAACTGGTTGCTCGTCTACTTCGTAGGGAAAGTTGCCGTAATTTACGTGAAAATCTCGACACATTTACACATTTCGTTGTTCTATTGATCTTTCGGAGGACAAAAAATAGAAGCGTTGCATTGTTCATTTGGCTTTGAAATGACATGATTGCACTGGAAAATATGCAAATGAGTCGAGATTTTCCGAGTTTTAAGTTTATTTATAGGATATTTGCTGTATTCAGTTGCGATAGCTATCAATGCAGTCGTCATTCGATTGTTGCTTTGCACAAGAATGCGAATTGAGGTATGTTCAAATTAAAATATAGACCTATCTGAATGCTGTGGTATTGTGGGTCGCCCGAATTCTATTTGTGTTGATGTGAGCTGAGCTGAGCTCGACTAAGCACTGAACAATCGCAAACCAGACAATGGTAATGGGTTTGTTTCATGCTGTAGATGCATTCGGTTGCATTGCTCTCATCGCCTGGTTCACCGTCGCTATTTACGTTCTCATCGCCATTTTCGCTGGACGGTTTCTTTGAATGCACTGTGCATGGCTCGTTGTTGGCCACTTTTCTGAAGCCAGCGGTTCGAATGTACTCCAATTTACTGTGATGACGTCGATGGGCCACAACTTTATTGGTATCCGAGCATATGAAATCACATTTTAGACAATGGAAATGTGACGATTTATTGTTTGCGCCTGTGGAAATGGGGGAACATTTGGTTAGTGAACATGTCGATTAATCAAAACGAAATGACCGAAAATGAAGAGTTCCACACAGACTCATTCACACTTACCCAAATTATTTTTGTAAACACAATCATCGTGGCCGCAGCTCATGTTAGCTCGATACTGTTTAAAATCATCGCCCATCAATTTGTCCAAGCGTTCGTGACGGGCTGTGTGCTGCACAAAGCGTGTCTTATCACAGAAACTGTAGTGGCAATCGGTGCGACAACAGTGAAAATGGCTTTGTAAATTGGAGTAACCGCACTGGGCAAAACGGCAGTCCTCGTTGAATTTGAATTTCAGGTAACCTTTTGGTATAGGTTCGTCTTTGAAAATCTTAAAACTGCCTGCATTTCGATTCGTCACCACATCACTGGCCGATACACCCTTATTGGCTTTTGTATCAACTTTGCCGCCTAATTTTGGCACTTGTCGTTGCAATTTGGCCGAATTCGCAAGGGCAGCAGCTGCAGTGGTTGGTTTTTTGTTTGCATTGACCGCTGCGATGCTCGACAAATCGAATGCACCGAATGGATTGTTTATTTGCAATGGATTGGCAACTGGAGGCATGAACATGCGCTGTGCATCTTGCTGCTTCATTTGTTCGACGGCTCCAAGCAATGGATACAAATGTTGAGACATCATTGGATTGTTCTGATAGAGATGTGCCAGCTGGGCCAGGCACAGTGTTTGAATCTGTGCGGACAATTGGTCGTTGAAGGAGAATCCCTCACCACCCATCGCCATTTGATTTTGGTTCAGAGAAGCTAAATTCGAGATGACACTGGCCGCCGGATTCATGAACGATTCCATGTTGAACATCGTTTCCGATTGCTTGGCCATTTGTTTGGCGAAATTTTGCATCAATTCCTGAGATGGATCGCTCTCTGGAGCAGAAATCGTCTCATTTGCCTTGTGCTTCACTGAATGCACCAACAATTTTGTTTCGTCATCGAACACCTGCAGAAATGAAAGGGTTTAATTACATGCAAGAAAAATCAATCTGAATGAAAATGCAGAAAATGTATTTACCTCGGAGCAATCGTCACAATGGACGTGCGAATCGTTTGGTTGATTGCAATTGGAAATTGAACATTTTTTCGAGTAATCAACACTCTCTTTTGATTTGCGCCGTGAGCTCAACGGTGGCGATGATTCACTGTCATTGTCGCAGTTTTGTGGGAAAAATGTGCCAGCAGCGCGAACTATCGACACCTTTTCATTGTCATTCGATTGTGACGATGAAAATGACAGTCGACGCTTGCGATCGCTGCTACCACTTCCACCTGAATCGTTGAGCCGATGTATCGAGAAGTTGGATGGTGACTCTTTTGAGGCACTACTTTCGTCTCCGTGATTCTCGGGCGTTCGATTCAATGGTGTTTTCGCACGGAAACTACTTTCGGATGGCAGCGGCGACGATGCTTTGCCATTCTTCTCCAATTTAAAACTGGTGAAAATTGCTTGAGGTCGATTTTGGGTTTGAACCTTGGAAACAAAATGCGGAAAATTAGAAGAAAGCATGTCTTTTTAATGCAAAAATTGGTATTTCGCTCTGAACTTACATTGCCATAAACTTCAACGACGCGATTCTTTGGTGGACGACCGCGTTTGCGGTTGAACAGTCCATCGATGGAAGTGATTTGTTGCAAATTGGCCGGCATATTTTGGCCTTGTATCTTTTGCACGACGGCCGAAAGCAGCGAAGCATTCACGTCCTTTGGGTCTTTTTTTAAGTTCAAATTAAGCGGTTCCGATTGATCGGCACTGTTGAAATTGTTCTGTGCAAAAAGTAAGGCGTTGATTTGTTTTTGCTTGGCATTTTCGGCGGCCGAATAAATCTGTTTCAATTGGTCTAATTCGGCCGAAGTGATGTTACGTCCGATCGAAGCGCTGGCATTTTGAACGAATGACTTTGGTAGCGGCGAATCGATTGGATCATAATTGTTGTTATCGGAATTGATGTCGTCATCTTTGCCAATGAGTGAAGCAGCGACTGCTTTGGCTTGGCTCTGCAACAGAGCTTGCTTTTGGAATTGAAGCTGCTGCAAGATTTCCACGGATTCAGTGTTCAACAATGATTCCATTTTATTCTCGTTCTCAGCATATTTTGTCAGAAGCGATGACAATGCGCCGGGGAAGTGTGACAAGCCTTTTGAGCCGGACGCCTCTGATCCTCTCGTTTCGACATCATTATTGTCATGTGGTAACAAACCATCACTTTTTTGAGCCATTTTAAACTGCTGATAAGCCTGCTCGGAATCCATACGCTCATGCTTACGCTTGTGGCTCAGCAACTGACCACTCGAGTGCAACACGTAGAAACAATTGTCACGGACGCAATGAATGTGATTGCATTGCAGAGAAAAACGACAACGATCGAACGAACACGGCTCATTCTTCATGAACTTCTTGAAACCATCGCGAGCCAACAGCTCGTCTTTGATGTGATAGGTTTTATGTTTTTCTGCAAAGAGAAAATGAAATGATTTTCAAAGTTATAGTTTTGAAAAGAAAAAATGCAGGAAAAGAAGTCGAGATTCTAATGAAGTAATTCGTACCCATTTCCGCTTTGTTTTTGAACGTATAATTGCAGCTGTCACGAATACAATGGAAATGTGTGGTGCGTTGACCAGCAAAACTACAAAAATCAGCGGCACACTCTTCAGTTGCACGGAAGCGTTGGAATCTGATTTGGGTTAAGAGAGAGAAAAAAATTAATATCAATTGTAATAAACAATGGTTTTTAAGTGAGTTTTCAAATTTGAAAAATATTTCAACCCAAAAAAAAAAAAAAATTCTGGAAAAATTCTCGAAAAACCACTTACCCTTCTTGCATGATGGCCGAATCTTTGCGATGATAATTCGAATGCATTTGCACGTCGCTAGTACTAATGTAAACCTTATCACAATTGCCTTGCAAGCAGTGATAATGAGTTTGTTTGCCGTTGTGTTGGCATTCACCGAATTGAATGGAGCAATCGTCGGTGGATGAGAACCGTAAAAAGCCGTGTGTCAAACTCTCGTTGCGTTTCTTGTGCCATTTCAAATGCCGCAGAACCTCTTCACGTTTGCACAGCACTTTGTTGACATTCATGCACAAAATGTCCAAACAATGAAAATGTTCGCGCAGCTTATCGATCGCACATTGATCGTGATTGCATTCCATGAACGACGCGTACTTCGATAGGTATTTGCCGGAATCTGTTGTAAATAGAGAAAAGAAGTAAATAAAATTAACTCTTGTTAGAAGAAAGCAATCGAAAAATAAAAATAAATTGCGAACACAACGAACGAACCAATGAGCAAGTAACAAATTGTTGCTAACAATGTCGAAATCAAATTGTGTATTTTTGAAATTGCGATTGCAGCAAGAAAGAGAGAGAGAGAGAGAGAGAGCGCGCACGGAAATCATTTGCGCTGCCAGTTAATTTTTTAAAATTGAATTTATTGTGATTTCTCTTCGGATGCATTGTGTGGCCTTTTATTAAAGCCGAGATATAAATTTAGCACGAACAAAAAAAAAAGACCAAGAATTATTGTGATTTTTGTATGGAATTTTGTGGGGAAATATACTGTTGATCCCGAGATAATGCCAATGTGACAAGTGAATCCAATAAAAAAGAATAAAAAGCGGTTCATAAAATGCGACAACAAAGAACACGAACTCTGCCGCGTCAATTCGAGAAACGCGCGCGCATACACTCACTCACCGCCCATAGAACATTTTGTGGCAATCGTTTGCACGGACGGAAATAATCCAGCACAGTCGATGTATACGGCAAGTTGGCGACGAAAAAATGTTACATGGGACATACACTTCTGGATAATTTAAAGTAATAGACCTAATTTAGACAATCAATTAACCAATCGTGGGAATCGCACGACGCACAAATTCAGCCGAAAAAAAATATACACGAAACACATTACGAATGTATACATGCCGATCTCTCTGTTGCTTATGAGCGCTCGCGCGTTCAACAAGTGATGTGTACACACATTTTTATGGTCAATTTCGTCACCAATTCACTCTCTGCTGTATTTGCTCTGGCATTTGTCGCCATCGCTTCGCTTGACGCACATTCCGCTCCAGCATTTCATTCAATTCACTTCATTTCCATTCCCCAATTCATGGGGCTTCAATTTTTATGAATTTGTTTGTTTGCCGTTTTGTAAAAAAAAAAAACACAACAATTTTTGTTTATAAAATCCTATAGTTTTCGACGACGACAATGACTGTGTCGTCGATTGTCATCGCTTTGGCCGCATTGCAACTGGATATTTCAATCAATGTGTACAATTTTTATGAGCGTTGATTTTGTGTGCTCGCTCGCTCCATTCGTTCATGCATTTTTTTCATTCGTTCTGCTAATTCAATCGCTCAATGGATGTAATCAAGCGTTTGTGTGTCGCTTTTTGGCTTGTTTCATAGGAAAATTATGTGAACGAAAAAATTGAGGAAAAAAATAACTAGAGATAGAGATAGAGAGAGAGAGAGATAGAGAGAGAGAGAGAGAGAGAGAGAGAGCGCGATCCACAATCACAAATGATGCACATTGAATTTTATTATTAAACTAGTTAATCACGTCATCATTTCCGTACCGTGCCACACAAATACCACACACAGGCTCGAATTTATAAGTCAAATTCCCTCTACACCAAACACAATCACATTTCTAATTCGCACATATCTTCGCACTTCACTTTGAACTTTTCACCAATAGACACAACGCCTCTCCTAATACCTATTGATATGTTTGTGTATGCTTACCGATTAGTTTACTTTCGTCATTCATGGTGACCATCTTTAATGCGGTCGCTGCCGGCGAAAGGAAACTCTGTAGGGACAGAAGAAATAGGTAAATCGGATGTTATGAGAAAAAGAAGTGATCTTAACCACTACTCTAAATTGATCGATTAGCCGAGATATTAACATGGTTAACGTAATGGTCAAAGGTCTTGCACACTCCCTTAATCATTGCAGTCGCATCACCGGAACACACTTAAGCACACTTTTCTTCACCTTGTCCTTCCTTTTATGTCACTTTCAATTTACTTTAGCTATTAGTCACTCTTATTTTTTCCTTTTTCCATTTACGCTTTACAAATCCGTACGCACTCAATTGCATACTAGACACGATGCTTTGTGTGTTACATAATGCTCAGATCTCTTGTGCGAACCGGTGATGCGAATAAATAGAGGGGGAAATACATTCAACACATTTCAACTGCAATGCGGTCATTTTTTTTTTTTTTTTAAATTTAAATAGACAGTTTTAGAGATTTAAACTTGTTTGAACTGAACTTTGACGCATTTGAAACGAAAAATTGAAATTTTTGAGGAAAAAAAATTGTATTTTAATGGTAAAGTTTGAAATTATAACAGAAAAAAAAATGAAATTTCAATAAAAAAAAAAAAACAAAAACAAAAACTTGACCAAGTTGAATCAATCCCATAGAAAAACTTTGACAAATAAAGTCGAATTGAAATTCAAAAAGGGAAAGAAGTAACAAAAAAAAGTGGCTTACCATCGATGGCCGTTCAAAGTATTTATCCTTGGCCAGACTAAGTCCGGACACATCGACAATGTTCGATAATGATTGCGATAAATTGAGCGGTGGTTGTGTGGCCTTAGCCAATTGCTGTTTAGTTTCTTGCAAATATGCCGAATATGATGAGTCAAACGATGCATCGTTGGTGTCAGTGAACGCACGATTCTTCAATGACGCATTTCCTATTTGCCAAAAACGAAAAATATTTCGATTAATTCAAACGATCGTAAAATGTGTCTCGTGTTTTGAATTAAGTCGGCGATACGAATGGTATTTATGGCCGGAATTTTATTCGTAAAAAGCAAATAATGAGATTTAATAAAGTTTCTTAAGAATTTAATCAAACAAATTTGATTTCAGTTTTCACTGGAATTTTATGTGTGTTCATCGTTTCAAATCAGATTTTCTTAACTTGAACAATGACCAAATGCATTCTTCATCAATTACATCAATGAAAATGACATTTGTATCAATTTATCAATAAAAAAATATGAATTGAAAATATTCTCTTTTTTTTTTGACGAAAAAACATACATTCTTTTGATAAAAATCAACGAAAAATTTTGATTTACCATCATCAAAATCGCTCATTCGGCTACTGGTACCGTCGTCGTTGTCGTTGATACTGGTGGCACGATCGTTGTTGTCATGATTGCTGTCCGAATCGGGATCGGTTTCAGTTTTAATCGGTTGTTCCACATGCATACGCTTATTTGAACCTAAAATTGTGTTTAATTTTCGCTTACGATTCGCCATCGAATCCACAGATTTGCTCTCAGAATTGTCATCGTCATCGCTAACACCGTCAGTCATCTGCTTGAAGCAGACGAAGAAAAAAAATGGTTGAAATTTCATAATTATCTCTTAGAATAAGAATCAAATGAATATGAATTTTGAGTCACGAATCGCACAGAAAATCGCACAAAATGTACGTACTCTTTTTGGGTATTGATTTGAACACACAAAAAAAAAATTATGGACCAATTCAATGGAATAAACGTTTGAATTCCGAAAAGAGTGCACAATATTTCGAGGCTGTGAATAACCGAAGCGTGACAAGCGAGCACAACACATGTACGCGCGTGAATGGTACGCGACAAACCAAATCGCCACACACACACACACACACACACACACCCGCGGAGTGTGAGTGAGCGAGTGAGAGAGAGAGAGAGATAGTTTACGAAAAAGTGTAGAAACGAAAAATATGCGAAAAAAAAGTCACCTGTTGATGCTGAGCGGACGGAGTGATTGGTGTTCGCGGCGGTGTGGGCGGCACTAATGCATTCTGTTGTTGCTTTTGTGTGGATTGTGTCGATTGTTGAACGGAACCCTTTCTCAGAAGCGCTGTAAGAAAATGTTCATTATTTTGATTAAATAAATTGGCTAATTGTTGTGTGAAATGTTCAGTATTTTGCGTGCATGCACTAGCATCCCTATGGCTTTCATTGCTTGCATTTATGTTTGCTGTTTCATGATCTTGAGAGGTTGTTGCATAATCACAATCGACCAATTCATTCGCTTGGCTATTCGAAGCAACACCGCTTATTTGATGCATTTGACTCAACTGCGACAACCAAAACTTTGTCAGTTGGTTTAGTTGCGGTTGCACTTCCATTTTATTTTGATTATTTTTTCCCGTAGATATTCTTCGAAATAAACTGATAAATTCCCGAAAAAAATCGATAAATTTTTAAAAATTTCTTTGAAAAATCGGAAAAAACTTTTTTTTTTCTTAAGTATTGATCATGGAGATATCACTGAACAACAAACATGAACGCACTGAAATTGCTTAATGCTAAAATAAATCCACACACAAATTGCCACAAGTAATAGAAAAACAAAATTCGATGCAAAAATTTGTCCAATAATAAATTTTTGCGCTAAAAACAAAACAAATTCGTAAAAAAGTGCACAACAAAGTAAGGAAACACCAGAAAATCTAAGAAAACAGGACCTTCTTGTGTCATTGAATGTTCGAATCGAACTGATTTTTGAAAAGCGATCAGGAAGTAACTCAACTCGTACTCTTCGCGTATTCGTTCGTCTCCTTTTTTTTTTAGCCTTTCTTCTTAAGTCAGTAGCAAAGGGCGACAAAAAAAGTCTCGAAAAAACGCAATGCCTTCAAAAATATACACACACGCAACGAATATTCCGAAGAAAACGCACGACAGAAAGAGAGATCGGCCGAGAAAAAAAAACTGGGGAAGAAGGGAAAAAAACACACCGAAAAGATTTGATTCTTTGAAACGGATCTCTCGAATAGACCTCTTTTTTAAAATGCTAAATCACACGTATATTCGATTCAATTTTATTTGTAGTGAATCGTTTTTTATTTTCGCCTCAATCGACCTTGTGTTTACTTTTCCCTTTATTTACGGAAAAAAAAAATGCACACACGCATAGGGCAACGCACGTACGAAAGCAGGAGATTATTCGATGCATCTCCTCAAAGCGAAGAGGATATGTTCGAGTATGTGTGTGCGAGTGTGTTAGAGAGACTAGATGCGCAAACCCATTTATAATGCTGTTGAAGACCGTGCGGCTGCGGCTGCTGCTGTTGCTGCTGCTTTGCACGCTCGGAAATTCAACCAAAACCCGAATATATTTGGAAATGAAATGAGGGAACACTGTGAAAGGGGTAATCAAAATGTATACAAATTATTAAATCCTATGCGAGTGCGTGCGTTTTTTTTTTCTTCTTTCAAATGAAACTTAAATGTGTGCGTCGAGTTTTTTTTTCCGACGTTTTGTTTAAATTATCGTTGAAATTACCCTAAAAGAATGAATTCATGTCTAGAGCGAGCGATTCAGGCAACGGGAAAATAGTGTGGCAGATGAGAGATAGAATGATGCGTACCTCAATGAAAACATTAATGTGTCTATGCTGCGACGTTATATTCTCGTGGTGATCTCACTATGGTTATTGTAAAATTCGCATTGTTTAAATGCCCAATTGCAGTGTAGTACTCAGTTCAGTGTTTTTCAATCCATTTTTTAGTTTAGGGTGAAAATTGCGAGAGAAAAAAAAATTGTTCAAAAAATGTCTATTCCAAACCAGATTTGGTGTACCATCGAAAGTGAAACACACACACTTTTTTCCGGCGAACCAATCACAGTTGAGTTTAAAATGGTTTTTTTTTTCGTTTTTCTTTTCTGTGGAAAAACAAACACCGCCTTTTTCTCTCTCCAGAGCCAAAAATACAGAAATAAATAAATTGAAATTCGTCGAGTTTGGGTTGAAATGCGAGCTGCCAGCAATAAACTCGAATGGATTCGGCAACTGTTTGTCGACTCACTAATGCCAGCAAATAAAACAAATTTGAATGTCGTTCGAAATTTGAATCGATCGAAATAATGTTTGATTCGAAATAAGCGGGTACCTCACAGTCAAATCCACTTAGGGTAAGGAAAACTATATTTTATGCAAATTATCAAAATAAATAATGACGGAATGAAAAAAAAAAATCGATGCATGGCATGCATTAAAAAGTTCCTCATAAATTCAGATTTGTAGTTGAGTATGGAAAAAAAAGTCGACGCTCTTGTGAATCTGAACTCTGAATGTGGATGATTGTCGATTGATGTCTTCTTTTGTCGAACCATTTTTTTTGTTGTTGTTGCTTTTTTGTGAATAGTTCATCGCATCTATTCGGCTATTCAAGCCCTATTCAAATTCTATCTCAATTTAGTTTTTCTAAAATCTATTCAGTTGTTCATGCCTCACTCGCAGTAATTCAATTAAATGCATGCGGTGTATTGAATGCCGATCGCAGGGATGCATTTGGATTGATCGCTTTTGCATGTGCGTGAGAAAGAGAAGCAGAGTGAAAAAGAGCGATGAAGAGAGAGAAGCGATATTTTGAGCATGCGTTGCGTCCTTGGGTGCAAATTGCCAATAATTTTATGCCGAAGATGAATCCCGGGCAGCGCTTAGCACACTTAACATTCACAACAATTTTTCTTTGTTTTGTTTTGTTCATCTGTTGCATCTTTGCATTTCTTCTGTTTCGTTTCCTTCGATTTCCTTCACGGCTCATTGTTCGGCAATCGTATTGTTGCATTCATCGCTCACCCCAGCAAAGCGAGAGAGAGAGCGAGAGAGAGAGAGAGAGAGAGAGAGAACAATACGGTAAATGCGATATGTATTCAAAGATGATGACCATAATATGGCAAGCGTTTTGTATCGTATGGGTGATAAAAAGATCAATAGAAAATATTTTGCAAACATTTCGATAAATAGGTGTCGATTTGGGACTTGAGCATAAAAGAAATGGTCAACACGTCTCTCATGGGGTTTCAACTTGAGAGTCTCGAAAATTGCAGGCAATAATTGAATAATATTTAAATGGATTTTTGACGATTCAGAACCTCAGCGATGACAAAGAAAAGCCAAAGAGATTATTTAACGGTGATTTCCCCTAATCACACAAGAAGAAAAAAAACAAAGTTAATAAAATGTACGAGAAAAAAAGTCATCACATTGCATAACTAGTTGATGATAAAAAAAATTCGAATCGATTTTTTTCTCTCTCTCACTGCAGAAGCGAATGTCATCATTACCTACACCGTTGAGTTGAAATGAAGCCATGGATGTTTCCATTCGAATTTCTCACACAAATCAAATCGTTCGAATCATATCTTTTTTTCTCCATTCCTCGTCTATTTTCAATTTACCGTCCATAAATACATTTCACAATCTCTACCGCATACGATATTTTTGTTATTACAATTTTTGTTTTTAATTTGGCCGCGTTTTTTTTCGCTCTCTCTCTCTCTCATTCTCTCGATCTCGAGCTGCCCGGCTTCGATTCATTTAAATTAACCTGATGAATAAAGCAAAATTAACTTTTACAAATCAAACTAAATCGATTGTATGCTTTTGTTTTTCGCTCATTTTTTTTTCCTCTTCATTGTTTTGCTGCGTGTGTGTGTGTTGTTTTTTTCCCTTCGCTCTCTTCATCTTCATTCGAATGCTGGGCGATCGAGATTCATTTCGTTTATATTATATTTCAGATATAACCATTTTTTTTTTGTCAAAAGATTTCGTATTCGATTTTGAGAAGGTGTTCATTTGGTTTGGATTTAAGTGGAAAAAAAAAGTACGCACATATCTCTGGTTCATTACATTGTGGTAAATAGGCAAGTGCCGCACGATCAAATGGCTCAACATACACACATTCCGATTGCCCTGAATGAAAAAGAAAAGATCAAAAAACTGTAAACTCTGCGAGCAAACGCGAGGCACACACAACGTATAATCTCCCAAAAATGAAATATACACACAGACACAACGGGAGTGGAACGGCGAACTGAGAAAGAAAGACAGAAAAAAAATGCCGAAATTTGAATTGAAAATTGTTTCGTTTATAATAAATAGCATTTCTATTATACGTTCAATTATGTACATGAAGACGGCGTTATTTTTTTTTTCCTTCAAATTTTCGGTTGATTTGACTAAGGCCTTGCGAGCGTGCGAGTGCGCGCGCGCGCACATACACCCGACTTCTTGCCATGCTTAGTGCTCTGTTCGATTTCAAGCCATATCTGGCTCGCATAGCAAAGACAATCGCCAATGAAACGATGATGATGATAATGAAAATATAGAAAAGAAATCGACACACGAAACCTTAAGACGCGAAAAAAAAAATCAAATCATGACTCGTTTTTACCCGCTTTTTTTTCTTACTTCGCCTCTCGTGCGTGTTCTCCGAATTTCATATTTTTATTATTGTTGTACTTTTTTTTTTCTACTGAAGAGTGAAGTAACAACATATACGGCAACAAAATTATTATTCATTCACATTAAATGATTAAATACGATTTTTTTTTCGGGAAAAAGAAAAAAAAAGAATATTTCAATATCTAATAGGTTTTTGTGGCCTGTCTCTTTTTTTTCAACCATTCTTTAGCTGATTTTGATTGTGGCTCTGGCATTAAAAGAGTCGATGCTCTCGCTTGTCTTTTTGATGAATCGTCAGATAGCTCGAAGACTTATAGAAAATCAAATCAAAGCAAACGAAACCCACTGACAGCACCAAACAACCAACCAGCTCGCTCTTATTATTTGAATAAATTCTCATTTTTTCTCATCATCTTCAAGCGTTGTTCTTTTCATTATTATGATTTTTGGCTTCGTGGATTCTTGACGGGAAGCCGCCGCCGAAAGACAATCACTTTACTGACGAAAGACGGAGCGAGAGAGAGAGAGAGAGATCGATAGGCATGGCGTTTTTTTTTTTTTAAGTTATGAAAATATGGAATTGGCCACTTAGGCCACACCACATTCGGAAAACGAAGAGAATTACGCACAAAGCAACTAGATATGAACATGAGGTGGATTTTAA